CCAGTGCCATCCCTACCGCCGCGTTGGTCTACCTACCCCCTTGATGCCCCTGGTGTCTCTTCTGCTATTCACGTGACCGCTAGCTAATCTATGCATCTACTTGAGATAGCGACGATCATCACTACCGCCCCGACGAGTCAAGACCTGGACCAACCCACCAAGCGCCGGCCGAGATTCAGTCCCATCCCGGAACATAAAAAATCCCCCGCTGAGGCAACGTCGTGTCCAGCTCCAATGTCCGCCCATACCCCCCACGATTCGATTGCATCCCAGCCCGCAGACCCCGCCCTGTCAGCGTCCGCCGGCAACGGCGAAGAGGCAGGGCGCCTATCCACGACGTCCATCAGAAGCAGTCCCCGGGAACAGCACAATGACTCGTATCGCTCTTCGGTCGCCGATCCCAGGTTTTCCGAGTCCTCCCGCTCGGATCAAAGTTTAGGGGATCGGGGCATGTCTCGGAGCTACTCGCCGCGGGAGAATCCCCTGGACAGCTTGGTCGGGGGGAAACGGTTTCGCCTCCCCCGCTGGAAACGCAATCGGGGCCCCCTCTTCCCTCTGCCCCCGCGACCAACCGGGCCGCCCTCGGATGGCGCTGCTTCGAATTCGGCCGTGATGGACTACGCGTCGAAACGGGGTCTCCCAGAGAGTCCGGATGGGGATCACATATCGCCCCTCCACTCCCCCGCCCGCTCGTCGGCGGGTCTGACCTCCTCACGGCCACCCCTGCTGCGACAGGACTCGGCCAACTCCAACAATTCGGCTCGCTCAACTCCGTCGAATCGCAGTCGCAAGACCAAGACGCGGGCGCGGTCGTCGACATTGGATTCGCTAGCCAACGTGCGGGAACACGAGCACCAGTCCTCCCCTCATCTCACTTCCTCTGGACGGACGTCTACGTCGACCAGCGGCCGGAAAAGCTTCGGGGAATTCTTGGGCATCTCGCAGCGCTTTGCGCCGTCCCCCACCGCGAGGAGCCCTGGAACACCCAAGTCGTCGATGCCATCGTATCCGGAACGAGAAGAGGGTGACACGCCGGGTACGTATCTGGCTCGGCTAGAAGAGCAGCTCCCGCGGAACACAATCGCAAATATCCTGTCCCAATTTAATGACGATTTCTTCAAAACGGCGCTGCGGAAATTCATGCGTGGATTCTCTTTCTTCCAAGACCCCATCGACATGGCCATCCGCAAGCTGCTGATGGAAGTGGAGCTGCCCAAGGAAACCCAGCAGATCGACCGGTTCCTTCAGAGCTTTGCAGATCGATATCACGAGTGCAACCCGGGGATATTCGCCTCGCCCGATCAAGCATACTTCATCGCCTTTTCCATCCTGATCCTGCATACCGACGTCTTCAACAAGAACAACAAGCGGAAGATGCAGAAGCCGGACTATGTGAAGAATACCCGCGGCGAAGGGATCGCGGATGAAATTCTCGAGTGTTTCTATGAAAATATCTCCTACACGCCGTTTATTCGCATCGAGGATGCCAACACCAATGGGCGCCAATTGGCCAGACCGCGGCGTGGTTTGCTGAAGACCGCGAGTTCCGACCATCTCTCTCGCGCGTCCAGGGAGCCGGTCGATCCATATACATTGATCATGGACGGGAAACTGGATCACCTGCGCCCCAGTCTCAAGGACGTGATGAACCTGGACGATACCTATTGTTGTGAGGGAACTTCAGGACCCGCCAATGTGGATGATCTCCATCGTGTGTTCGCCAAATCTGGAATCCTGCAGATCTTGTCTCCGCGGTCGAGGCCGGATGCCTTCATGCCCGCCAGCATTGACAACCCGGCTGACTCCAACCCGGGCTTGGTGGACATCAAGGTGGCCAAGGTCGGGCTGTTGTGGAGGAAGGACCCGAAGAAAAAGCGAGCCCGGTCCCCATGGCAAGAATGGGGCGCTCTTCTCACTCTCTCGCAGTTGTATTTCTTCCGCGACGTGAATTGGGTGAAATCCTTGATGGCGCAGCACGAGCAACACCAGCATGAGGGCCGCCGCCGAGCAGTAGTCTTTCGGCCGCCTCTGACGGAGTTCAAACCCGACAGCATCATGTCGACTGACGACGCGGTGGCGTTGCTGGATACGGGCTACAAAAAGCACAAGCATGCCTTTGTCTTGGTGCGCCACAACGCACTGGAAGAAGTTTTCCTGGCCAACAGTGAAGGGGATATGAATGACTGGCTGGCGAAGGTCAACTATGCGGCGACCTTTCGCACCACGGGGGTGCGGACGAAGGCAATGATTGCCACCAATTATGACGCCCAGCGGAACCGAATGAGCCGCCCGAGCTCCGCCGTGTCTGGCAGCACACATCGGTCGATGGATAAGGAACCCCCCTCGCCAAACCCTGGGGCCGATATGCCCCAAGATATGGCGCTGGCGCGTCGGGAACTGATGGAGCAGAAGATCCGCGAGGCCAATGAACAGCTCTTCGTGGGGCAAAGGCAGCTGGACGATCTTCTCCGAAATGCCCGGCACTTGCAGGTCTTGACGCCGGTGAACTCCCGAGCGAGGGAAAACGTGATCATGGCCGCCGGCCGAATGGCGGCGAAACTAAAATGGGTGCGACAGGACATCTGGCGCACCAAGTGCTACCGGGAAGTGCTCGTTCGGGACTTGGGGGAAGATCCGGTCGAAGCTCAGTCCGTTGGGGAGCTGCCACATCTTCAGATCCCAATCGCCCACCCTTCCTCTGCTGGATCCGACGGGTCTCAGGTCGAGAAGCCGGCTACCCCGGTTGTGGAAACTCGCCCCGCCGCTGACGCACCGCCCGCCCAGGACCTTGTCTCGCAACCGACCGCCTTGGAACCACGAAGGCCCAGTATCCCTACGTCCATCACTTCAGAGCTTGGTCTCCACATCGGTCGACGGCTGTCCGTGGAAACCCCTAAGGAGCGTGCCAACTCTACCTCTCCGCCACGGCCCTATGGCCTGGAACGCGATGCCTCTGTGGCAAGCAGAATGGACGCTGCCAGCCTGGGTTCTCGGACTTCCAAGATTACAGGAAGCGTGGACGACGGCGAGGAGCGCCTGCTGCGCGATGCAGGGCTACTGGACGTGAACAGCCCACCCCCGGTGCGTCGGCAGTCGCTGGTCCGGTCTGATGGCGACTCGAAACCGGAGGATGGGCCGGATGGTGCCCAAGGTGAACAGGCGGGCCGGATCCGCCGCAGTTTGCACCGTACCCTTCGGGACACCCCCGGTGGACACCATGGTCATTATATCCGGAGCAAGAAGTCCCGCGAGTCGGCGACGTCAAGCATGGCCACCGCCGAAGACGGGCCCGGAACAAGCGAAGGCGAGGGCCTTTCGCGCAAGTCAGCCAGTTTCACGGTCCACGGAAAGAAGGCGTCGGTTGTGACGTTCGGCTCCGAGTGGCAGAATATTCCACCAGAGGAACGTCTGAAACTGCGCAAGCCCACCCCATCAGATGAGCCACGAATCTCCGAACCGCTCGTTACCAGCAGTGCCGGGTCGATTGTGTCGGAGGCGAATCAATCCGACTATCCGCAATCGCAGCGGACCGCGAGTACGGCCACGCGAAGGAGTGTCTATAGGCCGGAAGTGGCGGCGGAATCAATCGACGCCGTTGGCCGACTATACCCCGAAGACACGAAGGCCGAGAATGACGATGCCATCGGACATGATTGTAGGGTTTCTGAGATGCATGGCGATCATGTTACTGGGGACGCCAAGTCCCAGCAGATGCCCCCTCGCTCACCGAAGCAGGCAATCAATGTATGATGAAAGATCCCGGCCGCGGGTACTTGAATTTGTTGATCATGAACTTTATACCCCTTCTTTTTGTGTTGATTTTGTTCTGTCTTTGGTGGGTTTCTTCAAATTCACCGTTGTTTTTCTTTGGTACCGTGCAATACATATAGGCTAGCGACTCGGAGATTCGTACTTGGTGTCCCACTGCATCAGCCTTTGGGTAAGCTTTGACCTAGATTTAGAGATGTCTGTTTTGCCATGAGTCCGGAATGAATGGTTAGATTTGGCCACTCTTTGTTGTTTCCTATTTGTTTCAGTGCCAGGGCCCTATGTCTTTGGTCCGCCAGACATTGGGACGACGCTCGTTCAAAGCTAGAGGATTGTTTGAGTCATGGGAGGCTTTGTCTTTTGATTGATTTGAGATACCAGTGCTCTGATCTGGACTTAGGCGCGGTAGAATGGTTATCAGGGTTCAACTGAGACTGATCGTCCAACATCTCTCCTATGATCTGATCGATTTCTTGATTTTCTTTGTAGACTGTATTCTGCTTAGTTCTTTCAGGTGTATTGTATGCCATGTTGTAGGCTTTCTTTTGGGCCAACACCGAGAAGATCAGTTCACGTTGTCATGTCTTCTACTTTTACCTGGCTTAGTCGTCGTGGTTGTTCCAGTGCCCATGTTCGTATTACTTGAAGTTCTCTTGGTCTGCATGAAACTATCTTACCTTCTTGCTTGTTGACATGTTCCTGACTTCGCTTACAGTCTATCCTCTACTCTGTTATCCTTGATCTTCTACTTTGTGCAGTCACTCAACACCTGATCCTGCATTCCTCTACTAGTAGTAAAGTGTATGTGTTCTGTTCCTTACCCTTGTGTTAATAATGTTCATTAATTAGTCCCATCTGCTGTGACGGTCCAGTGCTGACAAGAGACAGTATGGCGCCCCAGAAACTGTTAGGTCTTGTCCCATCACGTGAGTGCATCTATATAACATCCATCCACGTGAAAACATGCACAAACACGAAGAATGAAAGCTAACATCTTTGTGATCGCAGAAAAGCTGCAGCAATGGTCGATTCCAGCGACGACACCATCTCTGCCTACCTCCAAAGGGCCTCGGTGCAAAGTGACCACATTCACCTTCACTCAGCCAGATGAACCCTTCCGGGGCTCCAGCACAGCGATAGTCGACGGAATCAACAACGACGAGGACGATGACGAGGACGATGACGAGGACGATGACGATAAATTCGACGATTACTCAACCAGTCTCCTCTACTACGAAGGCTCCCTCTACACCAAATACATCAGCCCCACCCTAGGCACCGGTCTCTACATCGACGAAGCCATTCCAGCAGGCAGCGCCATCGTCGCCGAACGCGTCCTCTGGATCAGCGAGACCGAACAAGACACCTGCACTACCACAGCAGACGCCACCCTCCTCCTAACCCGCAAGCTCGAAGCCATGGGCAAAAAATGGACCGCGCGCTTCATCGCCCTGTCCGAAGACTCCGACCGCACCAGCGGCAACGCCCTCGGCGAAATATGGGACACCCACAACATCCCCACTGTCTGGAACTCCAAACGCGGCGCCATTTTAGGCCCCAACCTCGCGTGGATCAACCACTCCTGCACCCCCAACTGCACCCTCACCATAACCCACCGCTACCCATGCGGAAAAGACGGCCGACGCAAGCCCCACACCAAAGCACTCATGGGCCGCGCCATCCTTCGCGCAGCAAAAGACATCCCCCCCGGCGCGGAGCTCACAATCGGCTACTTCCACCCGGCCGGCTGCGTCGCCTTCCGCGGCATAAACTGCTACCTGCGGTTCGGGTTCCACTGCGCCTGCCACTGCTGCACGCAGCTGCACTCCGAGCTCGAAGAAACCCTCGAGGGCACCCACCGGCTCGGACTGCTCCTGCAGACGCCCGACCTCGTCACCACCTGGCCGGCCGGCTTCTTCCAAGTCGCCCACGACCTGGAGTACTGCATCGCGAGCGTCACGCCTTATGATATCCGGCTTGCTCTGACGTGGGCAAAGTGCGCCCTTGTCGCGGGTTACCACTCTGACTTGGCGCGCGCGATCTGCTTCCTCCGGAAGGCGAGACGCCTGGCTATGCTGATTGAGGGCCCCGTGGGTAAGTTCTATGATCAGCTGATGAGGTGGAGTCAGTCTCCGGAGCTGATGCCTGGGTTTGGCGCTTCCACTCGCGGGCTGTCTTCCTTTGCGGAGTCTGATGTGGTTGTTGATGATGGCGTCGAAGATGAGAATGTTCTTTACATGACTGATGCGAAGAGTCTATCGGAGTATATCCGCGTGTCACAGTACGAGCGAATCCGGAAGAAGGAGAGCGGCGACGACGACAAAGAAGAAGAGAGGGAGCAGGACGAGGGAAAGAAGAAGCACGCCCGTCCCAAATGGAGAATCCTACCTGGAGTGGATGAGGGAAAGACGGGAAAGAAACATCGGTCGAGACAGCGCCTGGATATGGCCCTACGTCTGAAGAGGAAGCTCTTCCGCGAGCGATGCGATAACGAAAATATGCAGATAAAGTTTCTGGATTCGTACTTGCTGACTATGGTGGGTGTTCTCAAGAATTCGCCGGATTTGAAGCGCTCGTTGGGGCGGAAGAAGGGAATGGGTGAGGCGTAGGTTATTCAGGGATCAGATGACAGGTGGATATGATGATTGATGGAATTGATGGCTGGTTCATATGATGACCGGTGGGTGTGATGGATGATGGATGTGGATATGTTTGATTATAAGGATTCCTAATGATTGCGTTGGCGAGGGACTCTTGATAGGATCTGAACTCTGAGGGTGATATTTTCTGTCCATGGTGGTATTCTCCTATCTAGTCAAGTGGTTGCACTGCAGTCATACAATATTTTAATGCAGACTGATTTTAAATGAGACACTTCGAGCAATAGACCGTTATACCTAGACCGTTATACCACCACTACACATGGCCACATGGTCACATCCACGTGGGCTCGTCTATAGTGTATACGCACGGTGGTAAAGTCTACTACAAGACAGGAGCATGAAAATCATCATCATAACTATGATTTATGGAGTAACGACACCTTGCGCAGTCCAAGAGGGAAGACAGGCCGAAAAACTAATTACAAAAGAAACTCTCACCCACAGAAACAAATTGCCTCACGAGAAAAGGAACCATCAAGGGAAATGAAACCCAGCCAGAGAACCCCCAGCCACAGATGTCGACCTCAGAGCTATCAAACTCATCCAAGCGCCGATCTCACCGTCGAGAGGAAACCGTTATTGGCGTAGGACTGACTTGCGTCCCACAACATAACCCCCCCAAAACTCGAAAACTGCTTCCCATAGCGAACAGCCTGCCCAAGCACGTCGGCAGAGACATATCCCGAGCCAGCAGCCCCCGTATTAGCTGGCGCTCCAATGAAAACCCTGACGTTCTTGTTGCGCGAAGTCGAGCGCGCCCACTCGTCCCAGGTCGCCAAGTTGAAGGTAGGCTGGGAGGCCGAGCCAACCACATACGACTGAAGCCCACAATAATTGTTGTAGAACTGGACCCAGATGGCGTCGAAGTAGGTCGCGCCGTTCAGCATGGCCCCGTTTGCGGCGTCGGGGTAGGGGCACTGAGGCGCGGCCGTCAGGAAGAACTGCTTGCCGCCATTTTGGTACAGGGCGCGGAGGCGGTTGGCGAAGGTTGGCATGTTGTTGACGTGGGCCTCAAAGTCCAAGTCGAATCCGTCGACGACAGCGTCACCGAAGGGGCGCAGGGCGTTGTTGTTGGCTGGTCCGAAGGTGTTCCAGATGAGCTGGGCGCCGGATTCGGCTGCTGCTACGCTGGAGAAACCGCCTTCGGTGTAGGTGGCGCCACCGATGGAGAGGAGGATGGCTTTACCCTTGGACTGACAGTATTTAATGTCTTCCCTGGGGGTTGTTAGTGTATGTGGTAGATGGGAGGGGAGGAAAGGGACTCACGCAATTTGGGGACAATTCAGGAGAGAAGTCCCGCTGAATGGGGTGCAGCTGTCTCCGGCGTTCGCGAAGTTTACGGCGGGGACGCCTCCGGGTCCGTTGATCTGGGTGACGAAGGAAATGATGAAGACCTGTGCAGTGTGAGTGGAGTTTCCTATGTGAGTACGGTTATGAGCACGGCTAGAGTTATGTACGTTGATATCGCCATCTGTATCGAGGAGATTAGTATAGATGTGGATATGATAAGGAGAGGGGATCTCACTATCGCAGTAGTACGAGAGCCGGTGCTGGCTCAAGTCTCCACTAGACTGGCCGTACGAGTTCTGACCTACAGACAGTTAGATCTTGCATGGTAGTGGAGTTCATTGTGAACTTACCCCAGTAGACCACGAGGTTGTTCTTTGCATCTAGGTTGAGTCCGGCGTGGACTCCCTGCAGCACAAACAGGATTGCACAGAGCACGACTACGATCCAAGTTGACACCATCTCGAGAGCTGGTGGAGTAAGTCCTAAGTGGTATGTTGAAGATAGGATGCTTGAATTGAAGAGGACTGAGAAGATGGGCGAGAGAGTGGGGGAATTAGAGGAGCCATAGAGTCCTCGAGGCTCTTTATATACCCCATCGTGAGAGAGTCTAGGTCCTTGCAAAGTGTTTCTTTTCACAGAGTGACTGTGGAGACCAAGAGAATGACTGATACCACCTCATATCATCTGGGACAGTCATCTGTGTACGGAGTAATAGCTCTTGGCCTAAGGTCGATCTAAGCTGAAGCTATATCCCGGAGTGAAGCCGATCACGATAGAGTGATATGCGAGCAATGTCAGCCAGTTAGGGCTTTCTACAAGGAGATAAGAGAGCACTTTAGAGTTCTTCAGCATAGTTCACACATGATCATCCAAGGCATGGTTTGAAACTGGTCACAAACACAGAGTAAAAGTATCCCATAGTTCTCACGCCTGTAAGACCAATCCTGCGGTGTGATGAACAGGGGTAAGACATGGCGGATATGGCGCAGTGTCACAACCGCTGCATGGTGTCAGCCATATGATCTCATCATGTAGAGGCTTTTTGTCTCCACGTGGGATATGATGACCGGGAAATGTCTGGTTTGTGTTATGGTTTCCTGGTCAAAAGGTGGTCTGAACCTAGGACAAACTTCTGTTATAGCTCTACTGAATCTTGGCCGGACTGGACAGCATGATGCAAGATAACATTCACAAGCGGCTAAACTGGAAACCAGAACATAAAAAGACCCCTGGATATTAGTGAAGTCGAGTAATCACAGTGATAGGTTAGAATGATTGTTCCACCGGTGACCGGAGGATATCAGTAACTTTAATTCACCTAACTCTAATTTCATGAACACCTGCAGTCACATCTCGATCTCCTTACTCTTGCTTTGACTCAAAACTAATATTCACTATTAAGCTGGCCAGAACGTTGGAAGTCTCTGCAACATCTTATTGTATAATCAAATTACTATACTACCTCATGGTGTTTTGGTTTCTCCATGGCCGGATAATATCCTACCCAAGATGACCATCCGCTTCAAACAATGCTACCCGGCCTTCCATATAATCCCTCAAACTCAGTCAGTAAACCTAGATAGCAAACCTAGATAGTCAAATTCAAAGAAGAGCAAACGCTAAATACCATACAGCTTGCCACCCTCCTGAAGATGCCGATATCGCTACTACCTCGTCAACCGTCCTCCAACGTGGCATCGCTTTAGCAATGCCGGCAGAGTCCAGCACCAGCGCAAGCGAGATTCCCAGCTGACGTGGGAGCCAAGTTCGGAGGGATAGGTTAGCTCGAAAGGGTGACAGGGCGTTTTATCCTATCTTCACTGCGTTAGCTGCGGTCTCTCTGTCATGGTGTTGAGCCCAAGTATGAGAGAAAGATAGCATCGGCATATCAGAATCCGTTCGTACCTCAATACCACGGTCAACCTCCCCAGTTCCTACCGTCGCGCTATACAGGGCACCATTTCCGGCGACCCAAAAAGACCTGGCTCGTTGCTAACGGTGTCGCATACGAACTCCCCTCGCCCGTTCCATCCATCAGACCGTATTTGATCCGATGACCCAGTCGACCTGCAGCTGGTTGGCGATGGGAGTCGCGGTGCCCACGGTTTCGAGACCCCAGATCGTGTCGCTGGGACGTCTCGCGCAGCCGGCGCTGGAGGTAAAGCTAGAGGGATATTGGGAGAGATCTCAGATTGTTGGATGGCTGACGAGTGCCTACCTGTATCCTTTTTCTACGGAAATTCAATTGGAAGATTAATAGGGAGAAGCTACTTATTGGATGTCAGGAACCTACCGTTCACTGATTGGTGTTTCTGGTGACTGGTCTAGGTAAAAGACATGCTAAAAATACTGAGGTTGATATTTACCAGCCTAGGGTTGTATAGACAGGTAGACAAGATGAAGTAGATCTGCTGATTTCGTTCACCGTTCTATATATTTACCAGCCTGTTAGTAGTTTACAGATCCCATGGATGTTCATATACATATATATATGTATATAGAACGAGAGAGGGATGTCTACCATCGTCGATTCAAAGAGAAATCTTCTCTATACCTCGTCTCATTCTCTTTGAGGACGACTCTTCTTAATTAAATAGATATACATAATTAATTATATTGTACGTCTACTCCGTAATTAAAAACAAATATATACTTGTCTGTCCACTTCAACAGCAACCTATGTAAAGCTATGCTGCCATTTGCAACTTGTGTAGTAGATTACATAATTGAGAACAGCATTACTGACTCAGCACATCCTAACCCGATTGGGAGCTGCCGGACGATCTCCATCCGGATTGGGAAAAGCTTCACTTTCCTCACTTTCTCCTCTCGATCTCTCCAGGTCAATAGTTTTTCCCCTGAGACCATCCATGGTTCTCTCCCCATCTGAACCAACTTCTCCTGATATCTTCGGGTGTGGTCCTCGGAAGCTCGGACCCTGATGGAACCAGGATCACGGGCGGCATCAGCAGATTGGAGGAGGGATTGACATGATTCCCATCCCCACATCCACTGCCCTGCCGTCGATCCACCCACCAGTTCATTCGTTCGTTTCTTCGTTGATAGCTTCGTGGTCGGAATGTATTCGTTACTGCGGCAAAGACTGGTATGTCCCAATGGTTGTGTGGCGGCCATCGATCCAGCTGACCTGACCCTCTCCTCCCTCAGAAACCCTCCATCCACGCCCGTCATCACATCGATCAATCTCACCCGGCATTGTGGAGAGACGGGATAGCTCGAGTTTCCGCTCGAGCTATTTTGCTTTAGCTTCCTGGACTAATTTAGTCCCTGAGATCCATCACAGCGCCAAGGGAGCGCCAATAATCTCATCCCGGTCATACCGCATCTCTCCGTCCTTTGATTTCTTTTTTTTATTTTGCTTTCTTAGATTCTCTTTCTTTCTTCGTCTCGTCTATTTCTATCCCCCCTTTGGTTCCTTTGTTTTGTCCCCTAGCGGAATTGAATGAATCGACGGTGGATGCTGGTCGGTGTTTTGACGACCATTTAATAGCGGTCTGGAGTGCTCCTCTCCTTTCGTCATTCTTCGTTCTTCTTCCTCCACTTGGATTCCTTTTGTCCCCTCAACATCCACTCTTGTCCATTCTTCGGCTGCCCGCTATTTTTTACATTTTTTGTAGTGGGACCCTCCACTCCTTCACCTACCCCCTCGTCGCTTCTCATTCCGTCCCACTACCGTCATTGTTTTGATCGTTGTCGGCCGCCGACCGTCTCTTCCGCCCTCTCCATCGGACACGCTACACAAAGATTCTGCTACAGGAGGGGTGAAACACAAAGAACGGTTCCGTCCCTTTAGCCTCGCCTGCGTCTTCCCCATTCTGCAGCCCTTCTCTTCCCACAAGCCCTCTCCTACCACCGATGTCGAACGTCGACCGTGCGTCTTGAACCCTCACCCCGTCAGTTGTGGTCTCAACCACTGCGACTGCACACCGTGTCGATCCCAGGACATACCGAACCGGTTTGACGCGTCCGACATGTCATCTCACTCCGCCAGCATGAAGAGCAAGGCGGCCAACACCCATTCGTCCGCGCGTCTGGCTTCCTCGGGCGGGAAAACCCCGCGAACCCCCAACAGACCACCACAGCATCAGGCGACCTTGTCCCTCGGTACCGTGGTTGGGACCACCACCACCTCGCCGAACGGCTTCTCCAGCCACGACCAAAGTCGGTCCTTCGCGATCTGTGCGGGCTCTGCCGCTGTCCTGGCGGAGCTGGGTGCGGACAACACCGTGAGCCAGCGCTTCTTCCGCGCACGCCCTTCAGCGACCAGTGTCAACCCGGTCACCTCCTTCTACCACCAATCCACCCCACCAGGCACCCCCGATCCGCGCTCGCGGTCGGTATCGGGCATCAAATCCACCCCCCACGGCAATGGACACACCGGTTCCCCTGCGTCGCATGAGTTGCCTGACGGCGGCAGTCCCCGCCCGTGGTCTTCCCGAGAGCGGGTCAAAGCGGTGACCAGCGTCTGCATCAGCCCCAACGGAAGGCTCCTGGCCGTCGGCGAGGTGAGTATCAAGCGGGCCAGGGAAACGGGCAGCCAATGCTGACAGCCATCTCTCAGACCGGCTATAACCCGAGGGTTATGATCTTCTCCACCGACAAAGACGCGGCCGGCGACGTCCCGCTCTCGATTCTCCACGAACACACGTTCGGCGTCCGCAGTCTGGCATTCAGTTCCAACTCCCTGTATCTGGCCTCCCTCGGCGACGCCAACGACGGCTTCCTCTTCGTCTGGTCCGTCAATTTGAAAAATGGTTCCACCAAATTACACTCGACCAATAAATGCACGGCACAGGTGCGCGACATGCATTGGATGGGACAGACCCTGATCACGTAAGTTGCTGTCCCGATATATGTATATATGGTTGCCGACAGCGCATTGCTCACCCGCGGATAGTGTAGGCGTTCGTCATGTGAAGGTCTGGCGGCTGCCAGAGATCAGACCTGGCTCACCCACCAAGTCACGACTGACGGTGGACGGCACCCCCAGCTCTCCGAGCGTTGCCCCCAAGGCTCTTGCGGGGCGAAACTGCGTCCTCGGTCCGCTTGTGGAAAGCACGTTTACGAGCGTGGTCAGTATCTCCGATCATGAGGCGGTGGTGGGCACGGAATCAGGGACCCTGTGCCTTCTCGATGACACCGAGGGGTCCCAGAAACTCTCCGTGGTGCAAAACCTGGATTTTGGCGTGACCTCTCTGGCGGTGGACGTGGATGAATCCTGTCTCTGGGTCGGTGGCCGTGGAAATCGGATCCGGAGATTCTCCTTGGAGACTTTACGGACGCCAGTCACCCCGTCTCGCCCCACAAGCTCCAGGTCATCCTCAGGGGGGAAGGCCATGGAACCGGCGATTGCGTGTCTGGGCTCTCTTTCTTCTCACATCATTGCCATTGATAGCACCAAGGCGATCCATCTCTGTCCCACCGATGCACTGGACCAGAGTGACGAGTTAACTCACATGGAAAAGACTCTCCTCGGCCACACGGACAGCGTCCTCGGTGTCGGTCCCTTGAAGACACCTAACCCCACCGGTGCCGACTTCTTCACCTGGTCGCGCGGGGGGATGGTGAACTTCTTGGACACGCGAGGATACTGCCATAGTTCTCGAACAATCGCCTTGGATCATCTTCCGGACATGGACGACGAATCGTGCAACGAATTGCGTGTCCTCCGGTCCACGGAGGACATGGATTTTTTTCTATCCGGGGACAAGCTGGGTGTTTTGAGGTGAGTAATAGATGGGTGTCGGCGGGCAGTTCGCTATGGTGGCTGACAGACTGCAGAATCTTTGCCGGGGAGTCCTGGAACTGTGTTCACGAAGTTCGGGCCCATGGCGGAGAAATTACTGACATTGCCCTTCACGAGGACGACGACATTTGTTTGGTGGCCAGCTCGGGCCGGGATCGCATGGTTCAGCTCTTTCAGAAAACCGGGGAGAGTCTGGAGTTGGTTCAAACCATGGACGATCATGTCGGGAGCGTGGGGCAGCTTCTCTTTATCGACGACGGGAACAAGCTCCTCTCATGCTCGGCAGACCGCACCATCCTAATTCGCGAACAGGCTACGAGGGACGTCGACGGTACCACCGCCATTGCGTACCTGACCACGCGGGCCATCACCATGAAATCATCCCCGGTATCCATGACCCTGTCCGCCGAGGACTCAGACCGTCTCATTGTCTCCACTGCGGACCGCTGTATCCAGCAGTACGATCTCAATTCGGGTCGTCATGTGCAGTCGTTTCGCGCGGCAGATTCCGAGTCAGGCGACACGGTTGTTATGGGCTCCTTGGCGTCGGCTGCGGAGGTGGACGGCGAGAGTCCTCCGCTCCTCTTTGGTGTCTCGGGCACGGACAAGTCCATTCGAATCTACGACTTGGAGCGGTGTGCACTTCTCGCTGGTGAATTTGGGCACACGGAGGGAATCAGCGGCGTCCACTTGTTAGAAAAGCGATCCAGCGACTCCGACGGGCCCGTGACCCGAACCCTTATCAGCACGGGTATGGATGGTGTTGTCATGATATGGGATATCTCCGTCCAACCAAACCATTCCCACGAGTACACACAATCGACCTCGAACGAGGAGGACACACCCTCCAAGGATCTGGCATCCTCCAAGCCTCTGCGCAAAATCCTCTCGAGGAACGAGATCGCTGGGTTTCATCGACCGGAACACCTGGGCACCCCAACCCCGGTGCGGGCGCATTCCCCGCCTCTCATCCGCAAAGTATCCAAGCTTTCACTGAGCTCGGCTAAGCACGGCCATTCAACACCATCGGTGTCGGTTCATCCCCCGCCTGCCTCGGGGACCCGCGCGGACCATGCGCGTCGCACTCCATCCCCCCCTAGTCCTCAATCCACCGTCGCGAGCAGACACCGCTCCGGTCATTCGCGTCGCTCTTCTCTGGACTCGCGGCATCACGCACCGAAATCGAGCAAGTCCCAGTTTGGGAGCATCAACATGTCTACTGAGCAGGTTTGCCACACGCTCCAAGCGTACCGAAGGAAGCTGGACCGGTGCAAGGATCGGATCCGCGCCCAGAAAGTCTTGGAGCGAGAACTCCGACAGACCCTGCAGGTATTGGATGCCCGTGCGCAGCACCAGGAGGCCGGAGAACTGGAAAGCGACAGCAGCGACAAGGAGAATGAACCGATGCATGGAGGTATCAAGCGTAAACATGTACGGAGACCGCGTCGAGCTTCTTCGAGCTCGGGTCTGAGTGACACGGAGTCGGATAAAGCTCAACATCTTACGGTTGATTCTGATGGAGAGGGCTAGTCTAGTTAATCTTTCCCATCTCAGTGAGCTTTTCATATTACATTGATTTATTTCGTTGGTCTATTTCGTTGGTCTGTTTCATTGGTTTTCTTTATACTAGTCACGTTGGTTCCAACTGTCATGCTGTGGTCTCGAAAGACAGTCGTATCACAAACATTATGGGCGTTACATGGAAATCTAGAGACTTCGATTTTTAGCTTGATAAAAAAGGGTTAATCTAGAGGCCAGAGGCTATGCCATCATGTTTCTGTTGGTCAACATCTCCTTGCTTGATTGTAACACCTGCACTCAAGTAATAACTGCAGGCTGAGCTCGACAAGCACTCCATTTCCCCAAGATAATGCACAGCGCACAGTATCAACAGCAAAACAACACACCCATCCATCCCCTACAACCGCACCTGAAACTTCGGATTCGACCTAATCGCCGCCCCATACTTCAGCAAAAAGACCGGAGCCGGAATAAAAGCCACAGCAATAAACCCCAGCAGACTATTCCCCCAGCCATACCCAAGATCATCATACAACCTCTGCGACACCAACGGCAGCACCGCCCCGAGCAAAGACCGCACAACCGTATTACTCGCAATAGCACTCGCCGCAAAGATAGTATACGTCTCCACAAGATAAACCTGCACAGGCATGAAACCCAACAACACCCCGAATCCAAAGATGCCCGTGCCCACGATCGGCACAATCCAGTGGACGGCATACTGCGCCGTCCAGCCGTAGATGAAAAGCCCCACAGGGACGAGCACCGCCCCCACAACCGTCGGCGGAAGATGGTCCTCTGGCACCGCGGGGCGGGTACTCCGCACCTGTTTGAGATACTTGTCCGAGTAGAAGCCCGTGCAGAGCAGGCCCAGAATGAATCCCACCCCGACGCCGAGGTAGGCGAGGCCGGCTTCGCCTTCGTTGAAGCCGTAGGTGGACATGAAGATGTAGGTGAAGCTTGTGAAGAGGAGGTACAGGTAGGTGTAGTTCATCGCGATGTAGAGTGCCAGGAGGGTTACGATGGGGGCGAAGAGGAGCATCTTGGTGGGGCGCACTATGGCGCGGAGGAATGTGTCGAGCGTGCTGGTTTGGCTGTCGTATTTGGAGCGGAGGGCTGGGTTGTCGGTTTGTTTGCGGAGGGTGGCGGCTTTGCGGGTGAGGAGGACGGGGGCGTAGGTTTCGCGGACGAAGATGAAGCATGCTGTTGTTAGGATGGCGGACTGGGGTTGTTATTCACTTGCTCTTCTTGGATTGTACAAAGGGGAAAAGAGGGGACAGGAAGAAAACATACTAGTATAGTGACGAGCCAAAACACCCATTGCCATCCAGCTCCCTCGGCCAGATATCCCCCGACGACAGGACCTATACCGTTGTCAGTGAGATCACGCTTGTGGCTGGTATCAAAATCGAACATACCCAAAACAGGCCCCTATTTTGTACCAATTCTGTCAGCCTCTGCCTCGCATGGGATACTTATGGCAAGATCAACATACCATCAAAGGCCCCATCGTCCAGATCATCAACGCCCTTGCGCGGTGCTCCGCCGGCATGAGATCGTAAATGAAGCCTCCCCCAAGAGTCACAGGCGTACAGGCCATCAGACCCACAATCAATCGAAACACAGTGAACATGGCCAGATTGGTGCTCACCGCGCAGGCAATATTGAAGATAAGAAAGACGATATTGGTAACGTGCAAGATCGGAGAACGCCCGTATAGCTCGCTTAGGGGAGCCACGACCAAAGGCCCGAACGCAAACCCCAGAATGTAAATGGAGACCACGAAGGACTGCAGCTCTGCGTTGGTTTGGTTGAATCCGGCCATGATCAAGGGCACGGCGGGTGCGGTTACCGTTGAGGCCATGGAGCTGTATCGTGTTAGGGTTCTTCGTTGGTACATTTGGATTTGAGCGTCGAGGACGTCATGTCACGCACATGTTGAAGGTCACTGCTGATACGAGACCGACGAGACACCATTTCCGCGTGAGAGACCAGTTCTGCGGGTTATGCGGGTCATCGTCGCCGTCCCAGTCCACCATGTCTGGCTCGTCGGTGGCCTTTTCGCTGGCCATGGTGGTGGATTCGTTGGCTTCTGTTGTCGAGGTCATCTCGCTGGACGGCGCCTTCTCGACCTCTGACTCCCTTTCTCCTGCTGACGATCTCATGGTAGAACTCGTACAGGTGCGACGGGAGAGAAGACTTACTACAAATTTTGCGTCTACCGTGCTTGATATCAAGTCTTTTCCACATCGGAGCTATCCAGAATCCCGGATATAAGAACCCTAAAGTCCGTCCTTATCGTGGGGGAAAGAAGAGCCTTGTTTATTTGCTTCTTTAATTCTGTACTATCGGCTACAGGGGTTGCTAGATCCAGATATTTCAAATAAGGCGGACGGTACCCTGCAGACGCTGCCGCGGCATCTCGCTGACAGGAGTCAGGAAGGGTGAGGCTTTTGTGGAGTGGAATTAGTGTCTATTGGGATATCAGCATATCAAGCCAGACCAAAATGCCAATTTAGTATTTCGGAGCTGTGGCTGAGAGTATCTATTTGACAGTGTACATGGTTTGATAGATAATCTGTACAACTATGCATGAAACTGAAGATAAACAGTATACAAGTTTCTATCCCAAAATCAGGCTGCAAAGAGCCTTACTCGCTTGTGCAGCGGTCACCCTCGTCTACATTTAGGGCTCGACTTGCTAGTAAGCATCTAATGTACGAGCGCAAGCTTGTCTGAAACACAAAATTCCGCGTCCAATGATGATCTATACTCAATCCTGGAGATTTTTTTTCCTCTTTGAAAGTAAATGATTATGTATATAAAGAACAGACAGAAAAAGGGGGGGAGGAAACAAAAAGCACGGAATTTAGGTAGCCCTTAAGTCCGGGCCGCAACCCATCCTCTGGCACATACAACCCTGGCACATCCATGCATACATCCATCCATCCCGTTCGTTCAGAGTTTTTCTTCCCCGACGATTATCTCCTCTCTTGACATAGCAGCAAGCGTCATACCGCAAACGCCACGAATGGCTTGTTTCTCGCTAAGCGTAAACACCCTGGCTTTCAGAACCATCTCTTCACGCCCATCCAGAACAAGCGTAGTTCACACCCCTCTCAGCAGACCAGCAGAGACAGAGTGTGTATTGTAGACCCTAGCATTCCACCTATCTTGGGTTTTGGTCTCTCCGACAACATTGGTAGCATTTTGAAGGCACTTTAGTACAAGTTTTGTCTCTCCTTTGTCGAGGGCTGCAGCTGCGCATGCCAGTACGTAGTCACTTTTTTCATCGCCTGACTTGCATAGAGTCTCGAGATAGTCACGCGCTTTATGTGTCAGTTGTTTGTCTCTTTGTGGTGAAGCTGTCTTACCAAGGGAAGTATCATTGTTTCTTAGAGCCACTTTAAATAACAGATATAGTGTCGCCGGGGAAGAAACGCATTCTTCTGGCATTGAGTCCAATATATTGCGCACTTCTACCAGATCGGAATTGCCATGCTCCAGAGCACAAAGAAGAAATCTCCTGGCGTGCTGTTAGGAATTGAGACATGTCATCGAGTAGGATATCAGTACCTCAATATTATAGACTTGTTACCTGGGGAAATCTGAAGAATCTGCTGCTCGAGCACACAGCGACACCACTGTCCTGCTGTATAGGTATCGCCGCTTGACAGTGCTTTGTCGGCGAGTCTCCATATAAGCTGTATTCGGTTAGTTGCAAGAAAGTATCGTCTGGTGTTGACCGTACTAACAAAGAGGCATGCGATGCTTCCTCGCTAAGCTTTTCTTCGAATTCGTTTAGTTTGTCCATTGTCTGCTTGAATATTTCCAGCTTTTTCATCAGGCTCTCGGACTCCGTACTGGTCAATATCCAGAGGAGACGAAGGAGGACACTCTCAGTCCATTCTTTGCTCTTCAATAGGGCGACCTTTTTCACGAGCAGCTGCCTCAATGCCTCTATGGCGAGGTCCGAGCTATCAGGTCAGTACGGCACGTACCTCTCCAGATGACACTTACTGTGAATCTTTCAACACGTGTATATAGTGGACAATACTGGTCTGGTAAGCAGATACCATTCTGTAGTTATATGTAACTTACATTTTCAATGTTTCGCCATTGATTTTCACTGATTGAATGGCAGTCTGGACTACTGTTGATAATCAGTTTGGCTTCCATCACGGTAGCTGTGCTCTCTTGACCTTGGAAGAGGTCCTGCGCCGCGAATCCCTCTCTTTTCATGAGCTCTAACCGGAAAACCGCCATAGGGAATGCTGCTCCGTGTTCCTAGAGAGTGTAAGCCACTTAAAGTTGGTTATATAAAAACCCATACCCCTTCCATACACTCCAGCGCTTTGCTCAGATATTCTCTTGCATCCACGAGGTCGAAATTGAGATACCCTCGAACTGTGTATTATTAGTGCATGGATACCATATTTCCACAAGAGAAAAAGATGTCTTTACCAAGTGCATGTAGTAACAGAAATCTTTTCTCTTTCATATTCCCATCCACTCCCTCATTGTAAATGGGAAATTCGATTGCTGCGAGCGCTCTCTGCAGCCACTTCACTGCCAAACCATATTGGCCTTTCGCCAGCCCTAGCTTCCCAACTTTGTAGCATAACTCCACAAACACATCCTGGTCTTCTTTGATCCTCGTAGCTGGAACTTTCAGGAACAAGTGATCAGCGATATCTGGCCTGTCTAGGAGACATGACTAAAGAACGTCAGAAGATACGTTTCAGATCCTAGAGTAACAAACTCACTAGACATATACGACACATATAGTATCCAGTGGTAACAGCTTGCAGTCTCGCCCCGTCCGAGTCAGAGGTCGATTTTCCGAGCACGTCTAATCGCACTGCTGCCCTTTCAATAACTCGTTGACTCAGATCAATATACCCACAGTCTGTACGTATGTATCCACGTTAACAGGTGCCAGGCGAGTGAACGGCACGGGAAAAGAATAGTATATACATACCCATTGAGCACTTCACAGCGCACAACGCCACTTCTAGGATCCTGTAATCTCCTAGACATTCGAATAAGCCCATGCCTGGTTTCTTCCTTTCCATCATGATCATACCTGTTTGCTGCTCTGGTACAGCGGCGTCCAGCATAGCGAAAGCAAACGTCTTGACTACAGCAATTTAGCAGGAACATCTAGTACAACAGCCTTCTACCCTACCAACCTTTACACAGCAGGTTTGCGTCTGGCTCTCCATTAGCAGCCGCCATTAGCTGTGCGCACACATTCCACAGTCGGGTGCCGGCGGAGTCTAGTTCGCGTCTGTCGGAGAGTGGAGGGGGGCGTGCGAAGAGGGGGGTGTCCGCGATACGCTTGTCGAGGTCAAGGAGGGTGGTTTGGCTCAGACATGAGGCGTTCGAGGCTGTTGTGTTCTGTAGGTGGTTATATAAATCGCTGGCTAGTTCTGATTAGGTTTGTCAGAAATATCAATGCTCAATGTAGCGGTGTGATGGATGATGAATGCAATGTGCAATGCTTGCCTAGGATGGAGGCTGCCTTTTGGTGAGATTTGCTGGGTGGGCTTGTTGCCATGGTGTTGGCGTGGTTTGGGGGACGCTTTGAGGGATATATAGAGAGCTCGAGTGTGATTCAGCTCGAAGGTAATCGGTAGTGGCGTACTTTACTTTTGGGCTGAGTTGCAACTAAATTGGGGGAGAGAGGGAGGGATGGATGAGAGTAAGAAGCTCACCTGACCCGGCTACTGCCATGATATCAAAACATGGCATGGGGCCGAATTTGTGTGCATGTAATATAGTCAATTTTCTTCTTGATTTTCTATTTAAAAGCATCATGCAAGAGCACTATCTCCTTAAATAGAATTCATATCCAGAAGCTGGAAATGACATGTCTATGCAAGCAACCAGCAGCCAGCATTTGAAGTATTTGGAGAATTATATTGTTCACTATCTATACACACTCGAGCTTTCGAGCTTTAACATGCCTTGACAGGCAATGCATACAAGCGGAGCTCATGGAAAATCCAGTCAAGGTCTTGGTAAGGTCCTATCTGACGCCTGCAAGCATGACTGCGTGGTCATTCTATGTTCCCAGACCAAATGCTATCACGGAGCTTCAGGCATCATTTCGCCCAGAAGATGCTAGTGAGATTGATACTCCCACTCAAGTGGCATGAGTGTCTTCCAAACAAGTTGAGCGAGCAACATGCCATATATTCAATGACAGTCTGGGGGAGGGAGTGCCCTGCATCTCTAAGTATATCATCGAGGTTCCGCAGCTTCGTGTGCCGGCTTCCCATTATTGGGATATACTTCATCAAGTTCGTAGGTCCCGAGGGCTGAAGCTAGACACGAACAGATTCAACGTTGCCGTGTTTTCCTCGGGTCGGTTTGTAATCTGCCACTCGACACGATGTTTCAATCCTCTGGAAGGGAAGCCAGGCTCAAGACTGCATGCGAGCGTGTGATCGCATCCTTCAACCCAACAAGAGGAGCGGTGTTGCTTTGCATCGATTTCAGATGGCCATTCAACTGTCCCAGCAATCTCGACAATTCAGGATCCGCCTCAAGCTAGACGACGTCAGCATATTTCCACACAATAGTTTGGGGAGGACATACCTGATCGAACATGGTACGGGGCTCCTTCTCCGTCGCGATCGTGAATCCAGCCTGTCCTTGACTCTTCTCTTGGGGGCCATCGTTGAGTGTGCGCAGCACAGGGTGTTCCTTCAGAAAGATCAGTATATGAAGATAGTCAAAGATATCGCGCAAACTCACATTTTTCATCAGCCTCTTCCGCTCAGATTCAGCCCGCTTAGCATTCTTCTCCATCTCCTGCAACTGGCTCGTTTCCTGCGCCAGCAGAGCCTCTTCCTTCTCAATCTCAGCCCTCAAAAGATCAATCCCGTCATTCGTCGTCGCCAAGCTAGCCTCCAGCGACGTCTGTACGAAATCATCAGTCAGCACCAACCAACACTCAACAAACCCGTCATATCACATACATGCTCCTTAAGCGCAGTCTCAAACTCAAAGCACGAGTCCTTCGTCACCGGCGGGAATGGCATCCTAGGAAGGCGTTTACCGAGGCTTTGAAACAGCCAATCAGCACTTCAATCCAACTTGAAACAAGAGATGAACAGCGAAAGGGGGGGGGGGAGGGCAGGGCATACTTTTTCACGACCGCCTGGACAGCCGCTTGTGCCTCGATGCGCTTGCGCTCATTCTGGTGGCGGACTATCACCGGTCGCTCCAGGGACCGAAACATGTCGCGCACTTTGTCCTGGACGGGCTCCGGGAGGGTCGTCCATTTTGACTTGATGGTTCGTTCGGGGATGTGGCGGACGTGAGGCTTCAGGTAGGCGAAGCGCTTGTTGTTGTTGTTGTTGTTGTCGTTGCGCGTGTCGCCGTCGTCGGCGTGTTTTCTTTTCGGAGGCATGATGGAGGTGCGTGCCTATGGATCGGACGTGTAATTGATGTGGCGAATAAAGGAAAGAGGCGATTAATTTAGGTTGAGAGGTGAAACTGATGTTGGCTGCGGGGATGGTCAGGGAGTTGCGTCTGGATTCTCTACTTTCATCATCGCTGCCCGTGTTTCTCGCTGTGATCGACTGCCGTCACATGCCTAACAGCCGCCAGGCGGGCTAAACCGGTTTGGGTTACGGGGCCCCGAAACCCTTTTGCGACCATAATAAACATTGGTTACTGCGGGTTTCCCACCTTCATGGGACTGACTTGATTAGATTGCAAGATAAAGATAAATGAAACAATGAATAAAAATCAAATAAGAAACCGAATAAATAGGTACAATAAATTCAATCAAACAAAAATATAAATAAAACAATATATCTACTTCTCTACTAGCGCTTCCCCAAGGCAGGGTCTCCAGGGGTCGCGCATAAACACTCCAATGACTTTCTCTATCCAACAAGGGTATTTATTATGGGAAATAATCACATGCACAGTTCCAGACCGAGTCACAAATGTCCTCCACATGGGGTCTTTATATTCACATTCCAGATCATAGTCCCTGATAGCTGAACGCCTTCCCTTCCTGCCAACAAGATATACACGCCGTCAGATCGCTAAACCGCTTCATCACAGAAAAAAGCCCTAAACACAAGCAAGCCTTCCTCTTTTGGGGGAGAGGAAAGGGGGGCGGGAAAAATGTTGATGTCATGGTCTCATTAAGGATGCAAAAAAGTTACCGCGGCATCATCAAACCATTCACGGTTTTGAGCTCGGCCAGCTGCGACTTCAGGATCTCATTGCCCCGGATGACCTCTTCCAACCAGTCGGCGGCCTGGGTGAGCATGGCGCTTTTGCTGAACCCGCCACCCCGCAGCCCCGGGACCAGGGAACACAGGTCGTCGAACCCCTGCCGAATCAGGTTTCGGCGTTTCTGTTCGGAGAGGATGTGATTGCTCCGCTTTTGCTCTTCCGTCAGATTCTCCCGAGCGGACTTGGCATTTGATTGTATACTCGACCGCCGGACGGCGTTCGAAGACATTCGCCGGGGTTTGTTGTACGTCGAGGCCTTGGACTTGCGCCTCTGCTGGGACAAGTCCCCGTCGGAATCCTCCTCATCCTCTTCCTTGATCAGGGTCTTCTGTCGTTTGCTCGGTTGCAAGAGGCCATCCATGCTCTCCCCGTACTCCCGTCGGCCATCGCCCAGCCTATTAGCCGTTCCGGACTCGGGCCAGGGCATGTGCGAGCCGGTAGCCCGCTCCGGGCTGGGCGCTCGCGTGTTGGCCGCACTGTTCTGGCGCTCGAAGCATTGGAGGTTGCTCAGGAGGTCGTCCACTCGTTCCTCTTCATCCGGTTGATCGGCCGGTCTGACGTAGCCCTGATCCAGGAAACTGACATCAGACCCCCAGTGGAGGGGTCGGACCTTGGCCGTGGCCTGCTGCTCGGGAGAGATGGGTTCCCTCACATCGAAGAGCATCTCAGACGTGTGGTACGCGACTGGCGGACGTGCCGGAGCAGCCGCACTGGTGGGTCTGGGAGACACATGCGTGGTATGTGATCGGTCCTTGGCGTGACCGTTCGGTCGAATACCGCCGAAGTCCATGTTGGGGTATCCCGCAAAGGGATTCTGGCCGATGGGGGGTTGGATCTCCGGCTGGTTCGATCCGGTGTGGTAGAGCATGGATGCCGCCGCAAAAAGGTCCTGGCTTACCCCGTGTCCGTTGGGAAACATCCCCGCCCCGGGCTTCTCGAGGCTGGTCTGGGGGCCCGGCGGCTGCAGAGACGTGGTCGAGCCTTCGAAGGTGGGCGGCAGCTCATCCGACCATCCAAAGTTGGTCGTGCCAAACGGCTTGTTTTGCTGGTTTTGCATCCAAAGGTCATTATTGCTGAATTGGTTCGAGTTCAACGTCGTGAAGAAATTCTCCAGCATGTTCGACTCGTTATCGTCGAGAAGAGCTGGGCCCGGCGGCGGCGCCGGAGCCGGTTCGTACGGGGTATCCATCGTGGGCATCACAACTAGAAGCACACCCGATGGTCAGCGGACACCATAATCATCACCACTTGACGCAGCAGAACCTACAGCCAAAAGGGCCCGGGGGAGGGCTATTCCGATCATCGCGAGGTTCAGGACCGTTCATGTTTGGGTTGGGGAGGAAGGGGGAGGGGGGGAGAGGGTACGTCAACACAAGTGGGAGGCGGGGAGGAGTTACGGAGAGGGGATCGAGGTTGCGAAAGTTCGTCCCAAGACGACTGCACCAGCATGTGCTACTCTAATATCGAGAGCAGCGTCGACCAAGACACGTTGAACATGCCTTGCTCTATAGAGATTTGAGAATCGAGGAAGAAACCCAGCAATAACAAGTAAACCACGGTTCAATATAGTAACCTAAACACAGCCGGGGTGGGAAAGTATACACCAAAGAAAAGGTCAAGAAAGGTAGAGAAATTTCAGATGACAGAAAGTGACGGGATGGAGAAGATTCCCCGCATTAAAATCATTCATGTGTTTGATGACGAGAAATCTGGAGATGAGCGTAGTGGAGAGAGAAGAGAAAGCTTTGGACAATTCGAGTTTCCATGATGGGAATTTCGGTCTTTTCGCCGGGCGGATCACATGTGAACTGGGCCCTCGTGCCAGGGGTCGCGTGACGTATGTGTATTACCGTCAATACCCGCCTGTTTTCTCCTTTTTACCCCTGGGTCTATCGATCTGGTACGGTAACATACAGCATCTCCAGCTCTTTCTCCTCCTCCCCCCAGAATTCAATCCCACGTTCTTCTTGAATCTTCATATCCAAACACTTCCTTCCCTCGGGATGCGGCAGCAGTGCGCGTCCTTTCTTGGGTTCAGCTATTCCCCCGGTTTAATTAATTGAGGTTTTCGATAGCCCCACTACTCCGTACTCGGTACCTGACTGGATTAAGGCAAGATCCTTTCCGCAGTCGACCTCTGTTAGTTCCACCCCCCTCTTTGGAAGAAACCTTGCGAATCTGCGACAGACGTTTGGATGATCATCAAGTCGGTCACGGCTTGGTTCTCGAGTGGATCAGGTTTAGAAACTTTCCTGATTACTTCGGATCGTATTTGTCTCCAAACCGAGGTCGAACCATACCGCTACACGGCTCCACGGGCTGATCATACCCGCGAAAGGCTATTCGCCCGCAAACTAGATCCTCCGAGGCTGTTGGTTTCCAGCTGCACCCCGGGTTTGATGTTAGGGGTACCTGACCCTTTAATTTGTTAGAAACTGAGCCACCCGACGGTTGTCTTGCTCTTTATGTTGGCTGGTTGCCAGATTGATTTACTCGAGGCCAATCAATCCCACCTCGCGCCTTTTAAAGGAGGATAAGCCGCTTACCCACCTTCCGCCTGAATTAGTCATAGGTCCGTCTCCGTCACGAAGGCATGCTTGCAAGACGATTCCACTGATACAAGGACATTCAATCGTTGTGATGTGATTCAGAGTTGGTGCTGACATCCTACCTGATCCGCCAAGGAGCGGATATGCGTTAGACGGTCTGGTCTAGCTATCATGGATCTTGCAGTCATTCGCAGGCACCAGCATGAGCTTCGAGTCTTAAATCCGTAAGTAGATGTCACCATAACGTGCGATTTCCTTGGCCGCACCGGTTGTGTTACGTTCAAGAATAAGAATGAGAAGATACAAGATATTGGGAGATAGAGTGAGAGATCCAGACCTTTGACGTTTCTTTCCAACAGCGTTTTGCGGGCTTATGCCATTGGGTATTTGTCTTCAGCCACGCCAAGAATCGTATCGTCCTTGGGTCGGATTGGGAAACGTGAGCTGAGTTATGAGCAAAAGTGTGCCGAGGTGTGTTGACAGTCTGTCTCCAATCTTTCTCAAATTCTTTGCATCCCGCAAGGGGGCATCGTGCGTCGTACACCCATTAACACCGAGGTGGCAGCTGTATTCGGCGTTGACGTCTGCAATACGTCTGGAAAGTTTCCCAACGTTTTGTGCGTGTCTTGTGGGCGGTTCGACCGTTGTTCCTACTTTGATTCTCCGGTTATGGGGCCTTGTAAGGCTCAAGCTGGGGTCAAGGGATCCTGCCTCGATCCCTAATCATTATGCCCGGGTGATCCGATTACTAGCCGCCTTTCTTTCTGCGTGGTCAAGCTTTGAGCTTCTGAATCGCAGGCCCCTCAAACTTCGCCAGAACAGGAATTCCCAAAGTAGTGCAGAAGGCAGGGCGGCTTCGAACCAGGCGGCTGCGGATAAATCCCCGGCCAGCCTGGAGCACCACGGACGTCCCGCCTTTGCGGGCAGAACGATGGACCTTACCTTGTTTACTTTAACCAGAGCCGTGGATACTGTCGCCTCGATCGCTTGGGCCCAATGGCGATCAAGGCGGAAGGCACAAGGTCGGTGGACTTCCGCAGAGTCTGTGGCACCTGGGTTGGCGGATGCCGGGCTTTTTGCAGCCAGCTCGGCGATTGTGATGTGGGCTTGGTTTTATGTCCCAGAACGATTACCCAAATCTTACGAAAAGTGGATTGGAGAGGTTGCCAAGGTGGATACCCGCTTGATCGAAGCGCTTCGCCGGGCCCGGAGAGGTATCTTTGTGTATGGAAAGGACACGGGTCAAGGACCGCTGCTTCGGCCCATGTGCAAGGAATATGGGTGGCCGTTGACGTGGGGGGAACCCTCGGAGACCATTCCCATACCCTGCCAAATGGTCCACATGAGCTGTGGTCCCAGCTGCGAGTGGCATGCGGTATCTCGATTCGCGCGGACCTTCAAGTTCGCCTGTGCGACCTACATCCCTCTGCAGATGGCCGTTCGTGCCCGCTCCATGAAATCCTTGTCGGCCGTTCGTCGGGCGCTCACTGAGGCACTCCGTTCATCCAGCTTCCTCGCCGCGTTCGTGAGTATCTTTTACTACTCCGTCTGCCTGGCCCGGACGCGACTCGGACCCAAGATCTTCAGCAGCAAATCAGTAACCCCCCAGATGTGGGATTCTGGACTCTGCGTCGGCGCCGGGTGCATGATGTGCGGGTGGAGCATACTGGTCGAGAAGGCACGGAAGCGGCAGGAAATGGCACTGTTTGTGGCACCCCGAGCAGCCGCCACTGTGCTTCCTAGAGTTTATGATAAAAAGGTACGAGTGATGAATTCTCCTTTTCTACCATTGGCTGTTCTCTTTTTCTTCGGCTCATGGCTGGTCACACTTATCCTGTCCCACCTTCATTTCTGCCTTGCAAGTGCCGTTGAATCTAACGAACATAGTATCAAAACCGCGAACGCATGGCCTTTGCTCTAAGCGTCGCCATGCTTTTCGCCTGCCTTCAGGAGCGACCCGATTTAGTCCGCGGTGTCTTTGGCAGAGTCGCCGCCAGCGTCTTGAAGGCTTGACCTACCAACCACACACCTCATTCTTCTCTTACCTCTATCATCTCTCACTTCTTACCTTTGACCTCTCCCCCTAATGGCTATACGGCTATATCCCCTAACTTGACTGTCCAAACTTTTTCTTCTATGGGTTGTGGTCCTACGTGACCTACTTGTGTAATAATATTAATGTTGTTCTACCCCTCAAAGTTTTTCTTTTCTTGCCTGGCATGGTAGTACTACTCGACAGTATCATGGCCTTTGCTGTTCTAGGCCACCATGCCAAGTTTTAAATGTGATGCACATGAATGCTTACTAGATTCAACTCTGTTATTATTATCATGTTTATACTTGCATTTGCTAGTTCGATGCGAAGGGGTGGATTCGTCTGTTAATACTCGGGCTGTTCTGCTGGTGTGGTCATTCAATACAAATAGTTGATTTTTGAATTATGATTATGAAATTCAATGATAACGAATAATCTAAGTATCGAAAAAAGCTACGAACAGCTGCAAAAGCATAAAGTATCAAACCAACGATTCAGGTGGGGGAAAAACAGACTCCACAAGCCCGCCGACGTTGGCTGATAGCATGTTTTGTCAATACGCGGTGCAAAACAGTCGGAAAAGGACGAACCTTGATGATATCCAGTCCTATGAAAGGGTTGCAGATTGTTAGAATACAAACGGTCTTACTGGTGGCTAGGTAATATGATAGGTCTTGGGGTCTAGGTAGTAGCGTGGTTTCGGGGAAGCAGTGAGGCTGCTGGGATGGTTGTATTGTATGAGATACCATGTTGGATATTAAGGCCCTGCCATTCGCCAATTGATGTTTTTGGTGCAATGGTTAAGATAAAACACATGTTAGTAACAAAGTAGATCAGAAGGCTATTTCAAGTAGCGTGTAGTATTGAGTTCAGCAATAGACAAGATATGGAATATGTAGTACGTCTACATATCGAAAGTAGATGAATCTATTTTTTTGATAGACAGGCTCAATGAGTGATAAAGATATGTCAATTTGGTTCACTAATAGCATAACCAATTCAGAGTAGGTCACTATCCGTGACTACCTAGATGATACCAAAAACAAATCAGAGCGCGATTCTGGGACTAACAGATTTAAAATGTTGCAATATAAGGTTATAAAATTACGCGCGGAGTGCAAAGGTGTCATGATCACTGACGCAAAGAATACAACGCAGCTACAAAAGATATCCAGACACTTCTGAGCTCTGTGGGTGCCCTCTTATAGTTATCTTTACATTGCGACGATATCTCTTGTAGCGGACTGGTCATTCTTTTTCGCAAAAAAAAAAAAAAAGAAAAGAACAGAAAAGAAGAAAGGATGTTAAGCAAGGCACAACTAGGCAATGGTATACCCGTCATCAATAAGATTATCAGCAGCAATAACCTGAGCGTAATCCTTAAAGATTCCCGACTGAGGAGCATATCGGAAGAACCCAGTGACTTGGTGATCTGTATTCCAGACAACGGATCCAGCTCCTTCACTCGACAAGGCCATGCTCGAGCCTTGGCCCATATAGAGCCAGTCCGCGGGTATCCACGTATCTTTTGTCTCGTAAGCACACACCCGAGGGAGTTTCCTAATGGCATGCACTCTCTTTGTCCCTTCCACGTATCCAGAAGACGGGGTGTCCATCCGACAAGACTCGCCCAGCCTGGTCGAGGCGGCACGTGCAAATTCCTTGAATTTGACAGGAGGGCCGGGGTTGACGGTGTTTTCAAAAGGTTCGTTTACATAGTGAACATCGCGGGCCAGCCTTATTAGGGCAATGTCTGTGTTTGTCTCTATGGTCTCTATCCTCCCCAGCGGTGTGTCCGAGAAGCGAGGGTGGTAAACCAAGGTGTCGAAATCACCGTCAGGAAATGCGTGCGCGGCGGCTGTCATGTATCCACGACCGTGTTTGTCTTTCACCAGGATGCCGGATGAACTCAGTATCTCGTCGTCTTGGCCGCGGGGCTTTCCGGCACTTATCATCACACCAGGTCTCAACGTTTGGTATTTGGTGTCATCGACGTGGTGGGAGGGCAGAGTTGGCTTGGCTCTGAGCACATGCGACCCACAATCCTTCCACACTTCGGCCTCAAAGAGGTAGAAACAGGGGCATCTAGCCACTGAGCCTGGAACGGCATCCAGAACATCGTCACTGTCATGGTCTAAGACGATGATGACGAAGCTTCCCCAAAATTGGATCTCGTTTATCGCGATCTGGTTCCCGGAACAGAAATCCCGAACTAGGTCAAATATCAGACCCACTGCGGCGTCGTTTCTTCTTAGATCTAGATCCCCCTGTAATGAGATCCGTGAGCGGCTCCAGTGGCCAAGCGGCCCCGTGGGACCCTGGTCATTTGGATCAGCAGTGAGATAACTAGGGACTCCGGCAACTGTTTTTGGCCACGGCTGGGCGGGAAGTTCCAGAAAGCGGAAAGTGAGAGTATAGTCATCAAATCCAATTGCTTGGACACCAGGAAAGAGATTGAAGAGAAGGTCATAGTTGGATTTATCGTGGAATTGGGCGGGATCTTGGTGAATATCGAAGGGGAGGATGACATGCCGGGATGCCAGAGAATACGCCTCGGGGTTTGACACTGATGATGATAGAATGTCAGTCACAGGCTTCAGGTGACGGCGCTCTGAGATTGGACGGTGGAGACGTCGGGAATCTAGAATACAATTAGCCTAAACAGGTTCTGAGTGAATGATTCCGTCAGAGGCTATATACTCGCCAATGAATGCCTTGATGCCTAGAAGATGCTCCGCGGCGAAACTCGAGAAATCGAGATTGCAAGTCTTTGGAGCGATGATGAGAATCTGCTTCAAGCTGAGGGTTTCAAAAAGCGGCACAATACGCCTTCTTTCGGGTGACGGAGCGTCGTCCTCTGGATCGCTCCGTGGTGAGATAAGTATCTCATTTAAGATGATCTCATCTGCGTCAGTCAATACACGCATGATAGAACGGAAGAGCTGGTCAATAAGATTGATGGAAGGGATGATGATCCTGAGAGGGTAGTGAGACTGGTCAAGGAAGAAGGAGGTTGATCAGAAAAGGAACGGGGTGATCACAAGATAAAAGAGGCAATGGGGAAAGCTTCATGGCATATCTAAAAGTCATGGTGGTGTCATAATGGAATCACTGACCTGATGACGATCACTTCAACGTGCTTAAACGTTCAGTGGAGCTTATATACTGAGTATCAGATTAAGAGCCGACAAACTATGTAGATTCCCGAAGCACGTCTTCACGTCCTGGGGCATGATTTCCGCTTGAAACACTAGCATCCTACTTTAAGTACAAGATAGGTAGAAGAGTAACAGCTGGTAGTCACCTATATCAATATCGACATCAATATTGATATTGATGTTGATATCAACCAGCCGACATCTGCGAATAGGTGGAGACAACCATGAGTACGTCTTGCATCATTCCGTATAGCCATGTTTATGCTTTTCCCGGTGTTTGGATAGCCTAACCCGAGACTAAGTAGAGTCAAGTCTTGGGGGATATTCTATGAAAGCCTTATAGGATACTCGCCATCCAATGACTACTAAGTGGAATGAGTCATTGATACACTTCACAGTAGTGGACAAAGTCACAGAGTACAACCTGACATGGATATATTGCTGTTGACAGCCAATGAACCATTCTACCGACTCACACTTGATATAACTCAAATCCCAGCACACCCCTCGAGCCTCAATTTACCCTTTTACAAGGCTCCGGCTCTGTTCCTGGGTGTCGGGTCTCCCAGGTAGGTTGCACATTCTAGAGCGAAAAGGATGCCGGGGAGGCCGATGAACTGGTTAAAAAAATTGACGATATTTATGATATCGATGATGCTAGTGGGTACGAAAAGGTTTCTTACAGATAGTTACAAAGCATGAAGAGTAAAAAGACAATTTGTGTAGCAAAACTCTGTAAGTCAGCCGATGTTGGCCCATTGGAGGTCTATACATAGTAGGGCTATTGCGCCATCTGACGTGGTAATGGCTACAACGGACAAGGTCCATAAACTGGATAGTCATTCTACATGGAGGGTTTAGTAACACTTAAATGATAAATTTATCACAGGCTGGTTATGTATTTCTTTCTAATCACACCAAGATAGCCTGTTAATCGAAAAGAAAGAGGCATGGAGATATCAATAACCTCAGAGTATATATATATATCCTCTTATTCACTGCAAGTGTTATACCGAGCATTTTAGCCAGGCGAAGTATAGTAGTTGAGCAACAAGGTACTTGCTAGTTCATACCCTTCTACCTAATCATTCTCTACCATTGCTATTCCACACTTCACCGTCCAAGATAACCTCAGTCGTCATTCTGAGTCTTTGAAATAAACCGACGTCAACCTTAAGTCTCCTGATCCGCCGTACCCTTATCGATAAGGATGGGCCGATGCCAAGTCGACGTCACGTGCCATGCGGCGTGAGTCGGGGCGCATGTTGCAGGGACCGGTCCTCTGCCTGTTATTCGACATCATAACTTGAGAACCGTTCGCCATGCTACATCGATTAACCTCGTTGTGGAGTCGGCTTCCGCAACAGGGACTTGGTTCCCGGATCCCGCCATCATGCCCCAACACGACATTCTTTGGACTAGGGAGGAGGTGTTTCAGTCGCAATTCGGTCCTCGGACGGAGCGCGTCCTCTACACCGTTCAATACACCTCAATCTAAGCAGCGCAATGCGTCCACGATGTACCGTCCATATCGCCCTTATTCGTTAGATAGCGCCTAACTTGTCTAGGTACTACACAGCGAGCATGATCCTGGGCACGGTGGCCCTCGCATATGGCTCTGTTCCTCTGTACAAAATGGTCCGCCTACCTCCCAAGTATTCGACTACCTCATGCGCAATGCTGACTTCTTCCACTCTATAGATCTGCCAACAAACCGGTTGGGGCGGCCAGCCTATCCTGACTCACCGCGGAGGCGACGGAGATGCCTCCGAGCGCGTTGTCCCCGTCACCGACTCTCGCCGGCTCCGGATCACATTCAATGGATCGGTCTCGGACGTATTACCCTGGAAGTTCACGCCACAGCAACGCGAAGTTCGAGTGTTGCCCGGAGAGACGGCGCTCGCGTTTTACACGGCGACCAACAAGGGACCCGCGGATATCATCGGTATCGCTACATACAGTGTGACTCCGGGACAGGTCGCTCCGTACTTTAGCAAAATCCAGTGCTTCTGTTTCGAAGAGCAGAAGCTGAATGCGGGAGAGTCGGTGGATATGCCGGTGTTCTTCTTCATTGACCCTGATTTTGCCAAGGACCCGGCAATGAAGGGCATCGATACCATCACGCTTTCGTACACGTTTTTCAGTAAGATCATACAGATGTTCCGGTCCGGGCTGGTGTACCAGATACTGACGATCTATGCAGAGGCGAAATATGACGATAACGGCGTTTTGAAACCTTTGCCATCGGGTTGAGATTATATGCGGTGAACGGTCCGATTTCTCTTGGACATTGAAGGCAAATCACAAAGAGCCCCCGTGGGCTCTCCTGGTAGTATCTTGGCCAGAAGAATCGGACGCTGCCAGAAGAGAGTTATGAGATACGCACCGTCGGCTATCGAACCGACGACACCGATGCCCCTTTTGCACATTTTTGTTGGCATGGGAAATACCCCCTCCTCTCCGAAGATATTACTTGTATTATATTTTATAGAATCACGCCTCCTTGGCCTTTGTACTATACTATAGCATCATGGGAGACGAGCTCGCATTTGTAACGTGATTGTTGAAGAAGCATGATGCCTAGGGAATTCTCGAAATAGAAGTGTGGAGTGTTCTCCTGGGTTATAGAGACATGATCGTTATTATACAAGCCCCAATTAGTATACTAATGAATTATGAAGTAGGTACTCCATAGTAGTAGGCCCCTAAACAAGTATCTAGGCAGATGGCAGGCGCCTAGAATCCATATGCCAGGACGGATTAACTAGCGGGTGCCTGCACGGACCACCAATTAAGTTCGCGTGCCACGAACCGACGCGTCCGTCGCTGGATCTGTGACCTTAACCGCATGAGCTACTAAGATCTTCCGACCACCACAGAAAGCGCAATTTAAAAAGACCAATTATATAGGGACAGGCAAATTCGTGCGAGTTCCGAACACAGTCGAAATGGCGCTCCTGGTTGATAAGCTGCGGCCGCGCTCGCTTGACGCGCTTTCATACCACCCCGATCTCTCTGATCGGTTGAAGTCGCTGGTGAGGACGAAAAGCATCAAATAAAATACGAATAACATAGCTGACGAACTCTCTAATTGTTAGGCTCAAAGCGGCGACTTCCCCCATCTCCTCGTGTACGGACCATCAGGAGCAGGAAAAAAGACACGAGTGATCGCGACACTGAAAGAATTGTACGGGCCCGGCGTGGAAAAGATCAAGATCGACGCGCGAGTGTTCCAAACGACCAGCAACCGCAAGCTCGAGTTCAACATTGTCTCCTCCGTCTACCACCTCGAGATCACGCCGTCGGATGTCGGGCACTACGACCGCGTCGTCGTGCAGGAGCTGCTGAAGGAGATCGCCCAGACGCAGCAGGTCGACCTGTCAGCGAAGCAGCGGTTCAAAGTCGTGGTCATCAACGAGGCCGACCATTTGACCCGTGATGCGCAGGCGGCGCTGCGTCGGACGATGGAGAAGTACAGCCCCAATCTGCGGTTGATCCTGCTGGCCAATAGCACTTCGAATATCATTGCGCCTATCCGCTCCCGTACCCTGCTGGTCAGGGTGGCCGCGCCTACGGAGGAGGATATATGCTCTGTTTTGAGCGCGGCTGGGAGGCGAGAGGGCTGGAATGAGGCGAGTGAGCTCAATAAGCGGATTGCTAAGGATTGTGGGCGGAATCTTCGGCGCGCGCTGCTCATGTTTGAGGCCATTCATGCTCAGAGGTAGGTTGATGTTTTTGTCTGGATTATTGTTCGATGAGAGGCTTACTTGGTGAATAGTGAGAAGGTAACAGATAGTACACCGATTCCGCCTCCAGACTGGGAGGTGTTGATCTCTGTGATCGCGGACGAGATTCTCGCTGAGCGGTCTCCGGCACAGATTTTGCTGGTCCGCTCACGGCTGTATGATCTGTTGACTCATTGTATACCTCCAACGACGATTCTCAAGGTATAGTCAACCCTACAAGCCAGCAGAAGAATGAAAGAAAAGCTAAGAACCTCGCAGACCCTCACCTTCAAGCTGATCGCCAAGGTCGACGATGCTTTAAAACCCGAAGTTATCCAATGGTCTGCTTTTTACGAGCATAGAGTCAAGCAAGGCAGTGTAAGTCTCCATAACTATGTGACTGATATTGAACTGTTTTGCTAACTACGATACAGAAAGTCATTTTCCACCTAGAGGCATTTGTCGCGAAATTCATGCGCATCTACGAAAGGTTCGTCATCGCGCATTAGAAGGGAGCTTGGTGGCTGCTTATGATCAAACGAATGCTAACTTCTCATACAGCTACCTGATGGGCATGGATTTTTAAACCGTAAAATCAGACAAGAAACGAATCATGATTGTATTACTATTCCTTTATTCTTACTACATAACGGAGAGAGTTTCCTGGCTTTGTGTTGATGTGCCTCTCGGCGATGGACGGAGTTGGTTTTGACCTAGTATAGTACATCTGCGAAGATCTTCGAAAGATAGAGACTATCGGGGCTTATGTATTAGCCGAGAATCCCTTTACACTGATAATAAGGATATTAGCACTTCCATGCTAGCTACGGCGTTCCCTTCCCTACTATAGAGACGAGGACTTGGTCTAGTAGGTATCTGGGGCGTGGAAGATGTACTACGTCATATGCACCTCTTATATAACCACACGATCATCGGATCCGTTGGATCCATCTTTTGCGTCTGTGAAATATTTCGTTTGAACGAAACAAACAGTGTATAGTCTTATAGAAATAACCTTTCGCCTCGTTCAGCCTTCTACACAGCATGTCAGACTCTAAACTTGTGGACATCGAACCCGGTGGTGAGAGCACGCAGTGAGTTCCGCCTTCGCCAGACAGACGGACAGATAGATACACCGTGCAGTCACTGAATAATGACTAGGTATGAATCTATCAAAGAGTTTACAATACCGCCTGCGAAGCAGACCGGGCAATTGGGAGGTGTGTTTTCCACTCAGCAGGAGGCAGCTGCTTCAGGACGTTGCTGATACCGTACGGTCTAGCGCACGAGCCACATACAAGGAGCGAACAATGGCCATCGAAGGAAACGGCTCCTAAGCCCGAAGACGAAGATGCCGAGTGGGCTAAGAAAATGGGCAAAGAGTTCACCAGCAGCGGCCTGAATACTACAGAGAACGGTACAGTCGATCTTGGTTTTCTTTACCTTCTATTTAACTCCGTGTGTTATATTGTAGAAAGACATGTCCGAATGGATGCGAAAGATATGGATGAACAAAGGAGGAACCAAAGCTGATGAATAGTATACACAAGGCCGGACGTTTAACGCTCGGGCTAGCGACGCGACGGCCGCTAGGAGCCGGAGACAGCAGGGGTATGGACCGGGATCCGGTGTGGGAGCCTGAGCGGTGGTCGAGACGTGAGCGCAGCGAGGGAAAATGAAGTCATTAGGTGGGAGGATTGCGGTGCGGAGTGTTTATTGGGGAGCCGTGGGGCTGGTGGAGGAAGAGGTCGACTTCGGGGGGTTGGGGAGGTTCTCGGTGCCCAGGGCGGGGCTTCTGCGGGCTCGTTTCAGGCTTTCCAGTGTCACGCCGTTGCCGAGCTTTGTGATGCCGACGACAGGCGGAGTACTCTTGTCGACAAATTCCCAGAGACCTAATTTGATACGGGTCGTTAGTCTCGAATACTCTCTCTCTATTTGATGCGTAGACATAAGACTTACCGGGCAGTTTGTGGCCCGCCAGTCGGAAGGCCTCTCTGGCGATCTTCTCGTGCAGGTCGCCCTTGAGCTCGAACACGATCCGGCTCACCGGAACCCTGGCCGTCCAGTAGTCGAACTTACCCTTACCCTTACCCATACGCTGCTCGTTACCCTTGGTGTACACACCAATGTTGGCGCTCACGCGCTTGTACAGCGTGTACTTCATCCCCCTCAGACGTCGCTTGATCGTTTCCTCTGCAATCTTCAAATGCTGAGCGGGCAACCGACGGTCGTGATCCTTCATACGCAGGCCATAGTCGCCCCAAACGACCGTTGTGCCTCGGGAAGAGCCGCCAGTTGCGACATGCGGGCGACCCTTGGGGGACTTGGACCGTTCCGCATATTTCGGCGTCAGCCAGTCAAGGGCGGGAGAAGTCGTCGAGAAGCATCGAGTAACAGGGAGGCCCGTGAAGGACGTCGATAGAACTATTGTCCCGCTCTTGTTAGATTTCTGACGCGGAACGAAAACTTTGAACAAGGACGCTGGTGCTCACTGGTAGGGCGGAGGAAGCCAAGCCGAGGCCCCGAAAACATCTTCAACTGTGAGCCCATTGCGACACCAATTTGACAATAGGCTCTCAGAACTCAATCGATGCTGGACGTTGGAGAAAAGGTATCGCAGACTGCCAAAGCCACTTATCGACGTATCAGGAAGTCCGAATTTCGCCCATCCCCGAACCCAGACACACCGCCCGGAGCACGTGCCACCCGCTCTGTGGCTTACGTAACCCTCCCATTAAGTCACGTCGTTGATGCGCCTGCGGGTTGCGGGCGCGTTCGTGTTCCGGGTCGAGCTACTCTGCCTGGATCACGGTTTCCTCTAGGCATTTATCTAGGCAGCACTGCCAACATTCGTGTCCAATTTTGTTTATAACTTGCGGTGGACACTGGTTAGAATTGTATCAACCTCAGGTCATGTTCATTTATCATTGAGCCACCATGCCTGCCGATATCAGGAACTTTTTTGGCGGCAAGTCGAGCCAAGGCTCCGCTGCGTCTCCTGCGAAGCCAGCCCCGAAGAAAGAGGTGAGCTCATACAATCTTGGACATCGCGAAATCATACAATTGTACGACTTTTTCGCTAACGTTGAAATTGACAGCAGCAATCTTCCACCGACAGAAAAAAACGTATGGTTTGGGGAATCCTCTGGCTGTACTACGGCCTGCTGACCGTGATTTTATATAGGCAGCAGGAAGGTTGTCGATGATAGCGATGACGAAGAGGATACTACGGTAGAAAAGGCGCCAGCTCCGAAGCCCAAAGCTACCAGTAAACCGTATGATCCGTCGCAACAACTCTGGACGTTATACAGTACTAACTGGTGTTCGTTTACAGAACATCCGCGCCTCCAAAGGGTGAACCAACATCCACGTCGGATTACTTCGCTTCTAGTAAGAAGAAAGGCAGGCCTGCGAAGAACACCACAACATCGGCAAAAGAGCCTGAGCCGCCCACCGATGGCGATAAGGCCGGAAAGGGCGCAAAGACGAGCAAAGAGGCTAATGGGAAGGAGCCACCAAAGCGACAGACCCGACGGGGGAAGACTATTGCCGATGATGAGGGGCTTGGCAAAGACGATATCTTTGCATCGGAATACCAGAAGCCCGGAAAAGGTGACGACTATTATGTTGAAGAAGACCCCAGTGACGGGGAAAGCGACTTTGAGGAGCTTGCCGTCAGGCCAGCAAGGTCAGCGTCGACTCGGAAGAAGAAAGAAACCGCCGCATCGGATGATGATGTTGTGATGGAGGACCTACCCTCGAAATCCACGAAATCGGCAGCCGCAAAACCGACTCGGAAGAGGAAGTCGGAGGCTATCGACAAGGAGGATGCTGAGTTTGAAACCAGCCCCAAGACGAGCGCCCCGCCATCGAAGGCTAAGAAACCAAGGGCGCCTCCCCAAAGTGCGCGCCCAGAAAGCAAAGAGGTCCAAGATATTCTCGACAGTATTCCTACAGTCCGGCCACCCTCACCGCCACCGAAGAATCCGGATGGGAAGAAGTTCAATTTCGCTGCTCAGAAAGGACGAGATCCTCCCGCATCGGGCGGTGGTGAATTGCCTGTAGGGGCGGAGAATTGCCTTGCAGGAATGTCGTTCGTTTTTACCGGTGTCTTGGACACACTGGGCCGTGACGAGGGACAAAATTTGGTCAAAAAGTACGGCGGAAAAGTCACCGGGGCTCCGAGCTCGAAAACAAGTTATGTTGTTTTAGGGGACGATGCCGGGCCGTCCAAACTCAGAACCATCAGGGAGAAAAACCTGAAGACGATCAACGAACAAGGTTTATTCGACCTCATCCGGCGACTCCCAGCGAACGGTGGAGATGGGAAGGCAGCTGCCCAGTACGAGGCGAAAAAGAAAGCGGACGAGGAGAAGATTCGAGCCATGGCTGCCGAGATTGAAAAGGAGGAGAAACGCAAAGAAGCGGCCAAACGCAGCTCGGATGCAGCAAAATCCTCCCAGACGCCGTCTTCATCGCAGGTTTCCAAGGTTGACGACCGTTTATGGACCGAGAAATATGCGCCTTCGTCGATGAGTATGATATGCGGGAACAAAGGGCAGGTTGAGAAGCTACAGGTATGGCTTCGCGACTGGCGGAAGAATGCTAAATTCGGCTTCAAGAGGCCAGGGAAGGATGGAACTGGCATATATCGCGCTGTCATGATCCACGGACCCCCTGGAATTGGCAAAACCACCGCTGCCCATTTAGTCGCCAGGCTGGAGGGATTCGACGTTGTCGAGGCCAATGCCAGTGACACACGGAGCAAAAAACTTGTGGAAACCGGTCTTCTTGGCGTCCTAGACACCACGTCCCTGCAAGGATATTTCTCAGGTGCTGGTGAGAAGGTACAGAGCGAACGGAAGAATTTGGTTCTGGTCATGGACGAAGTCGATGGAATGTCCGCGGGAGACCGTGGTGGCGTGGGTGCGTTAGCAGCCGTCGCAAAGAAAACCAGCATACCGATCATACTCATCTGCAACGAACGACGGCTTCCAAAGATGAAGCCGTTCGATCGGATCACCTACGATCTCCCGTTTAGACGACCGACGGCAGATCAGATCCGAGCTCGGCTTTCGACGATCTGCTTCCGAGAAGGACTGAAGATCCCGCCCCCGATCCTTGACAGTTTGATTGAAGGGACGCATGCCGATATCCGACAAGTTATCAACATGCTATCAACTGTCAAGATAGACCAAACAAACCTAAGCTTTGAGCAAGGACAGGCGATGTCCAAGGCTTGGGAAAAGAATATCATCTTGAAGCCCTGGGATATTGCCGGCAAGATTCTGAGCGCGCACATGTTCTCGCCGAGCTCCAAGACCACCCTGAATGAGAAGATCGAACTGTATTTCAATGACCACGAGTTCAGCTATCTGATGCTTCAGGAGAACTACTTAAAGACAAGGCCAACCTTGGCGGGCAACTACCATGGTCGAGAGCAGAAACTGAAGTTGCTCGAATTGGCCGACAATGCTGCTTCTAGCATTAGTGACGGCGACCTTGTCGACCGTATGATCCATGGATCACAGCAGCAGTGGAGTCTGATGCCTACCCACGCTGTCTTTAGTTTCGTGCGGCCTGCCAGTTACACCTACGGTAATCTGACCGATCGAACGTCCTTCACCAGCTGGCTGGGCCAGAACAGCAAACAAGGTATGCAATACTACATCATCGCTGATTTCTTGCAAGGTTCGGTGGATTGAGCACGGTTGACTGACACATTCACAGGAAAACTCTGGCGCTATGTGAAGGAAATCCAATCCCACATGCGCCTCCGCGCTTCTGGCGATCGTTACGAGATTCGACAGCAGTATATTCCTACTCTGTGGGACCAGATGGTCCGGCGCTTGATGGACGAAGGAAAGGACGGCGTTGACGATGTGATCGACTTCATGGACAGTTATTTCCTGACCCGCGAAGATTGGGACGCGCTGGTAGAGCTCGGACTTGGTCCGATGGACGAATCCAAGGTCAAGCTGGACACGCAAACCAAGGCTACATTCACACGACTCTACAACCAACGATCGCATCCGGTTCCTTTCATGAAGGCCAGCAGTGTCATTGCGCCGAAGAACGTACCCAAGGAGAAACCGGATATCGAGGATGCCCTCGAGGAATCCGACGATGCAGAGGTCTTGGAGGACGACACCAAGGAAGATGAGGGTGAGGAACTCGACTTAAAGAAGGACAAATATGTCCGCGTGCCCAAGAAGTCAGCGAAGGGCGGGAGTAGCAAAGCCAAGGGATCGAAGAAGGGGAAGAAGGCAGACGACGATGACTTTATTGATGACGATGAGAAACCGAAGAAGAAGGGCCGAAAGCCTAAGGCGAAGGGTGCATAGGGGTGACTGTTTCTTATATTTGTCTGCTCTTCTCCCTTTTCTGATGAGATATTTTGTGGATTGGCACAGCCTAACTGTATTTTTTTGTCTTGAGTACAATGGGATTACGCCCTCGTGTATTGGTATTGGGTGTCGAGATATTACAATGTAATTGAGGATTAATAGACTCTGATACATCAGGTTGACCTCATATTTATAACCTTTATGTCTTTGTAGCTGCTTTGTTACGGATATATGGCGGAGTTAAAGTTATACTGATCGGCGGAAGAGAGATGGTGGAAGGCTTGGCTTGGCCACGGGATCATCTCCTCTCTTCCCTTTCTCTCCGTTCACAGACCTGTCACTTCCTGACAGACCTCCGGCTGATATCCCCATACTACCTCCCGTACGGCTGATTCCGGCGGCTTCCTTTCTCTTATCTGTTTGGCTTTATTGTTTAACAGGGATTCCCCATTTCGTGAAAACAGGCTGGTCCTGGATGAGGGGTCGTCACTCTTTGTTCAACTGATCGTCTTATCCGCGGCCTCTAGAGCCATGTCGAGTCGTCTGCCGATAGCGACCTAACAAACCTCCAACCGGGTGTCTTGACCTGATCTGTACTTGTATGTCTGGGGGAGGATTTCTCAACAGGAGATAGAAGATGTCTCTCCTTCACAACGAAGAGTATGTTTGCGATGCGCCGCCCTTCCCTCAATATACCCTATCTTCCCTTCCCCGCAACAACCACGCACCACGCATCACGCGCGCAACAAGAGACTAAAATTAAGGGCATCCAGTTTTACGATCTGGCAGTTACGCACATCCTACCTCTCTACGATCAAAGATGGGATCGGTGATCGGCTCATCAACGTCAACAACGCCGTCCTGAACACGCCCGGGTTCCGAGCGGCGGGCTGGTCTTCGGCCTCGGCGCACCCGGGCGCCGCGGCCGCCCATATCAAGCGCACCTATTCCCCACCGATCCCCACGACGGCGGCCGTCTCGTCCGAATATTACAATCTAGGGGTCTTTCGAGACGCTTCCGAGGCGCGGAACTATGACCTCCGGGAAGACGGTGAGGATGAGGAAGGGGGCATGGTGACTGGGAAAAGCACTGCCGATATCATCGGGCGCCGGAATAATCTACGCGGGGCGAAGAAGCCCCATCGACGGGAGCGCCAGCAGCCGGAGCATTTAAAACCGCGAGACGCCGAAGAAGATGATAGTAGTGACTTGAGCGATGAGAGTGATGATGATGGGGAGAGTGCCAGTGCGCCAAGGTCGGTGGTAGACTGCAAATATTACCCCTTGTTCTACGAGGATTGTGTTAATATTTTCTAGACCCGCGGACCAGATCAAGTTCACGAAAATGCCGATCCGTACACGCGCCGGATCGTCTCCCATTCGTTCCACTGATCGTCAAGAGGGCCCTCAGGTTATGGTCACGTCGCCGTCGCACCCCACCATGGGTAGCCATTACCGCACCGGGTCGCTGGGAACCGCGGTGACCGTGGACAGCCGGCCCCGACGAGACACTACGACGACTACCAGCAGTGACATGTCTTCCGATAATGACCTGGAATATAAGAGACGGCATATCCAATTTTCCAACCGAGACCAGGTGATCGAGCCATCCAGATTGGGGCGCGGTGAACCAGACGATCGGATTGACGAGGAGTCGGACGAGGAGGGAGAGGATTCGGGGGCAGAGTCCGTCGGGTCTGCTCTCTCCTCTGAATTTGGCGCCACGGCTGGCTCGGCGTCCCTGCTGGAAGATGTGGAGATCACCGGGGGCTTGGACTCATCGTCACCCATGGCCCTGATGCACAAATTACAGGGCGAGACCGGGTCGCAGCAGTCTGCGTCTCGAAAGGCCAGAGCCCCAGCACCCGAGTTGCACGACCTTCCACCCCCACGACCGATCAGCACCGTGCAGCCGGTGAGTCTGCTCTCCCAGGCGCTCAATGCGCGCAAGCGCGCCCCGACGAACCCGGTGGAGAAGTTCGCGGTCCTCTCGGGCAAGGGATTGACGGATGCCCTCAACATCAAACTCTACCTGCCGTTCTCGGCTGATCCAGAGGAGCCACTCGAGCTCCCGCTGGCGCGAGAGTCCAAACTGGCGGAGCAGCCGGCGCCGGTAACAGTGGTTGAGGCGATCGGGCTCGCCTTGTGGCGGTATGCGGAGGAGGGCCGAGATCCAGCCATCGAACGGCACAAGCTCACGGTCAACCGCTGGGCCCTGCGCATGATGGAGGATGGGGAGGTGGAGTACGATTTCCCGGCCCTGGGCCGAAGCTCTCCCATGACAGATTTTACGTCCAATAACAACAACCGCGCCGCCGGAGCGCGCGGGCGTTCCCGAGGGAACCAGTACGACGAATTCGCCCTCGTGCAGGCCTCCGAGGCGGAGTTCGTCGAGAACGAGCGTCTATATCCGATGGATAGCCCGACCGTCCCCGCCGAGGACACGGGTGATGCTGTGACGACGGCGACGGCGGCCGCCGCCACCACCCCCAGCGCATCGACGGCAAGCGTCCCGCCGTCGGCGAACTCGCCCGGCCTGCCGAGCAAGGGCCCGCGGCCGAATCCGATCCTGGGACAGCCGTTCTCGTCGGCGCTAAACGACAACACATTGACGCCGGCAGACCGACCGGTCGTACCAGTGTCGCACGCGACGCCGCGACTGGGCGTGTCGAAGACGCTACGGATCCGGTTCATCAACCTGGAAGGGTCTACGCAGATGACGACGCTGAACACGTCTACGGACAGCTACATCGCGGAGATCCTGGACTCGGTGTGCAAGCGGTGGGGGCTGGACAAGGGCAACTACCTGCTGAAGGTGATGGGGTCGAACACGATCGCGCCGCTGGACCGGACGGTGGAAGCGCTGGGCCACATCGTGGAGCTGGACCTGGTGCGGCGGCGGTTCGGCCCGCTGACGGGGTCACCGGGCAGCTCGTCGCCGAACGCGCCGCTGCTGATCGAGCAGAGCGGCGGGGGCGGCAAGACGAAGACGGGGACGAAGAAGGGCAAGAAGAGCGAGAAGGAGAAGCGGATGCTGCACCCGCTCACGCAGAAGCAGGATCTCATCGGGGGGTATTACCGGCGGTACCACGTGTTCCGGAAGCAGTCGATGTCGTTCACGGCGTCGAACCACCGGATCCTGACGTTCGACAACGACTACATGCATATCATCCCGGGGGACACGGGCAAGACGGGGTCGGACACGAAGACGCGGTCGATCAGCTTCAACGACGTGGTGGGGTGTAAGGTCAGTCGGCGGCATCCGAAGAACTTCCGGGTGGTGGTGCTGCGGGGGAACGACGCGAACGAGCAGAAGCGGTATGACTTTGAGGCGCAGAATACGGTGGAGGCGGAGGAGATCGTGGATGAGATCAAGAAGAACATGGCGCATTACCGGATATAACTCTTTTCCCGTTATCTGTCTTTCTGTCTGTCTGTCTGTCTTTGTGTTTTTGTTGGTTGATGGGATTGGATTGGAGTTGGTCGGGATATGGTTAGTCATCATTCATAACTCTATAACTACAGAGTATAGTTATCCAGTATCGAGTATGGAGTCAATGGGAGAAATACAATCATGATACATAGCTAGTCAATCCATAGATACTCTAAAATCCGCCGATCCCATACTCCATGGAGAGAGAAAAAGGATATGTAATAAGGAGGTTCCCTTTCGGCCCCGGGACGAGAAAGCGGGGCGTTCCACCGATCCAGCATCCATCCAGCCAGTTCAACCCAGGATGATATGACAGGTATGATGCCAGTTGATGATGATGATGATGACGCTGAGTGATGAAGTCACCATTCAGTTCTGGGTCTCCCTGCTTGAGAGACCCAAGAATCCAGCCGGGTTGAACTCTATAACCAGTAGATGATGAAAGGTGAACTCTCTTCCTCCGTGGGTGTCTTTAATCTGGGGTGATGGAGATATACTTTTAGACATATTTTCTCCGAGGAAGAGTCGGTCGAGTGATGACTTCATTGTGGATGGGAGTCATGATCTGGGGATTGAAGGGATTATTGAGTTAATGGATTGATTGAATTGAGGTGGACAGATCTGGGGTGGAGATTATGTCGAGTCCAGCTGGTCATAAGTGTCTCGTCTACTCTTCTTGACCACATCCACCATAACGTGTAGGACATACATGCATCAATGAAAGATGGAAAGAATGGAGATGAATGAACTCATTAATTAAGCCTGATTGCCCCGCTTGTCTTGGCTCGACTTTTGTCTCTCCTCCTTCTTTCTCTTGTTCGTTCCTTTTCTTTCTTTCTTGATCTCATCCTTGATCCTTTGGTTAAAATGTCGTGGTGATTGCATCCTATACAACACAACTTGGGTTTACAGGATACAAGAGACTAAAAAGACTAAAGAGATCCAGACTCACCGCATCGACTCCATTCTATCCAACTCTTACTTCTTTCTTCAATTGATCATCCTAGAAGGGGCAGCAGAGAGACCGCCCGTATCCGCTCCGGACCCAATTCTCTTCTCTTCTCTTTCTCTTTCTCTTTCTTCCTCCTATTCTTCTTCTTCTTCTTCTTCTTCCTCCTTTCATTTCTCGCTCCCAACCACCAAGAGGGGTCGACTGCTTTCTCATAATAATCCCAACGCCACTTCCTCCATAACCAGCTTTTCTTTTTCTTTTTCTTTTTCTTTTCTTGATTGTCTGTCTTGTTGGATTCTATTCCCTTATTTTATTATCCTTCCTTATGCCTACGTTAGGAGGTCTGTTGAAAAAACGGCGGACCAAGGATTCGCAGTCCCTCTCCAAAGAGTTGGAAGCCGGTTCCTCCTCTCCCCCCGCGGCGACGTCACCAAACCATCCCCAATCTCCGCCGCAACATTCCAACCAGCAACCCACCTCCTCTCAACAACCACAGCCTTCCCATCCCACCTCGAATCACCCCGCTCAACCAGCTGCCCCCATGCAATCCGCCGCGCCCTTGTCCCCGTCGCCCGCCCACCAGAGCCCGGCGCTGCAGCCCCAGTCTCAGCACCCCAATGCCAATGCCAATGCCAATGCCGCCAGCATCCAGAATATCATCCATCCCTCGCACCAGACCTCCTCCCATCCCACCAACGCCCACGGCGCCCACCAGCAGACCCCCGCCGGTGCTCAGGGGCAAAATGCCCCGCAGCAGCAGACCGCCCGCTCCACCAAGGGGAAATACTCTCTCGAGGACTTTACCCTGCAGCGCACCCTGGGCACCGGGAGCTTCGGTCGGGTCCACCTCGTGCAGTCCAAGCACAATCATCGCTTCTATGCGATCAAGGTCCTGAAGAAGGCCCAGGTGGTCAAGATGAAGCAGATCGAACATACCAATGACGAACGTCGCATGCTCAGTCGCGTCCGACACCCCTTCCTCGTCACCCTGTGGGGCACCTGGCAGGATGCTCGCAATCTCTACATGGTCATGGATTTCGTCGAGGGTGGTGAGCTCTTCAGTCTGTTGCGCAAATCGCAAGTGAGTCCCCCTGCCCCACCCCTCCTCTCATCTTCCGAAACATCTCTTAACTCGAATGGCGAAAAACTAGCGCTTCCCCAACCCCGTGGCCAAGTTCTACGCCGCCGAGGTCACCCTCGCGCTGGATTACCTCCACTCGCAGCAGATCATCTACCGCGATCTCAAACCGGAGAATCTGCTCCTCGATCGACATGGTCACCTGAAGATCACCGACTTTGGCTTCGCCAAAGAGGTGCCCGATATCACCTGGACGCTCTGCGGTACCCCCGATTATCTGGCCCCCGAGGTCGTCTCGTCCAAGGGATACAACAAATCAGTGGACTGGTGAGTGTTGGACCTCGTGAACACAAAAAAGTCAATCAGAAGGAACCCCTCACTGATGCCTCACCAGGTGGTCCTTGGGCATCCTGATCTTCGAGATGCTGTGCGGGTTCACCCCGTTCTGGGACAGCGGGTCCCCCGTCAAGATCTACGAGAACATCCTGCGCGGCCGGGTAAAATACCCGCCCTACCTCAACCCCGACGCCGTCGACCTGCTCTCGCAGCTCATCACCGCCGACCTGACCAAACGGTTGGGGAACCTGCACGGCGGGTCCGAGGACATCAAGACGCACCCGTGGTTTGCCGAGGTGACCTGGGATCGGCTGGCCCGGAAGGACATCGACGCTCCCTACGTGCCGCCCATCCGGGGCGGTCAGGGTGATGCCAGCCAGTATGACCGATATCCAGAGGAGACTGAATCATATGGTCACTCGGGTGAAGATGCGTATGTTTTCTCTTTCTTTTTTCTTTTTTCTCTTCTTTCTCATGCTAATAATATCTAGACACGGCCATTTGTTCCCCGACTTTTAAACCACGTACTATGAGTGACGACGTATAGAACGAGGTTGTAGTCTACACGGCAGTTCAAATGACTTTCATTATCTTCTCCTGTTTCTCTTCTTCCTTTTCTCGCACCGGATGGCGCATGGTTCACCGTTCTCTCGCTTAGCTGGACTATGTTCCCGCGCCCTCCCGGGCGTTGGTCCCTACGAGACCTGTCTTGTCGTATCCTCCTGACTGGTGGATACGTGGTCTTGCTTGGTTGTCTTTTGATCGCTGGCCGATTCGACGCGGAGGGTGCCTTTTGGAGCTCCCGCGCGGATGGATGACTTTGGAAGTCCGGCGTGATGGCATCGTATTATTTAAGTATGCCATATTTATTTATTTCTTGTTCTTTTCCTCATTACCTAAACTCTATATTTCTTGCCAAGGATAGGGGAATTGACTTGGTGGGCTTTGGATGGGGCTTTTTGGGTTAGGGTCTTGTAATGGACTGATTCCTTAGGACAGTCCAGTCTACCGGTTGTTAGGAAACCGTTCGTGTCCGTGTAGTCGTCTCGTTACCTGTATAATGTACATAGGCTTTGTTTTGATCTCAATTGAATAAAAGCGATCTTAGATGCATCACTCAGTTTTGAGAAACGTAGAACGAAGATCCACCATATCGTACATCACCACTCTGCCACATCCACCAACCGGGCAGAATTATACCTCAACATATAAAAAAAAAAAAACATAACAAAATTCATGACAGAATCTATTCCCAAACAAAAACACCATCCATCTTCAACACAGACACAGCCACAGACACAAATACAACAGCAAAAAGAACCCAATCAAAGAAAGAAAGAAGAAAGGGTCTACTGGTCATTCGGCGCCACAGCCAGGGAGTTCATGGCGATGGTGTTCTCCTGCCCACCCAGACGCTTGCTCTCGTGCGCGACGCGGCCGATGTAGGCCTTGCTGACGGCGTTCCACGTGGCGATGTACTTTTCCATGCATTGCGACAGGCAGGTTTCTTCTTTCGGGGAGACGGAGGAGCCCGGGGTGGGGATGCAGGCGTCGTAGCAGTGTTCGTTGATTTTCTATATCATTATCTTGTTAGGATGGATTATATAGGTTTTGGATTGATTGATTGATTGAATTGATTGAATTGGGCGAGATGGTTGGGAGAGGTAACTCACTCCGATCAGACTCCGGGCGTTGGCCATGGCGGCCTCTTGCTGCAGTTGCAGCTTGATGGTGTTTTTAACCTCTTGGGGGTTGTTGCTGGGGGCGCTGGAGCTGGAGCCGAAGAGAGCCATTTTGATGGATGTGTTGGTTGAATTGAAGTGGAGGGTGTAGAGTAGTGTAGAGTAGTGTAGAGTGGTGTAGAGTGGTGTAGAGTGGTGTAGAGTGGTGTCGGTAGTAGTAAGTGATGTAAAAGAAAGATCTGAAGTTCGGCGGTGAGTGTGGCTGCTCCAGCTCCGACTGCGCCACACCCGCGATGTGGACACTTGGATGGATCGAGGGAACCATTCGATTCGATTATCTCTCTTGTTTACTGCTTCATTGCCTTTCTCTCTTTTCTTCTCTTGACTTTACTCTTCTTTGATTCACTTCTCTTCTCTTCTCTTACTTCTTATCATTCAATCCAACTGTATATCTCTCTTTCACTTTCTTTTTGTTTGCCTTTATTCTCCTCCCCCGCTATACTTCCGAGGCAGACAAGCTGTCCATTCGAGTCCTATAATCCGATTACGTCGCAGTTGATCTGTCCTGGTTTTGAACTCTCCTGTTTTATCCACTGAAACACATCTCACCTGCTTGTTGCGACAATGCTGCTTCCGCGGCTTTCGACCCTCCTGGGCCTGGCCGGTCTGGCCTCCATCCCAGCGGCCTCCGCCTACGACGGCGACGACAACATCAAGAGCATTCCGGTGGGTGCAACCTGATTACTTATTGCTTGTTTGTTTCCTATCTCTAGCCAACATCAACTAACTGTAAATTAGCTCCGCACTCACAGTCTCTCTCCGGTGGGTCCCCCCCCGGCTTCTTACCAAACTCCCTCGAACCCAGCCTATGACGCAGTCAATTGACCCAACCCCAGCCCTACCTGGATTCAGACTTCCAAAGCCGCTGGTTCGATTTTGGTGGTGACACGGTAATCCGCGCCGACAAGTATGTTCCACCGCAGGCGCAGGCCTCGGCCCCTACCGCAGGTCGTACTGACCAGCTACCTTAGATATGTTCGTCTCACGGCCGATCGCCCGTCGCAACAGGGGTGGATTTTCTCGCGCGTCCCGCTCACCGCGACCAATTGGGAGGTTCGTAGCGCGAGAACGACCGGCTGGACAGGATAATGTGCTGACGGTTGCAGATCGAGGTCGAGTTCAAGATCCATGGCGACGGAAATCTGCACGGTGACGGGTTTGCCATGTGGCTCACCAAGCAGCGCGCGACGCAGGGCCCCGTCTTTGGGTCCACGGATAACTTTGAGGGTCTGGGTATCTTCTTCGATACGTACAAGAATAACCGCCCCGGCACGTCCTTCCCCTATGTTATGGCCATGATGGGCGATGGCAAGTCGAGCTACGACCAGGCGCACGATGGCAAGTCCAACGAGTTGGCTGGGTGTTCCGTAAGTTTCCATCATTTCCCTCTCGAAATAAATCAAACCACATACTGACAAACTGAAGGCCCGTGGTCTCCGTGGCGCCTCCGTCCCCACCAAAGCGCGCCTGACCTACTTCCAGGACAAGTCCCTCACGCTCGACCTGCAGTACAAGGCCGAGAACAGCTGGACCAACTGCTTCACGCTGACCGCGCCCGAAACCAACATCGCCATCCCCTCCGTCGCCTACCTGGGCTTCTCCGGCGAGACCGGCGAGCTCAGCGACAACCACGACATCATCTCCGTCAAGTCGCAGAACCTGTACAGCCTCGGCGGCAGCAGCGCCGGCTCCAACCGCGGATCGTCGTCCTCCTCGGGGAAGAGTGACCGCAGCAAGAGCAGCAGCAAGTCGACCAAGTCGGCTGGCAGTGGTGGCACCTGGGCTGGATTCTTCTTCAAGACTATCTTGGTGTTGTTCGCTATTGCGGGTGCTTATGTGGGCTTTACCATCTGGCGGTCTAAGCAGAGATACTCCCGGTTTTGAGTGGTGAAGTGATGGGACTGGGTGCGGGATGATGAATATACCCACCAAAAAAGAAAACAGAAAAACAGAAAACAGACGAGCGTCTATGTCCACCTTATCTATCTATCATTCTTTTTTTACCTTGTTCGTTGATATTCCATTTGCGTTGTTGCATAGCTATGTTTGATTGCGTATGTTGGAGTCTGTCGGCTCTGTGATGCCGTGGACTTCATCACTTCTTTAGGGGACGATGAGAGACAGTATATAATTTGGTTGGAGATAGCCTGTGTTCATTCCGAATGCTCTAGATAATACCAGTAATAGTATGGCTATAATCGACGCAAAAATAAACAGAGTATAAGCAAGGGTATCTGTACGCCATAATGCAACCCGAAAAACATACAAGCAGGAAAGGAGAGATAATGCTAAGACTGTCCGCGCATCTCCCCCCACAGCTCATCCACGATCTGGAATACCTCCGTCACGCTGCGCATCACCGCCTCGTCGATCCCCAGCACTCCATACCGCTGCTGGATCTTATCCGGATGCCACCGTACTCGCTCCGCCTTGAGCGTAGCTACCAGTAGATCGCGAGAATCTACCCCCTCGGCATCTACCCCAGCCGGCACCGGCGCATGGCGCATGAACTCTTCAACCGCCTCGCGACAAACATCCCTCCTCTTGCCGGACTCGACCGGCCAGAACAGTAAATTGCGCAGCTTAGTCGCCTCCCCTCCTCCCCCTCCCCCTCCCCCTCCATCCTTATCGCCCTTCGCAGAATCAGCCCCAACATCCGCAACAGCACGATCCACCTCCCCCCAAGACTCCAAATACCTCCTCCAAACCACCCCCCAAGCCCTCCCCCTCTTCCTCTCCCTCCCCCTCGCCAAACTCTGCTCCACAGCCCTCTCAAACCCATCCCTCTCCTCGTCCCTCTCCCTCCGCCGTTCCTTATCCCTCCGGTTCCTCCTCGCCCTCTCCCCCCTCAACCTCTCCTCCTCCTCAACCATCCCCTCCCTCGTCCTCTCCCACATCCTAGCCCTCACATAAGCAGCATACTCCTCCTCATCCATCTGCTCCAGCTCCCCATCTGGGCCCCGCATCTGCGGCACAGAGTACGTGTGTATCGGCTGCCCGTACACCGTCTCCCAGTATGCAGCGCCCTCGTCGTCGCCCAGCGCGTCGAAGAGCGATTCCCGGAATGCGGCGCCTGGTGAGAGACGGCTGCTGGTGGTGTAGACTGGGTCTGGCGATGGGGAGCGTGGGTGGGTGTGTTTGGTGCGTTTTGCGCGGTGCGCGCGGTGGCGCGCGTGCTTTTCTTCTTGTGATGAGGTGCGTGGGTGGGTGCGGCGGCTGCTGGTGTTGCTTTTGAAGCGAAATTTTTTGGGCCGGGCGGAGGGGTGGGTGGGATCTTTTTCGGAGGCGGCGGGATCGGGGTCTTGGGGCGGTGTTGTTGTGTCCATTTTTGTGGTGGTGATGTTATGAGTGGAAGGGAGATGAAGAGGAGAGGGAAGTGAAGATGTGGGTGAATTCGAGTGATGATATCCTTATCTTATCTGATCATCGCGATTCCCTCTTTGGGCAAGTGTGGCCCGTGCACGTCGCCCCAAAGTTTCTCGTCTCTTCGCCGCATCATCTGCGTCCTCTCTATCTCTCTGTCTCTCCTCACAAGCACCACATCAACCACAACCATGGCCCTCGTATCCTACTCCGACTCAGACGCCTCCGACTCCGAACCCGAGACGACCCCTAAACCCACCCCCCCAACAGCAGTCGCCCCCAAAAGCACAGGCACCAAAAACCCCCCTCCCTCCATCGTCGACCGCAGCAACCCGCGCAAAATCCGCGTCGCCCTCCCAGAGATCAAACCCGAGCCCACCGGCGAAGCGGACGATGGACCCGCGCGCAAGAAGCCTCGAACCGGCGGTGGCGGGGGTGCCTTCTCGGGATTCAATTCCCTGCTGCCCGCTCCGAAGAAGGCCGTGAATGAGAAGAAGGCGCCTGCTGCAAGGAAACCATTTAGTCTGAAGACGGGTGCGACGGTGGGGTTTGATCGGAGTGCTGATGCGGAGATGAGGAATGATCAGGCTTTCGATAGTTTAGGTGGTGGTGGAGGTGATGAGGATATTACGAGGGCGGGCAGTTTGCGGGAAGACGAGGATCAGGGCGGTTCTGGGGCGACGCCGGGGCCAGATGCGGATGGATTGAATATGAAGAAGCCGGAGGAGGTCAAGTTGAAGGGGAACCCGATGATGTTTAAGCCGCTGTCTGTTGGGAGGGCGCAGCCGAAGAAGAAGAAGAAGCCTGCTTCGCCGGCACCGCCGCTTCCTGCTGGTGATGCCGTTAAAGGACCTGCTTCAGCGACACCGGCACAGTCTGCGAGCGAGCAGACTCCCCCTGTCGAGGCGAAACCAGCTGCCCCGCAGAAACCCAAAGTCAGCCTCTTCTCCCTGGGCTCGTCAGACACCTCTTCCTCCGCGACCACCGCCCCCAGTTACCAGACGTATGGCACATCTTACGAACCGCTCGTCTACAGCGCAACCCCAGACGCACCCGCAGCCGGCCCTGCACCCGCCACAGAAGCCCAATCCGCCGCGGAAGTCTCAGCATCATCCGCTCCACAACAGACCCTGGACAACATCGCAGACGACCTGAACCTCTCGCGCGCCGAGCGTCGCCACCTCTTCGGCCGCAACGCCGACTCCGCCAAGGCGCAGGTGCTGCATTTCAACACAGACCGCGAATACGTCGCCAACCAGGAGATGTCGCATGCCGAGCTCGCTGCGCAGCAGCATAACCCTGTCCGCGCTATCGCGCCCGGAAAGCACTCCCTGCAGCAGCTGGTCAATGCGGCGAGCTCTCAGAAGGAGGCCTTGGAGGAGAGCTTTGCGGCTGGGAAGAGGAACAAGCAGGAGGCGGGGTCGAAGTATGGGTGGTCATAACCTCCCTTCTCTTTCTTCCCTCGTGTTTTCGTTCTCTATATCTTGGATACCATACTTGTGTGCTTGTGTAATTTATTTGCATCGCGTGGTTCACTTTTTACACTACTTTTGTTAATCAGAGCGTCAATCATTGAGTCATTTTATGAATTTCTAATAATGCAAAGTAAACGCTTTTTAGTAGTTACAACCACAGTCAGAAAGGAACATGTAGACAAAGTGAAAACAAAAAAAAGAACCCCAATCTATACATCCAAACACCAAAACAAAAGAATTATAATAAATCAAGAAGAAACATCCACAACCTCCGCAAACCACTGCTTCAGCGCAGTCGCCAAAACAGCCGGCAGCTCACGAACATCCCTCACAACAAGATAATAAGGGAACGGGAATCCCTCCAGATACCGCTTCATCTTGAGCTTCATCTCGCCAGTGCCGCTCTCCTCATCCGGCTCAAAGCTCGCCTGGCTCAGATCCAAGATCGAGCTGCCCTTCACAGCATCAACAATGATAAACACGATCATAATCCGCTCCTCCTGCGCCTGCCGCACCAGCCGCCTAATCGTATCGTGGTCCTCGCAGATACCATCCGAGATCACCAGCTCCAGCTGCCACAGGTCGGCGTTGCCCGCGCCAGGAGACTGCTTCCAGCGGGCCTCGCGGAACAGCGCGATCGAGTCCGCGATGAGCTTGCGCACGTTCGTGCCCGTCTGCTGGTAGCTGAAGTGCTGGAAGACCTGGGAGCCTGCGTCTGCGGAGAAAGGCTGGCCGAACTCGTGCGCGACGCGCACGTGGTCTTCGCTGCCGAAGCCGAGCACGCAAAGGTCGCCTGCTTCGAGCATGCTGAGGGATTTGGCGACGAGCGCGAGCGTCTCGAAGGCGAGCTGGCCGCTGCCGCTTTCGAGCATGGACTTGCTGTCGTCGACGGCGAGCATGATCTGGTAGTTGCGCTTGGAGGGGATCGAACGGCGCATCCAGATCTTGTCGCGTTTGTATTGCGAGGCGATGTAGGGGATGATGCGCTTGATGTTGAGGCGCTTGCCGGTGCGGAAGTCGCCGCGGAGCTTGGTGGCCATTGTTGGGGCGAGGATGAGGCGGAGTTGTTCGGTGAGCGAGAGGGAGAGCGCGTTGGTTGCGGACTCGTAGTGCGACCAGAGGCGTTGGGCTTCGTCGCGCGGGGTGAGCGGGGGGAGGGTCGAGGAGAGGTGGATGGCTGCTAGGTGGGCGTCGACTGCGTCAATTTCGTCGTTCGCGTCGGTCTGGTTGGGCCCTTCGGTTGTGCGCTCTTGCGTGTCGATGTTGCCTGGGATGAAGGCGCCTTGGCCTTCGGTTGGGGGGCCGTCTTGGCCGAGTTGCATGTCGTCGTCTTCGAGCATGTTGGCTGGGAGGTCTTGGCCTTCCTCTGTGACGTCGGGCATGGGCTCGTTGTCGCCGGGCTTGATGTCCGACTCGACGCCCTTGTTTTGGTCGAGGGCTTGAGCCTGTTCTTCGTTGGCTTGGCCGAGGGCTTGGGTATCGGGCACGTCGTCTTGGTCCGCGAGGTGCTCGAAGTCGGCGTCGGCCATGTCGGCGTCTTCTCCGAGGGGCTGCTCCGTCTCGCCGTCTTCCTGCTGGGAGGCCTCCTTGATCTCCTTCTGCCGGCGGTGCCATTCTTCGAGGACGTCGCCGAGTTTCTTGAACGCCTGCAGCTGGGGATCCTCTGGTTTGGAGTCCTCGCCGCCACCGGCGTCTCGGTGCCGTTCGTTCTCTTCTCCGTCTTTAGAGGCACCGGTCTGTTCTTCCTTCTCGGCGGTCTGATCGGTCGATCCCTGCTCCTGCTGCGCGTTGCCCGAGGAGCCCTTTTCTTGGTTCTGGTCTTGGTCTGCGCCCAGGCCGGCGTTCACGGCTTCGCTTGGCGCCACTTCTTCTCCAGCCATTTCGTTGTCCTCTTGCTGTGTGAGGAAGTCGTCTTGCTGGGCTTCTTCGGGCTCCTCTTCGCCGGGCTCCTTCGTGTCTTCTTCGCCTCCTTCCGCCTCACCCTCGTCGGGGAAGTCCTCCTCATTCTCGTTCTCGCCCATTTCCTCGTCTTCGCCGGGTGCTTCCGCGACTTCGCCTTCGGGGTCTTCCAGGTTGTCAACTTCCTGCTCGTTCTCCGGGGCGCCAGTATCGGGAAGGTCATCGTCGAGGCCATCGTCGAAGTCATCGTCGCTGTCGCCAGCTCCGTCATCCCCCTTTTCGTCCCCGTCGAGCTGCATCTCCTCTGGGAGGTCCAGTGCTTCTTCCTCCTTCGCGTGGGGGTCAGTGACATCCATGTCTTCGCGTCCGACCGCCTCGCCCTCTTCCTCCGGAGCTTCTTCATCCTCCTCGACTTCGCTTTCCTGCTCCTCGTTCTCGTCTTCCTCGCCGTTCTCGTCCTTCTTGGCTTCTTTCTCGTTTTGCGCGGCCGTTTGCTCGTCTGTCTCCGACGCGCCCTTGCCTTGCTCGTTCTCCGTCTCCTTCTGCTCCTCGTCGTGACCACCGTCCCACATCTTTTCGTCCACAGCTGAAGCATCAAGCTCACCAACACTACCAGTCTCCTCGTCGATATCGTTGTCCTCCTCTTCGCCGTCTTCGTCCTTGTCATCCCCTTCTTCTTCTTCCTTGCGTTCGCCGTCTTCCCCACGCAGGTCTTCCTGATCCATGTTGACTGCGTCCTTCGAGTCGTCCATTTCACCATCCTGCTCGGTATTCTCCTCCTGGGCAAGTTCCGTCAAGTCTTCGTCATCTCCGACGTCCTTGCTGATATCTTCTGCTCCCTCTCCTGCCCCAAGACCAGTGCCGCCTTCCAGCTTCCCTGCGTTGCCCTCTTCCGTGGACTCCTCCTGCGGAGTGCAGAAGCCCTCGGACGCTACCTGGATGAACGACTTGGAAAGGATGTACGACATCTTGCAGGTCTCGCGGTGGACCGTCACGAACCGATCCACGATATCCTTGCAGATGCTGTGGTACTTGCTCATGATGGGTAGCAGACTGGCAACAAGGGTAATAGCCAAGGGGATACCAGCCTCGGAATTCGAAGTAAGTTGCAACTTATCCAGAACGGCTTCGAGCGAAGCAATGATCTCGGACAGATGCGCTGCCTTGATGGCCCTGGTGAAGAACTCGTCGCTGCGGGCCAGGGAGCCGGTGGGTGCTAGAGAGTTCGGCACTTCCTTTAGCTTCTGCAGACTGATGAGGATCTTGTCGACTGTCGTGAGCAGAGTGGACTCGAATTCTTCGATTGCCAGAGGGCTATGGTCCTTTGCGCCCTCGGCTGCTGCAACCTGGACATTCGTCCAGGGAACGATCTGGTCGAGAACGAAAGACAGGTCGGGGCGCGATTCGGCTGTTTGCGTGACGTATGCCTTTAGCTCAGTAAAGGAGGATAGAGAAGTCTCCAGGACCTCCTTGTGCAGACGCGGAGCAATTCCATGGGGAAGTTCTGGGAGACCATCAAGAGATGATCTTAGACCGCTGAACTTCGATTTCCACTCCTGTAGGCCTCTTGACACCTCAGACGCATCGATTCCGGAGAAATTGCTATGCAGTTTCACGGTAGTAGCCGCCAAGCCAAGTATAGGCGTCAACCACAGAACTGCTGCCCTCACATCTTCTGTGTTCTCAGAAAAGCCTTCACTTGTCCTGGAAACTGAAGCCGGTCCAGCGGACCACAGATTAGTGATCTTGGACAGAAGCGCGCGGAGAGACCCTAAGTTGGCGAATGCCGGGGAGATGGTAGCCCTCTGCTTCCTAAGTAGGAACAAAAGCTGCTCGAAAGACCCGGCACTTCTCGAGATTTCCACATTGCTGAGTTCCTCGCAGTAATCATGCGCCGCCTGACGGACACGAGGCAGAATGTCTAGAATTCTGTGGAAGTAGAGGTCGGAGTTCTTCGCCAGAGGGAAGCCTGCGCTTTCGGCACCAAAGGTTGCGCTTGAGGCAAGCACTTGCGCCACGGTTGCTTGTGTTTCCATCAAGGAGGTGCTGGCATTCCGCTTAATACCCATCTCAGCCAACTGCCGCAGAATGTCCCCGTAGAAACGACGTTTCTGGACCTTCATGTGCTGGACATCGTCTTTGTTGTCTTCGGTTAGGGTCTTCGGGGTCTGCGTCTTGAATTCCTGGATTGACTCGATGAAATACTTGGCGAAGCCGTCCATATCTTCCGACATATCGAACTCGGTCGGAATCGAGACGTACATCTGCTTCATGTTGCTGGCGGTTCCATCGGGGTCTCGGAATCGAGGTGCTCGGTTGGCCCAGATCCCGTCTTGTCTTTGGCACATCGCAAGTGCTTCTGGGAAACTGGTGGATGGCAGGGCGAGCACGCTAGGAGCGAGAGTTGGCTCTTCACTGCCCTCGGGCATATCTTGCTCCAGGGTTTGCTGAGCGGGCTGCGCCAGGATCTCTCGGTACTTCCGGACCAACTTGAACAGTTTATGATGGGATCGACGAGCACTCTCCCGGAGGATAACAATGTTCGTATCTTTCCAACTAGCCAGCTGGATTTGCTCCTTGATATCCTTCTCCAGGGCTGTTCTCCTCTCGTTCAAGATCTTGTGGATCGGAGGCTCGAATTGTCGGTAATGCTCAACGAAGTTGTCCAATGCAGAGCAAACCTGTCCCAGCGACGGGAAGTCTTGCACATACAGATGAAGCAGGGCCCGGAAGTTCTTGACCAGTAGCAAACGCGAGCTGTACTGGCCCAAGCTTGTCGATTTGAAGAATTGCTCCAGGGTAGAGACGACCTCTCGAATATGGTCACCCAGTTCTTCGCCGGATTCTGCAAGCTGGACAGGAGCTGCGATGATTGCTTCGTATGCAATGAACCACCACGAGCTGACATCTTGGTCGCACTTCTCTTTCTCCAGATCCAGGAGTCTCGCCCATGTTGACAGCTCGACTCTTCGCCAGCTAATGATCAGAGCCGTGATTTCATCGTATTGGGTTATAGCCGAAAACTCTCGGCTTGCAACAAGCTGCCATTCGTGAACAAGGGAATGGAGTTTCTCGACCTTGGTGAGGAATTTCGCGATCGGCTCAGCGTGCTTGAATTGGAGAATTTCCTGGCAGCAGAGTATGACATCCGCAAGCACCGCATGCTCCGGCCAAGTCTGTTGGATCTGGGTAAATCGCGCATGTGTCGCCAACGTCAAAGAAACCAGCCTCTTGGCCTCAACAAGGTTTGCGTCGGTATAGAAGTTGTAGTTCGCCTTCTTCTCCGATCCTCTGTCCAAAGCACCCTCTAACAGAAGCAAGATACCCGGAACATGCTCCTTGGGATGTACCCGCGAAGTGAGAGAACTGTTCTCAGACCAGATAGATCCAAGGAGCAAAGCAGACTGCTTGACGTATGCCGAAAGCACGGCTTCCTGGTCCTGTGATTGGAAGAGCTTTGCATGTAACGAGGCAATTCGGACAGTGATATCCCTGGTGTTGATATGACTCGGCTTTTCTTCTTCGTCGGCCGTGTTTTCGTCATATGTAGGGAAGAGCTCCTTCAGCTCGTTCTCATCAACTTCCTCGTTGTCTTCCCAAGAACCCTTATAATGGTACAGGTTCGACTTCTGCTCCTCTGTCTCCTGGTCCTCGCGCAACTTGGCTTTCCACAGCACATGGAATTGCCCGAATAACCGGCGAAGTGCCTCCCGCCCAGCCGCAGTGTGAAGAATACCTGGATCAGCATTTTGGGCGACGTGCAACGACGAAAGTTCATGGAACCACAAAGTTGTCGCCCACTTAGGACTAGTCTCCGCTTTCTGCGTATAGAAAGCCGAAATTGGGTGAGAGAGCCCACCAAGGAATGGCGTGCTCCTACTAATAGCTTGCACAAGGTGGCTCTCGTTTGGCGCCTGATGTTGGTTTGCAGACAGGGAAAGACCCAGGTCCAGTAGTTGAAGGAAACGGACGACGGGCACGGTTATATCATCGTAAGAACGGTAATGCGTAGTCAAACGTTGCGTCAATTGGCGGACATTGTCACGGATCAGGTTAATCATTCGGTAGGCTTCGGAAAGATCCCCGTCAGCTGGGCTGATGAGACTGTCAGAGCATCGATCAAGGACAGATTTGAGCAGGTTAGAGAATTCGCCTTGCAACAAATTGATCTCAGACGCCTGCGGTCGAGTAATCGAAGACGGCGGGGGAGCTGCTCCCAAGTCGCGCAGCTCTTCTTGAACAATTCGGTGGCGCGCGTTGGAAGATTGGCCCGAGAACCCGACCTCAAATGAAGAAATAGCATCGGCCTTCTCAGTCAGTTCCACCGTACGCTGGGAGTGGCGTTGTCTTTGGACGACCAGGCTCAAAGACGGATCAAAAGGCTTGTCGGGGACGAACAACCGCAGGAGAATGACAGCCAGTTGGACTACAGCAGCACCAATATTTCCATCAACTCCATCTTCTTGCGAATCTGTCGTCAGGGAATGAATAAGATTGGGAAGTGCTCTTTGCGCATAATCCTTGAAGTAATGATCAGCCGGCAGACTCTTCTCCAAGCAAATCTCAAACGAAGGACCGTTGTATGAGCCGTTTTCTTCGACTGCTTGGAAAACATTCGAAATCTGAACCAAGGACTGAGGCTCCAAAAACTCGCCGTGCGCCGACAGTAGCCCCTTAGCGAGTCTCGTCAGCACTTGTCGGAGAACATTCATTTGGTTCATGGAGATCTCGCGGGAAGTCAAAGCAACAGCCTTGGAGAGAACCCGTTTCTCGATTTCCAATGAAGCCATCTGACCCAGGCTCGTATTATCTACGAGCTTGAGCTTTCCAAGCAACGACAAAGACATAGTACCAGTGACTGCGGCACCGATCATCGATGAGTTGGCTGATCCTGCGAACAACGCAAGTCTGTGAAGCATGCCAGGGACTTGACTCTTCAACTTTGACAAATCTAATGGCCGCGCAGGACGCATAGCCAATAGCGGAAGAATGGACCGAATGGTCTCGTCCCCATTTTGTGCTTCGACGAGAGAAGAGATGTCATGGTATTGACACAGAGCTTCAAAATCAGTTGTAAAATACGGATCTTCGGCTGAGACTGATCGTTGCACGACACTCTTCAGCTCCGAGACCGTTTGGCTGAGGGCCTGGACAAGCTGGCCTTCATCGGCACCATCCATAAGGATAGACCGCTGAGCTTCAATCAGAGAATTACGGACCTTGCTCAGTTGAGACAAATCAAGGTGCGTCTTGGTGGCTACTCCTGTGAACTCAGATGCAACCTTCTCCAGGTCCAGTACAGAAGCTAACTGGTCATGGGTCGCAGGGGTTGCTGGTCTCCAGGTCTCCCAAAGGCGTTGCATACTGAGACCCGTCTTTAGAGCCCAGTTTTCTTGGAATCGACTAAGCCCTTGAGACAAGGAAAGAGCCAATGGCTTCAGGGAGTCCCAGGAATCGAAAGAAGTACACAACTCCCGCCCCGTTTGAAGATAAATCTGAAACTCGCCCTCATCCACTGCGTGAGACGTAGAAACCCGGAAGACATCCGCACAGTAATTCACGACAGCCCGAAGAGCATGGACGATATGGGGCGCCTGCAGATCTTCATACCCGAGGCCCTGGACGAAATCATATAATGCTTGTCCGCAGTCGGAAAGGAAAAAGCCGACTGGTTGTGTTGGGTCTTTCATCAAAGATGGTATCCGTCCTGACGCCAAAGATCTCTCCAAACGGCTCATTTGGCTCGGCTTCAAAAGCTTCCCTGACTCGTCTGCTTGGAGCAAGCCCTGTCTTAGGCGATGCAAGTCAAGTTTAACTTCCTGCAACTGCGCCAAAGAGATTATCGAGGTCACGGGTACATGATTGCACATGACGGCAACCAGGGGTTCATTCACTAGAGGATGGATTGGCTGTGATGGTCCCTGGAGGGCGAAAGAAGCGCCACTTAATTGAATTTCAGCCTTGGTGCTCTCAAGAGGCTTCCATGACGTATTGTCCTGCACAACGGATATGAATCGATGCAGAAGTGACAATAACGACTCTTCAGTCATTTCAGGGAAGTATTGCACGAAAAACTGGGTCGATCGCTGAAGATATGCCAGGTCTGTAACGGAGAGATGGTCAAAGCACACTTCATGAAGAAGTCTTGAGCGGTCTTCGGCGGCCATGGACGAATTGAGACTCCACACTGTCCGGAGACGGTATAGGAATGATTGGCAAGTGTAGGAAGGCATGACTGCGCTAGTCGCGGGATCATTTTCTTGAGGCAAGAAGCAAATCTCAACGCATCGGTTCCGCATCGCACGGGACAGCTCCCCATGGCGAGGATCCACAGTGAGAAACAGCCTGAAATTCGGGTGGGGAGTAATGATTCGAGCTGATCCATCCTCAGTGCGCTGTTCATTGAGTATAAGATCACCGTTTGGTTCAGCCAAGGAGTTCAATCTATCGAGAACAGACGGATTGCACAAATTGGCATTATCAAGGACAACCCAATGGCCATGCTGGACAGCTTGAGTCAAAACACCTTCGGTCCACTCAAAGCCAACCCGCATCGCATGGGATTGTTTCGACACTTCTGATAATGCCTGTGCGCGTCTAAGGAGATCTTCAAGCTCTTTCCCGGCAAAAGACTGGCACAGAGATGTAAGCATTGAACACACTGTGTCCAGTGATACATCCGGGTCCTGTAGACCTTCGTGGAGCTCAAGGAAGCCGGTGATTTCGTCCAAGGGTTTGTCTGGTGAGTAGAACGAGAGGATATATCGACTAAGGAACAAAGAGATCTCTCGAACAAGGCTCGACACCTCTCTTCGGTAGTCAATCTGTTCAAAGCCACCGATAAGATCCATGGTATCAGTGTCGGCGCTTAGAGCAAGTTCGACTAGGTGAGCACCATTGACAGCAGCAAGCTTTCTGATGAGGGTTGTCTTTCCACAACCAGACGGCCCAACAAGAATGCTCGGCCATGCTTGCTCTATGCACAGCATCAACGACTCAAGAGTGGGGAGATCCGCCGGAAGTATCCTCATCTGGGGTTCTGGGATTTGCTGGATGAGGGTATCTCTCTGCATTACCCCTAAGCCAACCTGCATGTACTCTGGAGTGAGATTGTGATAGTAGCTCTTGGCGAGGTTCGGGGTATCGTTGAAAATTTGGTTGTACAGCTGCGAGACCAGTTCTCGATCTTCCGCAGTCCTGAAACGCTGAGAGATGATGACATCGAGGAAGTTATTCGTGGATATCTGCAAGTCTCCACGGTCGGCAAGCTGAAGCCATCTTTGAATGTCTCGCAAGTTGACCTCCCAAGGGCCACCAACAACACCTAATCGGCGTTCCTTTGTGATGGCTGTGTTCAGCAGAGAAACAAACTTGACTAGTCGGTCAGTCTGCAGCGTCGGGCTACCAGGGAAAAGTTTTGCGCATATTCTCTTCAAGTCAGTGTCAGTAAACGCGTCAGCATACACAACAGTGAACCGGTTGACAAATGACGCAGGAAGTCCTTTTCTGCCACCACCTTGATGATGCGGGTTCTGCGCGGCAAAGAGAACGAAGTTAGGGTGTCTATGGAAGGTCTGGTCAAGTTCGGCAACGTAAACCGTTTGACGGTGATCCAAACAAGCGTTCAAGCCCTCAAGGACCGACTGGGATGCCAAGTTCATTTCGTCCAAGAGAACCCAGTCACCCCGCTGCATAGCTTGCAGGAATGGAGCATCCCGCCAGGTAAACTGGCCCACGTCGCCACCTTCTACAGGGACATCTGAACCAAATAAATCTGTAAGATCAGTCTGTTCTGAAAGGTTAATACGGGTTAGTGGCTTTCCAAGAGCTCTAGCGAGAGCAGTAACCAAGGTAGTTTTCCCAACACCGGGGCTACCTTCCATGAGGATCGGCTTAGGTAGCTGCAGGCCACGGGCAATCCTGACTGTATTTGCAACAGTGGTAGGCGCATCCATGATAAATTCAGGGTCTGGCTTTGCGCCACCATTGATAGCAAGGCTGAAGGGGCCCACACGTAGAGAGCCATCTTGGGTGTCGATATTTGTCTTCTGGAGATAAATGCTTGCAGCGTCGACATCGAAGAGCTCGCGCAGCTTGTCTAAACAGCGTCTTCGATTACCTTCAAGGTTGTCAAGGGCGGTGGCAAGCATCGCAGCCGGATTGGCACCCAGAGTGTCTATGAACACCATAGCGGCACCTTGTACGACCGAGAAAAGAGGATCCGCACTTTGACACTTGTTCACGAAGTCAACCCAAGCAAGAAGATCACGAATGGACAGCGACGTAGTGGTCGAGTTCTGGAACGTCCACTTGAACCACTTAGCAAACTGTAGCATCGACTTGGGGATCTGTTCCGATGACAACTGGATTTTGATTTGAAGAATCGGCAAAATGTCATCATCTTCAGAGAGTTGGGGGGCCCAAATTTCAGTCATTCGATTCCGAAGAGCAGCTGAAAGTTCGCGTTTGCCATAATCTCCTCCAGGGTTCATGGTGGATAGAAATTGGAACCCTCTATCGGCAACCACCATAGAATCGATGGGACCCTTTTCTGCGAGAAGGATCGATCTGTGAGGCTCGAGAACACTGTTGAGTCTTTCAAGAACAGAGTCGTCTGCAAGAGAGATCTCGTCCAGAAGGAAAAACTGCCCGGTCTTCATGGCAGTTATCAGACTACCATCGGACCATTCAAAGAGAGCATTAAGGCGGGCAAAGTTGGCCTCGATTCTCTGGATGAGGCCAGGCTCAATACCTTGCAACTTTTCCGCGCCTATGGCAGCCAATGCTTGTTTGAGCTCTTCGGGAGACTTCGACGCAACATCCTCCTCGAGCACTGCTTGGACATCGGTGAGCAACTGACTTTCAATGGCTGCCCTGTTTCTAATGGGCCGTTGAGCTCCGATGAGATCGCCCGTCTCCAAGTTAACGTGGGCATTGACGATCAACAGGTGCTTCTTATAGGCCTCTGCGACAGCTTGACAAAGTTGAGTCTTGCCGCAACCAGTTTCTCCAACAAGGAGGACAGGCTCGTTGTTCTCGATAGCGGCTGATACCAAGATGAAAAGCCTCCTCATTGCCTTTGTCCAAACAACTCCAGGGGCCAGACTCGTGAGAAGGGGTGCGCGCTTTTCTAGTTCAGAGGTGCTGTAAATGACATCTTCATCGATGCGAACCCTCATAACTTCTTCAATTACCCCTTTCACCGCCGCCCTCTCCTGTGGGTTTCGAACTCGCTCTGCTAGTAGCATGAAGCCGTTAACTGCCAATTGTTCGCGATCATCTGCTTCGCGAAGCGCCCATCGAAAGAGGTCACGCAGGGTAGCAAAGCTGTTCTTCTGTTCAAAGAGTCTGTTCGCTTGGCGCAGGAGCGAGAGCTTTCGATAAACAGACACAATTCTGGCACAGAAAGAGGGCGCAATTTGAGATCGTTCCTTCAAGATGAACTCTAATTCACTCTCCGGGATATCATCAAAGTGTAGCTCAAGGAAACGGTTTCGGAAAGCACGGGACAAGACTTTTCGACCACCATACAGACCAGCTGGATTTTGGGTCGCAAAAAGCATGAAGTTGGAATGGGGGTGAACCACTTCTTGGGTCTCTGGTATGAATAATTCACGATTGTCATCAAGAAGGCGGTTCAGTGCTTCTAGGACGTCGGAAGGTGCCAGGTTAAGTTCGTCAAGGACAATCCAGTAGCCATTTCGAAGGGCTTCTACCAGAATACCTTCCTGGTAGCGCAAAGTCCCATCGTCGCCAGACACATAAGAACCCAAGTACTCTTGAAGATCAGTGTGCTCATGGTTGTTGATACGGACAAACTTGTTCCCCGACACCTTAGCAAGATACTCAATCATGCTTGTCTTACCGGCGGAGGTTGGACCCTGCAGAAGAACCGGAAATCGTCGCGTTGAACTTGCTCGCACCAAATTCTTGAGGTTTTTCTCAATGAATGGGGTTATGATGTAATGTGGTTCCTCCTTGGGAGGGAACGGTCCTTGTCGCATCCAATAGTGCTTGAACTGCACATATTCATGCCCATCATCGGGAGGTCTCGGTGTCTGCCCGAGAATTGCCCGCGCATTCTTTGAGTTGTTGAAAATATGCTTTTCAAGCAGCGGTGAAAGGAATTTTTCCGATTCTTGACTTAACACAGTCAAGAAACTCATGGAAAATCCTTCATATACCGCTCGGCGCAGCCCATAGACGTGGGCATGGTCACACACATAGACTAGAGCACGGACGAGAGTTCTGATGCTGAAATGTGGACGTTGTCCAGCCCCGTCGGTGAGTTTGTTATGGTTGCTAAGCGCCTTTGTTTCCATATACAGCTGCGCAAGGTCCGAGACGATTCTCGAATCCCCAAGGCTCAAGTCGCCCAGATATTTCTGGATCAGGGATAGGAGGTCGTCGAGATCACTGTCCGGGGGTTGTACATAGCATTCGGTGAATCGAGACCTGAGGCCTGGAGGAAGGTCTTTCTTTCCTGCATCGGTAGCAGGGTTCATGGCACCGAATATGCGGAAGTCCGGGTGTCCAAATACGCGTTCCACGTCTCCGGCTTCGGAAAGCAATACAGAAGGCGAACCCTCGGTGCCATGGTGCAAAAGACTGGCAATGTTCTCAAGCGTGTCTGGCGAGGCCAAATTGATTTCATCAAGGAGCACCCATTCGCCATTCCTCAACGCGCGGACGATCTTTCCCTGTACAAAGGCGAATGCGAACTTGGCGTCGCCCTGGGACACTTGCATCTCGAAGTCCTCTAACTGCGCCGAAAACCGATCCCATCTCTGCCGCAGATATTGGTACTTGGGCGAGTCGAGCTTTCTCTTCTTAGAAGGCTGTCCGTCTTCACCCGCCTTTTCTTGTGCGCCAGATTTGAAAACACCTTCAGCCAACCGTACTGCCTCATGCCAAAGGGTTAGCAGACGAGTCCAATTGCCTGCTGCAACGCTCTTCGCAACGGACGACAAGAACTTCTGGTTTTTCTTGGCCGAAAACGTCAGCTCGAACAGCGCGTTGAACTCGTCGAGCATGGGTACAGCCATAGTGCGAATATTGACGGGTTTAAAGCCACCTAGCAAGTCGGTGCTTTCACTCTGTTGCGACAAGTTCACTACCGTTAGTTTCTGGCGCATAAGCGTAGCAAGTCGCTGGATCACTGTGGTTTTGCCAATGCCCGTTTCTCCAACAAGAAGGGTAGGCTCTGCCATTTGAACGGCGGCAGCGACTTGCTCCATGAGCTTCAAGGCGGATCTTGTGGAAGCGAAGCGAGACGAGGAAGTTTTCGAGATGGAGCCACTGGGGACTTTGATCTTCTGGCAGGTTTCTCTCCCAAGGATGATGCTGTTTCCTTGGTCGGAGTATGGGGGCGTTCGCTCATGCAAGCAAAAGCGCGCGCGCTGCGGCGATATTTGGAGAGCTTCCGCGACGACCAAGGCAAGAGAATCTGCCAGAGACTTTTCGGGAATATATGTAAGGAATATATCCACAATATCTAGAAACATCTCATCTTCAGCTCCCTCCGGCGTTGCTTCGTAACCAGTTTTGGCGCCGAGATTTTTTAATCGCCTGTGCATTCGACTGCAAAGCTTTATCAGGTCGCGCAGGCCGGGTGTCCGGCCTTGAGAGCTCTTAATCGCAAGGCTTCCATGAAACGAGGAGCAGAGCTTTTGGTATACATTCATGATCGTCGGGACCCGCGATTCCAGTAGAGGGAACTTTTCTGTGATCACCTTCTGGACCTCCTCAATTGAGAAAGAATCCACCTGTACGCGCTCCCATAGCCTGCTCCCCAAGATGTTGGTGCTGGGTGCAACCTCTTCTCCGGCGATGTTGTAGGAAGATTTCATTGTCGCAATAATTTTGAAACCTTCTGCACATTTGATCCGCTCTTTTCTGCTGGCAATAGTCAACTCTCCCTTTTCAATGATGGGGAGAATAAGGCCTATCACTTCGGAAGGAGCGCGGTTCAAGTCTTCAATCAAAATCCAGCGACCTTCTCTTGCGGCCTTCGTCAAGACACCAGGCTGCCAAGCAAACGAGCCCGTGGCAGGAGACGTGGAATACATTCCAAGAAGACTCTTAGCGTCTGTCTGTTCGTTCAAGTGTAATGTGACCATTGATTCGGACTGGCCCATCGTCGCGGCAATGTCATTCACCAATGTAGTCTTTCCCGAATTCGGTAACCCGATAAGCAACATGGGCTTCGACTCGGTCAGTGCCGTCGCGATCTTGCGGAGGTTTCCGATAGCGGTAGGTGTTTTGACAATCGAGGAGGGCGACGATGGCGTTTCAGTTAATCGCGGAATCAAAACACCGCAGACTTCGGCCGTTCGCGGGGTGAGATAGTCTCGCAATTGTTCTACTTGCGATAAAGATTCCGGAATCGACCGTGTTGACCTCGCAAGCTGGATCTGCTTCTCTAGTGTGTTCCAGCGTTGTTCCTCCCAAAGACCGAGGCATCGGTAATCAATCACGATGCCCTCCCATTCCCCCTCCACAGTATCTTCGGGGATATTTGTCCATACTATCCGCTCCGTTGCAGCATCGGCAGCGCGCATATATAAAGCAAAGCATCGTACTGCCAAGTATCTAACGGATCGATCGCGGTGTCGGAAGAGAGACTGCAGCCGTGACGGTGAGACGGCCTTCGAGAATAGTTCCAGGTCAAAGGACATAAGTCTGAAGATAGCGAGGAGCAGCGTGCGAAGGGTGCTGTCTTCCAATTGCGAGGGCGCTGGGGCGTCCGACGTAGCCAAAGCCGAAAGAGGACCAGCCCGAGAAACGGCATACTGGCTGGCAAATGATCGCAAATATGGCGCAAACGGTAGGATTCGTCCAAAGGCTGAGATGACTTCGACCTGGTCGGCATGAAGGTCGGAATCAAGCCATCTTGCTGCTAAGTCAACAAAAATAGGTTCGTATATGCAAAAAAATCGTTCTATGCATGTTGACCTCAATGCGCCAACCGCCAGCGCATTCAGGTATTGAGTCCCAGAAGCTGTACGAATGAGTTCCGCAATCTCATTCGGAAGCTGTTCCAATATTTGGGACTCATTAAGAGTCCTCGTGTATGCAGGTCCGGCATTCATATTAGCCTAACCGCGGAGGAGCTCCTATGATGAGTTTGATAAAGATGAGGTCGAAGAGTTTCTATGTCAATTGCAACTTTTTTTTTTGCGTTTTTCTTTTTTTTTCTGCCGTCATTTTCTGCCCATACATGTGGCGCCGCCCCACATTGTATGGTTCACCGCCTTAGCTAATCACGGAGCTTCTGCCACACCTCCGACATCAATTGATCGCATTGGTCTCGAACGTGGTTCCAGCATTGTTGAACGACAAAGAAACATGGTTGTCTGTGATGTGGATGCTGGAACATTCGTGTGATACACTATATTTACCATGCGCGATATTCCAGAGACGGGCGCCTCGTCAGCGTCCCGAGACGGCTCTCAACACTCGTTCAACCAGCACGGGGATGACCAGATACAATCGGAGTATGCCCGTGAGGGGACTGATGACCCGCTGGTCGGGACATTGAATGAACCGTAAGGGATACGTGAAGTACTTTATTGCGCATGGTCTAACAGATACTTTTACACAGTATATCCTTCAAGCGCAAACAAAAACGACCATCCCGGTTTAGTCTATCGAGCTTGTTCTCGAATAACAATGAGTCTGGTGCCGGTGACGCTTTCTTCGATTCATCGACTATTCGGAATGGTCAGCCCCCGGAGGATGGGTCATTTTCGAGAGACAGCGGACATGGTCGCGAGGATAATTTGAATGTCCAGAAAGAGGGGGGTCTTCTGGACTGGTACGTGGAGGGACCCGGGCGACGAGTGGGTTATGATGATCAAACGGCCATCGACTGGATCTTTGAATACACGAAAGAGCGTCAGAGGAAGAGACTCTTATATTCGGGCAACCAGGGCATTGTCGGATATGCTCGCAGGCTTCTCGATGCTAGTAACGTCTGGCTTATACTGATTGCTACGGGAATAGCGGTGGGAATCATAGCAGCCTGTATTGACGTTGCTAGCGACTGGCTGGGAGACTTAAAGACCGGCTATTGCAAGAACGGTCCTGGCGGTGGGAAGTTTTATCTCAACCGAAACTTCTGCTGTTGGGGACATGATGGTAGGTCTTTGCTTTGGACTTCGACCCTCGGACCAGCTGCTGATGTCACACCAGATTTCTCCAAATGTTTGGACTGGGTTCCATGGAGGGAAGCTCTGGGAGTGTCGTCTCCTGGCGGAGGTTTTGCCGTCGAGTACATCTTTTTTATTCTTTACTCGGTATTGACTCTCATTGGTTTGTCTGGCCGAACACGATTAACACAGTCACCAGATATTATTTGCCGCGTGTGCTTCTTTCTTGGTCAGAAGCTATGCCATTTATGCCAGGCATAGTGGTATCCCCGAGATCAAGACGGTCCTCGGGGGCTTTGTCATCAAACATTTCATGGGATCGTGGACCCTTGCAATCAAATCTCTTGGTCTAGTCAGTGCCCCATGTCATTTGGAATACCCCAGTGTGCTAATTGTGGCAGTGTTTGTCTGTTGCTTCTGGGCTATGGCTGGGCAAAGAAGGCCCGCTCGTTCACGTGGCATGCTGTTGTGCCAGTCTTATGATGAAGCCTTTTGAAAGTCTCTACCGCAATGAAGGTATGTGGACCGGACAGTATGCTCCAATATAGCAACTAATTTTTTTAGCGAGGAAACGTGAAGTTTTATCAGCAGCTGCCGCCGCCGGTATCTCTGTTGCTTTTGGGGCACCCATCGGAGGTGTGCTCTTCAGCTTGGAGGTATGTCTACCAGACTGTATCTAGCATCCAGGCACTAATGTATTATCAGCAACTGTCTTACTATTTCCCTGACAAGACAATGTGGCAGAGCTTCGTCTGTGCCATGGTTGCAGCTGTGACATTGCAGGCGCTCAATCCCTTCCGCACTGGAAACATTGTCCATTACCAAGTCAAGTACACCCGCGGGTGGCACCGCTTTGAAATCATCCCTTTCATCATCCTCGGGATTGTTGGCGGTCTTTACGGAGCTTTTATGATTCGATTGAACATGCGAATCGCCAAGTGGCGACGGTCACGTAGCTGGTCTCGACCGATCTTGGAAGTCACAGTGGTTGCACTCCTGACGGCTCTGGTCAATTTTCCGAACTTATACATGAGAGCGCAAAACTCGGCGCTTGTCCACTCGCTGTTCGCCGAATGTGGCACCACAGGGACTATATCTGATGACCTTTTGGGTCTTTGCAAGCAGGGTGCTATATCAACCACCACAATCGCTCTTTTGCTTATGGCCGCGCTTCTTGGATTCCTCCTTACGTCGATCACTTTCGGTCTGGACATACCTGCCGGTATCATTCTTCCGTCTGTTGCCATCGGCGGTCTATACGGACGTGCTTTGGGAACCACTTTCAGGATGTGGCACGAGACCCATCCTGACTTTTTCTTATTCGGCAACTGCCAGCCCGACACACCGTGCGTGACCCCGGGTATTTACGCCATCATCGGTGCCGCTTCGGCTCTCGGCGGCTCCACAAGAATGACCATCTCCATCGTCGTCATCATGTTCGAACTTACCGGCGCTTTGACATATGTGATCCCAATTATGATTGCAGTCATGTTATCCAAGTGGTGTGGTGACATCTTCGGCAAACGAGGTATCTACGAATCATGGATTCAGTTGAATGAGTATCCGTTCCTCGACCATCGCGATGATACGGCCCCGCCAGATGTACCGGCCTCTAAAGTCATGACCGGGTTCGATGATCTGACGGTCCTTCCTGCCGTTGGCCATACTATTGATTCCCTCCGCAATCTTCTTGTGAACACTTCCTACAGGGGGTTTCCGGTTGTGACTGACACGTCGAACCCGATACTTCTGGGGTTTATCTCTCGCAACGAGCTTTCCTATGCCTTGAAATCCTCGACGTCTTCGGCAGACCGAGAATTGCCCGGAACAACCCAGGTCTTCCTTGCCCATCAGCCGTTTGCCGATCCCGCGGACACGCTCGATCTGCGACCTTGGATGGACCAGACACCTATTACGCTAAACAGCGGAACCACTTTCCTTATTGTTCTTCGAATGTTCCAACGACTTGGACTCCGCTATGTCTTGTTCGCTGACAAAGGAGTGCTCCAGGGACTGCTCACCAAGAAGGACATATGGTCTATCATCAATGGAACTGATATCCATAAGTTCGACACTCTGAGGCACGATGAATATGGTCGAAGTAATGACGCCGAAGGAGTTGGCTTACTAGATGAGGATGACAGGGATAGTTTTGCGAGTTCTATGGGGCGCCGACAGTCCCTTTAGAGCTATTTTTGTCTGTTTTGCTATCTGTATAGAAATCACATGGCTTGGAACAACATTTTTGTAATCTTATAGGACGTTGTATCGATTCTAAAATCAGTAACTTTGATTCCATTTTACTCAGAGATGTATCAAAGTGTCTCCCCGCCAAAATATACTTCTGAACACTAACATTCGAAATACTATCGGTAACTTGAGGCTTGTCCCATGACCACGGAGTGGACACCAAAAATGATACAAACTAAAGCTCGGCATCTAATACTCTAGGTAAGTCTGAACGAAGACCGAAAACCCAGGAAGTAAAAGATGACACTTGAAGATAGTGAGTGTTCTCGAGCGATGACATACAAGCGCCCCACGGAGTATTTCTGCCGGAACAATTGTCTATCCACCGCCTTCTCGATAACCAACCGGTGCCCCAATTAGCGTCGGCCTTCCATGACAGGCTTCAAGATCTCGGCCAATTTCAACATTGCAAAGACCATCTTATATATCATTCATTCCTTGCTATCTCCCAAGCCCTCAACCGCAAAAATGATGGCGGATCCGTTCGAGGTTCGCATGCGATTCACCGCGCAGCTGCAACACTTGAATGCCTCCATTACTTCCTCACAGAAAGCGGCGCATTATGCGCTCAAGTACCGCGACATGGACGAGGACCTTCATTCATGTATCTTAGAGCAGCTGGAAAGAGTACGCACCATCCTCTACAGACAGTAACGATAGATCGGGACTGACTTCCCCCTCCCCAGAATAATATGAACAACAGAGCGAACATCATGTACTTCATCGAACAATTCTGCGAAATGGCCACCAAAGAAAACCACACTCCCTACGTGCGCATGATACAGAGAGACATCTTGCGCGTCGTGGACTCCGTCGTACCGGCAGACGGATCAGGCGCCGCAAACGTCAAGCACGTTCGTCGGGTTCTCAACGGCCTCCAGACAAAAGAGATTCTATCCGCTGAAACGATTGCGGAAATCGATGCAGCTCTGAAGGAGCGCGAGTCTCACCAGGCGCATCTGGATCTAGAAGCAGAGGAAGCACCCGAAGGCAGTGTGGTACCGAAGAGTGGCACGCCGCGGGGGTCTCGGCGGGTGGATAAGAGGCAGATCGAGCAGCGGATTGAAGAGGACCGTGAGCGGAACAAGAGACTACGGGAGAGTATGTGGACTGTTAGTGGGGATGATGGCGATGAACATGGGAAGTTTTGGGATGAAGCTAGTGATATTGGGGAGGATGACTTTATCAATGCGAGCGAGGAGTTTGTGGAGCGCCAGAAGATGGTCACTGCGGTTTGAGTGCACAGGCGCGGCTTAAGGATGTTGGTTTGTGTGCTCTCTGTGGTATGAGAGTGTTTGATTTTCTCTAGCATCGCGACTTGGAGTTGTTGGGTTTGGTTTTGGAAAGCATCGAGGTTGGATTGGCGTTTATGTGGGATTTTTGTCATGAATCAATCATAACATAGTATCGAATTTGACCACATTACGATGAGTATCCATATGTACAGTACTGATGGCCGCAAAATAGATTCCAACCAGAAGTCATACACCCATCCAGGAAAGGATTCACGACCTAATGGTTCAGTGATTGTGCTGTCTAATAGAAATGCTGTATCCCTCAAGTCCCACTGTATAAGGCTTAACACTCCCCGAGCGCTTGAGAGTCATTTTATGATGTAGTCCTCCATTTGATTTGGAGTAACATGGGCCTCTCCCATACAGCCAACCAAAAAGGAAAGCCAGCAATCTGTAAACAAACATCCGACCATTTATTATCCAGAACTATATCAGGAGATGAAGCTTATAGTAAGTATGTTGAGACCCACTAGAGGGGCTGTCCGCCTTCGGACTAACGTACCACCGACCAATTTTGATTTCTGCCGAATTTCTTCGATAAAAACTATCCGAAGATTCATCGCAATCAGATTGACTCTCACAACGGCCATTTGGTGCTTGCAAAGGGATTCATCTGGTCCTCTATGTTCTCTCATATCGTCACCGCAGCGAAAGGTCTATTTGCTGGACAAAGTTCCGACCCAGACCTGCCCACCAGCGATTCCAGTGAACTCCCCGCGAGCAAACCCAACAAATCTAAGATGGTGACCGCTACGCGACGACGGTCATTCCTACCTGCGGATGAGCAGGAACCGGCAGTCAATGGGGTTCAGGATACGAATTCGAAACGCAAGTCTGGTGCGACGAAATCCGACAAGCCTGAAACGCAGCGCAGTAAACGACGGAAGAGGACCAGTCTCGAGGCGGCCCAAGATAGCGAGAACGGCACGCCCAACGAGAAGCCCGAAGTCGCGGAGGAGTCCTCAGCACAGCCAGAGCAGAAAGAGCCCACGAAACATTTCCGATTCGGTAGCGAAGAGCCCGAGTTACCGTTGGATACGACAGCGGACGAACCCGCAGGGAATGAACAAGAAAATGATAGCAGTGACGATGACGACGATGCCCCAGAGCAAGTCAACAATTCCGCACAAGTGCTCCAAGCTAAGACGGAAGCCAAAAAATTGGAACGAGCCCGGCAAATGTAAGTGCAGTCACACATCCAATCCTCTTGGTGGCTCTGGTGGATTCTAATTTTGTCACAGAGAGGAGCAGTTGAAAAGAGAAAAGAGAAAGCAGCTGGACGCTTTGCGCAAGCAACAAGCGAAGAGCTCGACCAAGAAAAGAGAAAGACCGGATGACATGTTGTCCGAGAGCACGGAGACCCTTCAAGGCTCGAACACACAGGATGCTAGGCGCTCTGCCCTGCCGGCCCTTCTTCCAGACGATATCCTGAATGCAGAACCCGTTGCGAGACCGCCTACGCCGCCTGCCGAAGGCATGGACATCGTTCACAGGAAGCCTAACAAACTTCGATTCCTCGAGAAATCGGAGAAAGCGCCCAAGGACGTGGATCTGGGCGATGTCACCATCCGAGTTCTCGATGGAGACTCATCACGAAAGAAAGCCAAGACGACAGTATTACCGCCGAAGACCGCGAAACCGGCTCGGAATGCCAAGCAGAATTGGCTGAATCGGGGACGCAGTACGGGGCAGGTCAATGGATTGAGAAGGACCACTGGTGGTACCGGGGGGTTTGTGCGCAAATAGAAGTACAATTGAGGCATGCGCGTAATGAGAAACAGTCTGTATATGAAACTGACAGGATGTCATACATATACATTTTTACATATTCATCACTAACTTGAAAGCGATAATTACACTGTAAGGGGTGATCAATCCTTGTATATGGCGCTGGATGTGCCGGGAATAGCATTGTAAATGTAAAAAAATCAACACGCGGTAGATGATATCATCATAATTGCTTTTTCCTTCCCTTCGAGTAAGATCTATAAGAATGAGGTTAGTTTTGAACTATGAAAAGCGCTGCGTGGAGAGCAGAATGTGATTTCCCACACCGCATTGGGCCAGCCCGTGCACGTGTGGAGCTTCAAGCTATCCTTGGCCGCATTTTCTCTCACCTCCCATTCCATCCTTTCGCTTCTTCCACACAACCGCTCCCAACTGTTGTCATTGGTCCCATCCGTCAATGGCGGATTTTTCATAAACCTTACTGAGTCTCAGAACCAGGATGGCCTCGACAGCGGAGACCACGCCGCTCCTTTCACAACAGCAGCAGCAGCAGCAACCACCGCCGCCCAATACGTCACCGAGATCCCGCCCACCGAGGACAGTGACCTTCAACCCAACAGCGACTGTCAGTACATACCATGATGCAGCCTCTGCGGACCCTTCGTTCATGCCGCTACACGCTGGCTCCTCTTCGGTGTCCAATACGCGAGGACCGAGCGGACTGTCTGCCTTGAACAGCAAACTCCGTCGTCGCAACAGCCACGGAGGAACCTCTTACAGCACGTCGTATCCAGCCCCAACGTCGGCTCCCAAAGTCGGACCCCAACGGACGACGAAGAAGGCACAGAAGCTGAAACTTCTCCCCGATCCGATCACCGAGGAGGAAATTTTGGAAGGCGATACCCCGTCCGATGTCTATTCGCAGATCACTCGTATCAAGGAACCCACGGCCCGGAGTCATGCGGCACGCTTAGGAAAGGCAGACAGGGATCGGGTGCCCCGTGTAACGGCGTACTGTACCGCCAATTCGTACCGATTGGAAGGGGTGATCCGGTTCCTGAAGTCACGGGCCAAGACCCGCGGGGCCAACCCGAAACTGTTCGACGAGTGCGTGTATTCATCTTACGATTACGACTATGAAAATAAGCAGAAGGGGATACGGAGGATGGCCGAGGAGAACGCGGGCGCTCCCGAAAGGCCGCCCAGTGAACGACGATACTCGGACAGCGCCGTCGAAGTAAACGACACGAATAATGTTCGACGAGAGAACCTAATTGATTTTCAAGATTCGGTAGCCCACCCGGATGGGCCAGCGACCTCTGAAACCGCAGTCTCATCAGCGCACGATGCAGGGACGCCTGATTTCGACACCACGATCCACACCCCAGAAGTCTTCCTTTTCGACTACGGCACGGTCGTCATATGGGGCATGTCGCCCGCGCACGAGTCCCGCTTTCTCTCCGACATCTCCAAATTCGCAACCTCCATCCTCAGCCCGGAAGACACGCAGATCGAACATTTCAACTTCTACTACGCCCGCGAGTACCAAGCCCGGATATACAATGACTTCATCTCGCTCCGTGACCCGCGAAATTACATGATCAAGCTCGCCATCTCGCACGCGCTCGCACAGTCCGTGAAAACATCCCTCTTCGAAGATCTGGTGTCCGAGACCATCTCGAACACGGCACCTCTCCCGGCGCAGATCGCCCAAACAGGCAGCGTCAACCTCACCCGACGCCAGATCAACATGCAGATCGGAGAGCTATTCATCCTGCGGATCAACATCCATCTGCAGGGGTCCGTCCTCGACAGTCCGGAACTGATGTGGGCCGAGCCGCAGCTGGAGCCGGTGTATCAGGCAGTGCGCAGCTACCTGGAGATGGACCAACGAGTCAGTCTGTTGACGGAGCGGCTGGACGTGATTGCGGATCTCCTGGCGGTGTTGAAAGATCAGTTAACTCACCGCCACGGAGAGTATCTCGAATGGATTGGTACGTATACCTGGTACTTTCCTATCATTACATGGTTGCTAACAATCAACGACAGTAATCGTTCTCATTGCGGCAGAAATCCTCGTCGCAGGAATTAACATCGTCGTTGATCTCTATGCGGGTGTTGAATAGAAACGTCACTAATGGGTTTACGCTGTCGAACATGCTACGGCACTTTCTTTTTTTTCCTCATCGTTCTTCTTCATTTACTATCGGGCAGACTGTTTCATTCTTTTCCCCCCATTCATTTCTTTTCTATTTCCCCCCCATCTGTCTATTCTTCCTACGGAGTTGGGTACAGCGCGGGCAGGCTTGCATCATCATCCAACACCACACATCACACATCGAAAAATTGCCATCACTCCATACACAACACTTGCAGCAACAGCAACAGCAACAACAGCAAAACAACATTCCATGTATCATATAATTTCTACCATGTTAATATGGAGAATCGAAAGGCTCAAATATGATTCTACCCCTTGAATGAACATCCATCGCTCATGTATCCTTGAGTACATATAATCAAAGGTCCACTGCTCCTACCCTCGAAGATTTATGACAATAGATTCAAGTGTATCCATGTTGAAAGGATGTGTGTTGTATAATGCAAGTAAATGGTAAAAAGAGACAGACCCATATCGCGTAAACAGATAGTGAACAACCACAATCTCAACAACTCCCAATCTGGACAGACAAGAAAAGCTCCTCACATAAGACACAAAAATATTAGAAAGAAAAAAAAAAATTGAAACATGTCACTCCCAAACCAAATTACACATACAAGAAATAAGACAAAGATAAGTTAAGACAGGACATGAAAATGAAAAGGAACTCAGAAAAGAGGAGGAATTCAATCAACTCTCCTCCTTCGGCTCCTTCATATCCATATCCATTGGCGTCGTGGCACCCTCATCGTCCTCAGGTTCCGGAACCCTTGATCCCTCCGGTGGTTGTTGGCTGCCGCGGTCACTACCCTCGTTGTGATTGCTCTCCTTGTCGCCGTTGCTGCCGGACTGGACGCGGAAGGACGAGGTCATGTCGTCCTGTGAGGGGGCCGGGGCCAGGCGCGGGAGGGTCGAGGACCCGACTACGGCGGAGGGTTCAACGGCGTTGGTGGCGGAGGCGGCGTCGTCGTCGCCGAGTTCGTTGGGCACGTTGGACTTACGGGAGCGTTTGACGCGGAGGGGACGTTCTTGGGGCTATACATTTATATTAGCTAAAGATGAATAAGAGACAGACAGACGTCTAGCCAGGAGAGGGGGGGGGGGGTAATAATGGAGGATGAAAGAAAGAAAGAAAGAAAGAAAGAAAGAAAGAAAGAAAGAAAGAAAGAAGGAAAAGTTAATAACATACAGTAGGAGGCTGCTCATCCGAGCTCCCCTCCGTCTCATCCTCATAATACCCCGCCGCAGACTCCCCATTCTTCATCTTCTCCTCAGCGATGCCATTCGCCCCAGCAGCAGACGACATCAATCCCGCGGCGCGGGCACGCAACTCGGAGCTAACGCCGCCGGCCTGAGCTTCCTCAGCCATGCCGGTGACCTTGGCGAGGTGCTCAAGCAGGATGCACGACTCGAGGCGCATCTTCTGGATGTACTGCCAGCCGCGGCGGTTGCGGACGCTCATCATCTCATTTTCGGCCTCGATCTCGCTGAGGCGTTTTTTGAGGGCGATGCATTTGCGCTTGTAGGCGACTTCCACGCTGGGTGGGTTCGAGGATGGTACGGAGGTGTGGTGGGCTTTTGTGGTTTCCATTTTGTTTCTTTTTCTTTCTTTCTTTCTTTCGTCTCTTCTTGTTGGTACTCCTCTGTCCCTTCTTTCGTGCTCCTTGGAAATGATGGAAGGGTTAGGCGGCGCGGTTCTGATCTGTGTCGGAATTGGTGTCGTCGAGCGCAAGATTGGTGTGGGGATGGAGACGCAGATGGAGGTGGTTGTTGGAAGATCGGTAAGGAGGTTTCAATTGCTGCGGCGACTCGTTGATAAGGTGCGAACAAGCCTGTCTTGTCTGCTTCTTAGCGGAGGATTTGCCGATTAAGGATGCGACAGGCGAATGCTCCCTTTCCAGTCGGCACAGCGTCCGCAGTTGCCTCGGGTGAGAATCGATGGATGCGGAGGAGAGAGAAGGCGTACACCGGGAGATATGGACTCAGCCGACCGTCAAGAGTCACAATGCGAATGGAGGCTGGAGAAAGGACAATGGAAGAGGAAGTTGCGAAGTCGAAGAACAATCGAAGGATGAACGCTGTCTCTGCCTGAGGCTGGGATGGCGGATGCGTTCTGCCGGTGGTGCTAAGGCGGTCAGCCATGAGGCTGTACAGACTGCAATCGTCCTCATCCGATGCTCTAACATTACTACAGAGTCGTACTTCTTATTGTTATAATCTCATTCGCTAATTATAAAGCAACACTACTCCGAATATATTCAAAACAAAGGCCACGCCAACACCTAATGCCCACCGGTGGTGGGAAGACCCAGGAACACCTTGAACGAATCATAGCTGGAGATATCGTCAATAACGCTTCAGTTCCATCAGGTTCGGAGTAGTAGGCAAGGACTTACATCAACCACTGGAACCCAGTCAATGTACCCAGCATCACAATACGAACAGGAAGGCCGTTCCACAGCCCTGCGAAACCGATGTTACGGTAGATCCGCGACACCGCCGTCGAGGCCGACTCCCCAGCTGCATCAATCAGTACGACCATTCCACCAAAGCCAGAAGAACGCAAAAAGAAAAGAAGAAAAACATACCCTTTCGATCAGCATTCAACTTACTAACCATAACATCAGCCGGATGGCTAACAACCGCACAAAAGATGCCCGCAATATAGCCCCCCAAGAAGCTCACCCCCGTCTGCGGCAGCATCCCAAAGCTCTCCTTCGGCCTCCCCAGCGTCCAATAAAGCCCACTAACGGTCTCCTCAAACGTCGCGAACTTCGTCATCGTGTACGGGATCTGACGCGCCCACAACGGCGCAATCCCCTTATAGAGACCCGCCAGTCCCTCCTTAGCCGCAACCTTCCGCCAGCCCTCGCGCAGGGTGCCCGCGTAGGGCGGCAGGGTCGTCTGCATGCGGACCTTGACAGCCTCGAAGGGGCAGAGGGCCATGTCGGCGAAGAACTCGGCGGAGGCGCTCGCGCCGAGGAAGACGAGCGTGCGGTTCGTGTGAGGGAAGAGCTGCTCGCCGTAGAGGTACTTGAAGTACTCGTAGAAGCCGTACTTGCCGGCGCCTTGGAAGGAGTAGCCCACGAAGGTGGGGGTCCAGCCGAAGAAGACGCCGCGGAGGCCTTCTTTGGCGAAGATGGAGCGCCATGCGGAGAGGTTGGAGGTGTAGATTTTGGGGTCGACTTGGCGGCGGCATTTGACGAGGTCGAGGGGGGTGACTGATGTGTGTGTCGGTCCTGTTCATGCTATATAAGAGGGTGTTTACTCGTAGTAAAGATAGTTGCGACACGTACCACAAGCTAGACATCACGAAGACAATACTGTCAGCATCAACCTATTCATCACAATTGACAGAACACTAAAGCCTACCGATAATCCCACCAAGCGTACAGCTAGCAAAGTACTTCGCGGAATTGGGCTCGATCTTCCCAAAGGGGAGCTTCCGCTCCTGCGCGGGGGGTGCCATTATCTGAGAGAATATCTAACAAAATCTCGACAAGATGCTTCAAACAATTGATTAAGCCGATGTGTTGACTATGAGAGCGCAAGTCTAGCCGGCAATAAGAATAGTCTATACAAAAGCAGCAAGTGTTGTATGTATGAAGCGAAAAGAGCAAAAAAACGCAGTAAAGGAGGGCCGACCAGAAACAGGATATATTCTCCGTTGCAGGGCACAGACTACTACTAATCTCTATCCTGTTATCCCAGGCCTGGACTCGTGGTTACATCATGTCTCATCCAGGTCCTGTCACCCCATCAGAGGGATTCTATCCCCGGTGTTGTATGACGTCACTAGCTCGCCACGTAACCGGCCGGTTTACTGTCCGGTTAGTATGGCCGTGGCTATTGTTCCTTTGTTTTGGGATATATTTCCTAGACAGGGGGTACATTTACAAACTTGCTAATCCCGTGCTGGCATAGTACTACCCCACGATCTATATCCAAGAAATTTATGATTCTCAGATCAATGTTCTAGAGAACTTAGCACGAGCTAGTTAGCAGTATGTATAGTCCGATTTTCAAGGCACGCACGTTACGCAATGAATGAATGCATTATTGATTGAATATACAAAGGTTCCCAGTCAGATGTCCAGCCCAAGCAAGCAAACCAAATAGACATACATAGCCAGGCCAGGGAAGCCCAGATAAATCGATATACAGGAAGCGAACACACCTTTCCCGTCCGCTGCCCATCAGCCAGACCAGTCGGTTGTGCAGGGTAGAAGGTAGGCAGTAGTATGTTATAGAAGGGGGATATACAAAAAAAAGAAGAAAAAACAAGGGTATCGTATAGTATGGACAGTTGATAGTGGGAGCAGACAGTTTTACATCTGCGAGAATTGCCCCATCACCGGCACAAACTGATGAAGGTCAGGGATGGATGGCGCCGTAGTCGGCGTGTCGCCCTCCTGCGCCAGCATCAACGCCAGGCGGATCCCCAACGCGGAGCCGACCTGGCCGAGCGCGCTGCGGATCTGCTCCGTCTGCGCAGGAGTCGCCATCCCGCACGACAGGATGTACCACAGCGGCCACAGCATAATGTATCCGAGGAACCCCCGGATGCGGGGCTTGCCCTCGGGAGGCGGTGGGATCGGGTTGCCTTGCATGTCGATGTGTCCGAAGGCGAAGGGGATGCTGCGGCAGGTGGCGGAGATCATCTCATGGCAGATGCCCAGCGCTTCCTGCTCGCCCTGGAGAAGTGCGCTGTCTCCCGTCGCGGACGCGAGAGTGCGACTGAGCTCGATCATGAGCTTTTGGACGATGAGCCGGATGGCCCAGTAGTAGATCCAGATGCCGGCGATCGAGATGCGCCGGTAGGTGAGGAGAGGCTCGTCCGTCTGCGTCTGGGCGTCCACTACGAGTGGGAGCCACTGTTCGGGTAGCGCTTCGCTCCACTGGGTCAGCTCCGTGTCCATGGCCCGACCGGCATCGTGCCACTCGAAGACACGGCAGAGAAGGTCCGGGTCAAGCGGCTTGGAGATAGACGACGTCTCCAATGCCAGTTGACTGAGTTTGGACGCGATCAACATCAACCCATGGATGGGATCGGATTTGTTCAACTGCTCGAGGATCCAATCCGTGTTATATCGTGGTCTTTCCCCGAGCACCAGAATCTCAATGTGCTGCACGTCTGTCAACATCTACCGTCTCGCCTTCGCCTGCGAATGTAGTCACTGACCGTATGTGCGTATGCGAAACTGAACAGATCGCGCCCCTGCGCATGACCCAGCTGGCTTTCACCTCGCAGCTTCATCAATAACCCAAATCCCGCAGTATGAGAGCTCGCCAGACCCTTCCTATCTCCCGAAATATCCTCGAACAGCGACAGGAGGACCATAGTTGAGAAGGTCTCATCCTTGACAGCCTGTTCGCGCGACCCCAGCGCTTGGCGGAGTCCGCGAAGCGCCATCCCGTAGCGGTTGCGAGCCTGCAGCATGAGGGACGGGGCTTTCACCTGGTTACTCAGCGTCACCAAAGCCGTGGCCCCGACAGCCCATTGTAAACACGAGGATACAGGCCCTCCAGGCCCGCCATCGCGACAGACCGCATACAGCGACGGCAGGAAGCCCAAATGGCTCAAGCACTCATCGCTCTGGTCCCTGGTCGTGTACTGATCGAAGAAGTAGCAGACGGCGCGCTCTTCCCACGTCGAGTCATCAAGCCGCCGCAGCGAGAGCGACGGCGACAGCAACAGCGACTGGCGGGCGCTGCCAATGGAATCGGACCGTCGACTGCGCGGGCTCTCCACAGATGACTGTCTCGCCCTCTGCATAAGCTGCTTCACTTTCTGCGTCTCATGTCGGAATATCGTGTCCTGCCGATATCCGGGACATGGGCGGCCGTAGACCAGACAGTTCCGGCATTCCGGAAGTGCCTCGTCGCACTGAATATCAAACGTTTAGCGTTGTGTCAAATAGGGAACAAGGGTCTGGGTGTTTTTGCTTCGTCTCGGGTCCTACCTTGATCTTTCGCCTCCGACACAAATGGCAGCCTGTGCTTGGTTTACCCCCATAGACCATCTTTGCCGTCCTGGAACTCTCGGGTGGGACAAGTGACGGCAGGAACCCTATTTGGATGGTCTCTTAGACTTGGAATGCTGACACGCTGACGCAATGAGTCCGGCCGGCCTGGCCATTTGACATGATGAGATCGGATCGGCAGAGCGCGGAATGCGGTGGTGCTCTCGCTCTCTCCTGGGATTCGCTGTAGGGTTCGATCGAGGGAGGTATTTCACGGATCTGGCGATGTATCGTGGGGTATTTGCGCTATCAGTATTCACGGCCCAGATCAGCGACCAGAAGATGGAGATGAAGACCGGACGGGCGCTAGTCCGGTGTTCCTGGAATAGGCGGAGAAAACATCCACGCGGCGTTTAGTCATCGCCAGGCCAGTTGAAGTATAGGTAGAGTACTGATAGATGTGATCGTTTTCGCATGATGTCCATGAATAAAGCAATATCTTTTTTGACATACTTATTCAAGGTATCTAGATACTTGAAATGAAAACAAACAACAGTCGTGCCTTCTTGCCGTCTCCCTCGACCGCCTTCCTTTCAGGATAGGGCGGTCTAGCCTGGCCGTTTTACTGCCGCCCTCTGATAAGCGATAACAACTTTTTCTTCCCTGACAATTCTCTCTATCAGTCGTATCTACAACAAGCCTGATACTTCATCAAGTTTTCTTTCTATCTTACCACAGACATCACACCCTCAAATCCAGGCTATCCGGCGAATATACAAACAACAAGATAACCAGTAACCCAGACAAGACCCCCCCAAAAAGTTGAAGTCCACAACCGTACAAATCCAGTCAAAACAGACGTCACAAGCGTATCGTCCCATGACTCTCCCAGCATCCCACCAACAAACAGACTTCACACATACTTATTCAAAGCACCCACCTATCTACTACTTCTACAGGTGGAACTACCCCAACGGAACGCCTCTCAACACTCACCAAAGACCCCAGCTGTATCTCAATGAAATCCCCAACATCCGTGATAGGCTAGCTATCACACCCAAACTCAACTCCAGGACCGGACCGGGACGGGACGGGGAGGTGGGGTGCTCCTCTAAACGGACGGTCGGTTCTTTCGTTCCGTTCGTGGCGTTCCGATCTCCAGTAAGGTTAGTAGTTACCTAGTTTGCTAGGTACTTCATCATGCGTCATGGCTGTCTGTCCCAATCATGTGTTCACGGCTCCCCGCGGGTCGTGAGGACTACGGTACGCATGTGGTAGGTATCGCTTAGATACGGGGAGGGATGGTACCGGTGGAAGGCGGTACATTACGTAGGTGGGAAAGTCAAGCTACCTTAGTTATATCTTTTTATACTTCCCGGTTGCATACATACATCCGTCAACAAACTTGAAAATGAAAAAAATCATATTTCGTTCTTTGGTAGATGACAAAGTATATCAAACCCCTGATGGTGGGTATCTCTGTATAACAGGAAAAGCGTGACAGGCGGGGGAGAAAAAAAGAGACAAAAACGAGGTCCTGTTTAGAAATTCGCCAAGAACCAGAAGGGAATGGCTACCGTTTGTACTCCAGCACTCGCAAAAAAACCCAGGATAGAAGTAGAGGACTTCCCACAACTCCAAGATGTTGGTTCGTTCGATTGAAAATAGTGGGTAGAGTGAGAGGGTGAGAGTGAGAGGGTGAGAGTGAGAGGGTGAGAGTGAGAGGGTGAGAGTGAGAGGGTGAGAGTGAGAGGGTGAGAGAGGGAGAGAGAGGAGGCAATAGGGTAGGGAAGATAAGGCAGGAAGAAAGTGATAACCGACACCCAGCAATGCAAATGCGGCCCTTCCACGTTAGATTATAGTAGGCCAGGGGCTCCGCGACTGTCCGATCCGCCGGAGCCCCAGAAAGCCGTAGAATAAAGGAGGCTGATGCTCCTTCGTGTTGTCGAGAGGAAACGAGAATGGTGAAAAGGAAAATACATGACCGTCATATTCGAGCGTTCAATCATGGGTTCAGGGATGATCAAGACATCGGGGCATCCTCCATCGAATGGTCGTTGTCGCTATGGGAGAGCGCCGGGGTAGGGTCGGAACCCAGTAGCTGGCGCTGATTACTACTTGTTGAAACAAATCCCGGCGTACTGCAGGCACTCTCGATGATCGCCGCTTCGTCACGTATTTCCTCGGGAGGCGGCGAAAAGGTCCACACCTGCAGGAAGAGTTAGATCCATAGCGTAAGACAACAAGAAAAGGAGCGAAACTGACCTCCATCACAGTACGACCAGAACGGCTGGCCATGATGACCGCCTTTTCCTCCTCGAACGCAACCCGCCAGACCGCCTCTGCGGGGGTGGATAGTTCCCGGAGCAGCTGCCCGGTTCGCAGACTCCACACCTTGACCCGGCCATCGCTCCCGCCGCTGACGATGCGAGAACTGTCGAACTGGAGACTCGTCACGCTATTGTCGTGGGCGGCCAGTCGGTGGATTGGCGCCATTCGAGTCAGAGACCAGACACGAACAGAGCCATCGGATCCTCCGGTGACCAGCGTGTCGCCACGCATCTGCAGTTGCCCGACGAGCGATGTATGTCCTTGGAGGATGGCCTGACACTGGCCGGACTGCGGGTCCCAGATCCGCACGCTGGTATCCAGACTGCCCGTTGCTATCCTCCGGCCGTCAAATGCAATCGCGTAGATCTGACTGAAATGACCGGACAGCGTCCGTAGGCACCGTCCTTCGCTGACCGTCCAGATACGCGCCGTCGTGTCGTAGCTGCCAGACACGACCAGGTCCCCATGGATCGCGAGGCATCGCACGCTCGCTTGGTGCCCGACCAAGACGTTTCTGCAGGTGCCGGTCGCCAAATCCCATATCCGCAGGGTGGTGTCTCGGGATCCGGATATAGCCGTGTTCTTGTCGGACATCTTGAGACAACGGACCGTGGACGTGTGTCCCCGTAGAAGATACATCGAAGCCCTGTACAAAGTTCATGCCCGTCAGCCACACGTCAATCTGCGCACATAAAGAAGGTTTTTCCCCGGCCGCCGCTTACCCCGTAGCCATGTTCCACACCCGGACCTCCCGATCGCAACCCCCGCTCACAAGGATGTCATCCCACGGAACCATGGCCCATACGCCCATCACGTGCCCCTGGAGGGTCCTTTGGTTATCACCGTTGGTATCATACACATGGATCCTGGCGTTATCCAATGCGACGACGATGTATTTGGGGGTTAGGTGCAAGCTGGTCACTACCCCTTGGTCAGGAGTGATGTGCCGCTGGGTGCACCGCCCACCCCGATTCCAGGCTGACTCCACCATGTACTTTTGTTTGAAGTGCGATCGGTAGGACAGCGGGCGACTCCGGCGTTTCCGTGACGGGAGAGAGGCCGATGAGAGCCAGTCTCCGGACAACGACCGTGGGAGGGTCGGGATACCGCCCCGGGACTGAAGATTCGATGAGTGGGAGGCTCTCCGCAGTGCTCCCATAGAAGTTGAACTGGACAGCGGGTGAAACGACTGGTTGTGGAAGGGGTCGACAAAGTCTCGATCGTCCGACAGCCTCCGCGATGCGTAGGCGTGTTTTTCGCAAAGGTTCTTCCACGTAATATCGTCACACAACAGATCTCGCCACCGGTATGACACTTGAGATGCTCGTGCGAGGGTCTTGGGGTCGTCGATGAACGAGAGGACCTAAGACACGGGGGAGAAGATTAGCGCCACCTTCAAATCAGGGAAAAAGAATGACCACGGCCATGAGGAACCAAACTGACCCTCAGACACAGTTCGTCGGGAAAAACCAGAAAGGGGTCTTTCCTCAAACGAGGACCCACGTAGCTCGACACAAAACTGAGATTTTGACTATCACACAGACCCAAGATCCCCTCCAGAAACCGTTGTTTCTTGGGGTTGGACAACGAACTGAACTGGATGCGAGCGTTGAGGAGAAAGGCGTCGTCATCCTCGTCGGACGCCCACAGGGGGGGTCGGTGGTGAGGGGTCGGACTCGGAGCCGGGGTGGGAGGAGAAGCCGGAGCCGAGGGTAACAGGTTGGGAGGGAGCGAAGGGACGGTCTTATTGGAGGACGACAGCGATCTCGAGTGGTTGCCGGCGAGCGACGCGACTGAGTCCTTGGTCGTACATGATTGAGAATGCGAATGGGCAGCAGCTAGCTGCTCGGAGAGAGTCCGCGTATCCATCCCGCTGGTCACCGATTCGACGAAGATTGATCAGGCGCTGGGCTGCGACGTTGCTGTATCGGATCATCCGCTAAACCTAGCCACCAAACCCAAGCACCAGGGAAATATTATCGATGGATCCTTGCACCAAATCCTCGAGAGGCTGCTTCATTCATAGGGTCCAACGGGGGAATGTAGATTATCGATTTCGTCCGGATACGAGAGATACCGAGGGTTGACGATCGTGAAAGGGGGAGAGGATGAAAAAGAAAAGGGAAAAGAAAGACAAAGGGGAAAACCGAAGGGAAAAGAGAGAAGGCGAGAGAGAGGTAGGTACGAAGTGGGCTTGCCCCCCGATAGGCGGTTGGGAGAAGCTGGCGGTAACCGGAGAATAGGGGGGGCGTGTGGTAGGATAGGCGATGATGATTGAATGATGGCACCAGCGAATTAATCTAGTGACGGGAGTATAGGCGTGCAGGACCAAAAGGGTACCCAAGTCAAGAACACTTCGGTCCAATAGAGCCCAAAGTATGGCAGAAGTAACAAAGAAAAATACAAGAATAGAGAGGTAGAGAAAGAAATTAAAAGGGAAGAAAGAAGGAAGAAAAAAAAGAAAGCCTGAGTTGAGATGGACAGGCCGAGAGAGAACGAATCCGACGATTGAACTCTCCGACCAAATACTACAACAAGGCGACGAAGAGAAAGCAAGAAAAGAACAAGAAAAGGGACAAGAAAAAACAAGAAGAAGAAGAAGAAACCTGCTAAAGACCAGTCTGGATCCTGAGACGGCGTGACCTTGAAGGCAAGAAAGAGAGCAAGAGAAGAGAGAGGTCAGGTGTTGTCACAGCCAGAGGGAAACTGCGCCAAGCATGCAGTCAGCGTTTTAGCTGGTTGGACCTTTGGAGTGATTACTGATTACTTGCTGAATGAGGATGGATGAGGGATCCACTCTGGCAAACTTGCTGGGTGGAGAACCGGAGTTAGTGGGATTCCAGATGGAGATGATCAAGTCCGGTCTAGAAAAAGACAGTGAGAATGGAGGAAGAGATTGAAGATATAGTATGGAGTGGGGATAGTGACCATCCGGGACCTACTTCTCCCCTCTCCTTGGGGCAATATCGTCGCGAATAGGATCACAAATCTCGTGGTCTCTTGTCCACTCTCTTGATTAATTTCCTTACGTTTGATTCCTCCGCCTGGAACAAAACCTCCCCGACCCATCCGAACCCGAGCGCTTCCAAGCGCCCCAGTGCACAGATGGAGATGGGAAACCGACGATCTGATATGCGCCTCTCCACTTTTTCCTCGTGTGGAGCGTGTCTAGAGTTAGACAGCCCCGGTTGCACGAGGCGACTCTCCCTGCAAGGCTAAAAGTCTAGCTAATTTCGAGAGCGGCGCAGGGGTCAGGATGGACCGGGAGGCGTTGTCCACGGAGGCAAATCAATACCTCGAGATCTTCCGCTGCAGACAGACAGAGTGACGGTTCTCGGGTGGAAGTCGATGAGACTCCCAAGAATCATAGTAGGTAGTACGGCTAGTTGCTCTTGGCTGGGATGGCATCGGACTCGTGAGACAAACAAATCGACGTTATCAATAGGTTTCTCGTTAACCTTTTTTCTGGTCCGATTTCCCCGCGACTGTCAACCAAGGAACGGGGGAAACGGTCGGTGATGCTGGATGTGGACGGATGCTTGTTATCAGATACCGACGGTGGCTTTTCTTATAAACTGACTTTGGTTCCCAGCATCTGGTTCTTCCCCAGTCCCTTTTTCTTTGACACTTTGCACATGGGCCTACCGGACTTTTATATACGGCTACGGGAACTCTGAGGCTTACGGCGATACGTCAACGTGACGAGTCTATAATAATCGATGACCAGGCTCAGACGTTAAATGACTACATTTAAACAGATACACGCAACAATACAAAAGTATAGATTGCACCATATGAGTCTCGGGTATAAGTCGAGAGCTCCGGAAGGTTGATCCAAGCGAAACCTTGGCGCTAACCTCCCGGTTCTGCTTCCGCGTGATGACCTCCGCCCATGTCGGACGAGGTTGACGTATAAGGACAGGGAATGGGATGATGTGTGAGGGAGCGGTCTAAGGCTCAATGGGCATGACCGATCTGTAGAAACAGTGGCAGCGTCATGCCAATCACCGAGGCGATCAGGTCTCGCATGGACTTGTCGGACTTGTCGGGTATATCCCGAGGATCGCCGTATCCATTGACCTGGATCTCCCGGGACCCCGAGTTGGGACTGTTTTCTTGCATCGTGTGCATGGCAACGTACCTATAAAACAAACATCCGTCAGCATACTATTACGAGGTGGTCAAAAAAAAAAAAATGAGGGGAGAAAGCGGGCCCAAGCTCACAGGAAGGTGCCGGCCGAGAATAGTAAAAGGATGCCGGTCCGCCAGTACGTGCCGGTCTCGTCACCGTCCGACCCTCCGCCCATGATGTGTACAAAAAGGAAGGTCACCAAGGCACCCACGGGGGCGGCCAGACTGAACACCAACAGGTGTGCCCTTGCAGCACGGCTGGAAATGCCCTGTTTCAGTAGAACGGACGTGAGACCGAAGGATGCCGGGGCCTTGTGGACCATGATGGCGAGGAAGATGATGAAACTGAGGCCCGTATCGGAACTGGAGGCCCCCAGGGCAATACCGTCTGCTGCGGCATGGATAACCAGACCCGTGGTCGTGGCAAAGCTGTGGCTGCTTCTAGGCACGTTCCCAGCGTTAAGGAGCCCGCCTTCCCGGGAGGGCGAGGAATTCCGCCGTAGTCCAGACCCCAAATTGTCCAAAGATATGTGATACGGTGTTCGTTCTGATTTGGACGAGGCGGCGAACTCGGGGAGCTTGTCGATAAGATACATCAAGATGAAACCGCTAATGAGCGCAATTCCAATCCAGGCATGGGGCGAGCGCTCTTCGTCCTCATGGGCCTCCTCTGTCTGATCGCTCGACGATGATTCTTCTTTTCTGTCGTAGGTGTCGCGTGTCACGCGCACCGTAGGAGGCAGACCATACTCTCCCTCGGAAGCGTGTAGAGGCGTGTCGGATAAGTCGCGGACTTGCGGTACATCGTGAATTCGAGGGTCCGCGACGGCGGGGATATCGTTGCGCGGCCAGTTGACGGCCGAGCGGGCGCTAATTTCTTTGTGTGATTTGGGCGCAGCGGTCGCGCTGTATAGAGTTTCGACGCCCTCTGGAATAATTACAATCAAGGATGTGCCGACCAACACACCCATGCCAATGGAGGAAATCAATCGGAGCTGCGAAGGGGACAGTGTGAAGGCAAGGGGCAAGGATCCCACAACAAAGGACCTGCAGCACCACCGAAAAAAGGATTGTCAGCCACCTGTACCGAGCGGGAAGGGCGGAAGACAAAGAAGAAAAGACTCACGTCACTGCCATCACAATGCCCAATGCGAGCAGTGTAAAGAGTCCCTCCATGATCGGCTTCTCGTCCCTAAGCGTTTGGTCTTCGATTTAGAGGATCTCGATCATGGTGCCAATTCCACAGTTATTTCAGGGCGCGCAAAGTCGACGATACCTGGCGATGATGCCAGCTCCCTAGTCGAAGCTTTAATTGAGTGTTTCTTTTGTTGAGAGATGGTCGGTCGAGGGTGGGGGAGGAAATAGAAGGAAGGGGATAGATTTGTCCTTTTCCGGTGGGACACGGGATAAGGACGGAGTTACGGAGACGGAACACAGGGCCAAGGCAGTCAAGGTAGTATCTTTGGGCTGAGCTTGTAAGGGACAAGAGTACTGTACTAGTGGTACTTCTTTCGCACCGCAGGAACCGAAGACGTGTGGCGCGTGGACAGGACAGGCCGATTAATATTGCGATCCGCCGCAGTTGGAAAGAGAATCAATCAACTGTCGCTCCCGGCCCAGCCCAGACGCTGGTCAGACCCACTTTCACCGCCAGGGACAGGCAGTACTTCAATTTCATCAATCTGGAATGATGAGCATCCACTTCCGGATTGATCATTTAGATCATTTCTGATCCATCTTGGTGTCATCGTAGTTGACCCTGATATTTATATTTGACGTGGTGTGGATTCATATGACAGAAAACCCGCAAACTGCTCCGTGCAATCTATGCCCATATCATATCAAGAAATGATCGCTCTACCTCAATAGATCAGAATCATGCATGAGGCGTTTGCCATCAGACGGAAGAGGCAGACCGGAAACAATTCTACGCCGGTCCTTGCAAGCAAAGTCTCTTGAGCTCAGCCTTCAAGGTTGCCCCCAAGCCTTCCATTCCTGGACGGTTCCTCGGGGCGACTAACCGGACACGGTTAAACGTATACGTCGGTCATGCAGGCTGGCTATGCATCTGGCATTTGGTTCCTGGTCATGTCTGATCTGATATGAAGAGAAGTTGTATAGAGAGATCAGATACACCTGTCCAGTCATGGATATCAAATGAGGTTGATGTCCATCCACCCTATTGAATGTATGTCCAGTATCACACTACCTCGGTTTACCTCGGTATACTCTCAACGGTCCCATCTTTATCGGGTCCGACTATAAAAGCCGGGTTAGCACCCGCAAACTGGGCAGAATATCGTCAGCTCGAACAACGAACCGTCAGTAACTACTACCTATTCAAATCGACAACCCTTGCTCCCACTGCACCACCAAGAAATACATCATGTCCGACGCTACCGCCCCGCAGCGGATCGCCTTGATCGGGTTAGGGACCATCGGGATGTCCTTCGCCGGACTCCATCTCGCCCGCGACAACACAACGGTAGACGTCTACGATACGAGACCCGATTTCGAGCAATACCTCAAGGACACGCTCCCGCACTTCCTAGTTCAGCCGGGGCAATCAGGAGAGTCGACCGCAGAAGATGTCAGTACCCGCCAGGGGGCAGTCCGGTCGCTAATCGACGCCGGCCGTCTGCACATCCACACCACCCTGGAGACCGCCTGCGCCTCGGCAACCATCATCCAAGAGCAAGGACCCGAGAGTCTCCCATTCAAGCAGTCCCTCTGGGCACAAGTAGAGGCGATCGCGCCCGCCACCGCACACTTTTGGACCAGCACGTCGGGGATCCCAGCATCGACGCAGCAGGCCCAGCTGCAGGACAAGACGCGACTCCTCGTCGTGCACCCGTTCAACCCGCCGCACATCATGCCGCTGCTAGAGATTGTGCCGTCGCCCGAGACCGCGACGGACCGGGTGGACTTTGTGCACGGCTACTTCTCCGTCCCGGGGTCGAAGCACCGACCCGTAGTGATCCGCAAGGAGATTCCCGGATTCGTGGGGAACCGCCTGGCGTTCGCGCTGCTGCGGGAGGCATGCTATCTTGTCAAGGAGGATGTAGTGTCTGTGAAGGACCTCGACACTATCCTCATGGCGAGCCTGGGACCCCGCTGGGCGGGCAATGGCGTGTTTGAGAGCTATCAGCAGGGTGGTGGCCCCGGGGGTATTGGGGGATTATTGGAAAAGTTGAGTGGGACGGTGCAGCATGTTTGGGATGGGTTAGGTCAGGTGAACTTGCTGGATGAGGAGGGGGCGGAGTGGAAGGAGAAGGTGGTCAAGCAGACTGATGAGGCTTATGGGACTCTCACTGCCCCACAGCTTCGGGAGAAGGAGGAGAGGTTGAAGGATATTGTGAAGACACAAAGTAAGACGTATGGATATGATAAGACTGACGCATAGTCTGTGTAACCAAACAGGATTACTCTGTGTGTTTACATAGAGTCAATCTGTCCCCTTCATGCTGTGTGTGTGGTGTCCTGCTTCTATAAGGTTACTTCGACGATGTTTCCCTGTACAATAAGAGATGTGCTTCTACAAACCCTGTTGGTCCGCCAGACAAACGGTGTCCGAGTATTGGTCTAGACCAATATCTAACCCTAAACCTGCCTGCCTTGATTCCGGGGTGTACAAAAGCAATTACAGGTGCTTCTTATAATGATGTACTCCGTGTGTTAGGAAGGCGAGGCATGACAGAAGCTACAAAGATTACTACCGGATGGGCGTTTGTATTGAGGGTGATGTCAAAGATGACAATATTGTAAAAACTAATTTGATAAGTACAATAAGCAAATTATAAAAAAATAGAGAGCAACAAAATCAAAAGCTAGCCAATATGTAAAGTAAAATAAGAGCCTTCTTTCCTTTGGGTTATCTGCTACCCCAAGTTCAGCCTGATTTGTGAGGACGCTACGCTAAACCCAGAAAGGTTATAACCTCCCCAGCTCCCGCGCAACGCGATTCCACGCGCCTTGAGGATCCTCATCAAAGACGGACATCATCGCCTTCATTTTCTGACAACCTCTTTCTTCTCCGCCATACCCTCTCTGGTTTTCTTCTACAATTTCTGTAGTCATGGCGAGCGAAGGCGATTGTAACTACCTACCTATTCTCCCATCTATCTTTCGAGGAGATTACTGACGGAATTGATTAAATCCACAGGGTCTTGCGACGCCAACGACTCCGTTCATATCACAGTCGTCCAGCCCGGCAAAGAGAAACCCACCACGCTTTCCACCTTTCACCCTCAGTTTACCTACCCTATCTTCGGAGATGAGGAACAGATCTTCGGCTACAGAGGCTTGATCATCCGCCTGCGGTTTGCCGCCCATGATCTCCGCCCGCAGGTCCATATCTCTTACGACGAGAAATTCAAGCCCGTGGGGGACGCCGTCCCGGTCGACCTTCTGAAAGCGCTGAGGCCATTCGTCCCGGAAGGTGAGTTGCACGATCAATAACATTTGCGATACTGCGCCTGGTCTAACATTGTTATCCCGCGCACGTCCAGAGGCTTTCACGGCCCTTCCCGAATACGAGAAAGCACTCCAAGAGGATAAAGATGCGAAGGACTTTGTGCCTCCGGGAAAACTTGTGCACAGCTATGTCACTCGGGGACGATCATACGAAATCTGGGCTGGGTCGCTCGCGAATCCGGAAGTGCGACGGCTTTTGGACCGTGCGCAGGTCTTGGTGTCACTGTTCATCGAAGCCGGGACACCTTTAGAAACAGACGATCCTGAGTGGACGCTCAAAAGATGGATGGTCTATTTTGTGTATGGCCCAATTCCCGAGCCTCTTCAATATATTACCAGGTCAAGCTGACAGCAAATAGTTACGAGAAGGTCACCCCGCCCACCCCGTCCGCCTCGCAGTACTCGATCGTCGGGTATGCGACGACATATCGTTGGTGGCTATACCGGAGGGACGCGACGACAGACACATTGGATGGATCTAAACCCTACCCGCCAGCGGAGCTGGATCTCGCGAATCTCCCATCACGATTGCGAATCTCGCAGTTTCTGATCCTCCCGCCTCACCAAGGCTCAGGACACGGCACCCATTTGTACACAACCATCCACGATGCTTGCGTCGCTGATACGACCATCGTCGAGTTGACCGTCGAAGACCCGAACGAAGCCTTTGATGCCCTCCGCGACACCGCAGATTACCATATTCTGCACCCAGTGTTCGTCAAACACAATGTGAACATCAACCCCGATCCATACGACGAGCAAACCAAGAAAAGACGACCCCGCCGCGTGCCTACTTCTGCTCTCATCCCCACCGCAGCTCTACAAGACATTCGCGCCGCATTCAAGATCCAGTCGACGCAGTTTTCCCACATTTTGGAAATGTTCCTTTTGGCCCAGATTCCCCCTAAGAACCGCCACACCGGCGGAGCCAACATGGCACGTCTATTGATCCGGAAATATAATGCAGAGGACCCTAACGAACGGCGCTACTACTGGTGGCGAATGCTCACCAAGCAGCGTCTGTACAAGCGGTCGCGCGACATGCTCATCCAAATGGACGTGAGCGAACGCGTCCAAGCGCTGGAGGACACTGTTACAAACGTGGAAGAGGGATATGCTGCGCTCCTGAAGGTCTTTGAAGCCCGCGAGGAAGCCCTCAAGGCTAAAGAAGCCGAAGCGGGTGGACTTCAAACCACTACGGCCGCAGAAGGGTCCAGCTCGGGACGAGACAAACGGAACAAGCGTAAACTCACTGTCGAAGATGACGAAGATGACGAGGAGGAAGAGGAAGATCCGGCCATGGCCAAGCGACCAAAGGTGTAACCCACGAACCTTGAACCCGCTTTTGTCTTGTCTAATAAACCTTTGATGTAATCCTAAACTTTACGAAACGTGAGATTGACACAGTAGTTGTGTGCCTTTTTTGATCACATATTGAGGAATCATGCCTCTATGGCCAATTACAGCTAGTCAGTAAATCGTAAAGGTACTTTATCCAGAAAGTCTGAAGTTTGAATATGTTCAGTTAGTTCGATGTAGGAAATGTAATACAGGCGTAGCTAGGATTAACTAGTTATGTGCGCATCAGCTTACTAATAGACTTATGCAGCCCAGCGCCCGGTGCCGGGGACTTTTTCTTCCGAAATCTCCATGCCGCGATCACCATCGCTGAAGCTGGTGCGGAGCTCGTTGGTGATCATATCCAACATAGTGTATACTGGAGGGGCCTCAATCTCCTGCCTTTGACTTTCTGACTTACCGGTGTCGCCGTCTTATCTACTTCTCAGTCTTGCCACTCGCAATCCTTTTCCCACCATATCATTGCCTCGAATCCGGGCCAACCTTCTCACACAACCCACCTTGATTGATCACGATCACAATGGTATATAGCCTATTGCTTCAGTTTGCATAACTGATGATATCCTTGACGTATCGCTAACGCTTGACAGTTGCCTCTAGGTCTACTCACGGCCGCCCAGGGCCACCCGATGCTGGTGGAACTCAAGAACGGCGAAACGCTGAACGGACATCTGGCCAATTGCGACAACTGGATGAACCTGATCCTGAAGGAGGTGGTTCAGACCAGCCCAGAAGGCGATCGATTCTTCAGACTCCCCGAGGTCTACATCAGAGGAAATAACGTACGTTGGCTCTGCTGCGCCCCCCTCCCCCCTTCCTCGACCGCTCTTATCATCGCGCACACCCAGCTAACACCCCACAGATCAAATACCTTCGAATCCCCGAAGAGATTGTCGAGTTAGTCAAGGAGCAACAACAGAACCAGCCGCAGAATCGCGGTCGCGGTGGATACCGGGAAGGTGGACGAGGCGATCGTGGCGGTCGTGGCGGCCGCGGCCGCGGTAGGGGCCGGGCGGCCGGGGTGGACATCAGGTATGAGCTTGCACTTGAATGGAATGAGAATCAATGAGGATAGATACCCCCGGGGAGACAGAGGATAGGGACTTTGTTAGCGAGGTCTATTTGGCATGTTAGTTGAGCATGGCCTTGGCGTATGTGGCTCTGTATTGTTTTCCGTGGAATCCCTGCTATTAGGAACTATTTTTTTTTTTTTTTTTTTACTTGTTTCGAAATCTCCCATTGGGACTCCTACCTCGCAGTAGTCTAGTATATTAGATCGCTATACCCTGGTGCGATACCCTCCATGCATTCGCCGATTGAGGCGGATATCGTCAGATCACGTGATTACGTTGTTCTTTTTCCCGCCGCCTTAGATCTGCGCGCTCCGCTCAACTTGACTTGCTAGGAACTTGGGATGTCTCGCAAGGCACTTGTTCTGGATGGGCTCTGGTATTGCCTATGCCCATCGTTTACTTCGAGGCCATTGAATTGCGCCAGAACACCCCTCTTGAGGGGTAAACGCAACAATTACTTCCCCAGAAATATCGCCGGCTCGATCTCCGCATCCCCGCGAAGATGCCTCAGCAGCAATTCCGCCAACGCTTTCCACGGTAGCCGTTCCGTACACGAAGGAAACCTACGAGGAAGACGCGGGTATGCGTCACCAGAGGAATATCGGGATCCCCATGCTTCCAATGCGGACGAAACTCCCGAACACAATGGCGGCACATTGCCAGGGACAGAAAGCTCGTCTACCAGTCCACAACGCAAACGTCCACCGGGTGTGCCCAAGACGCTGGCGGACAGGCCGACGTCGTATTTAGAAAACAGACTCCAGGATATAACGGCGACGAACCCCAACATCGTCAGTGCGACCCAGATACTACGAATTCTGATTCGAGACCGCCACGTACGACCCGACGCGCGACACTACCGGGCCTTGATCCTGGCCAATTCGGACGCGGAACGAGGGTCGCCGGAAGTGGTTCGCCAGTTGCTGGAGGAGATGGAAGAGAATGGGATCCCGGCGGACTCGGGCACGCTTCATGCGGCGGTACAGGTATGTCCAGACTTCAGAAGCTTTATCACGAAGACCCCACCGGCGCTGACATGGCTTTCGGCATAATAGACTCTTGCTGTCCATCCCGACTACATCTTTCGCCATGAGATCCTTCGCACCCTCCGAGACCGATGGTTGCCTTTGAGTCCTGCGGGGTGGCATTACGTGGCTGCTGGGCTCGTGCGGGAACACCAATTTGAGTTGGCGTTGGACCATATCGAAAACATGGAGAGAAGAGACATAGTAGTAGAGGGCTGGCTTTACAATATGCTTATCTACTACCTCTGTGAGTTCGGGGAGTTTGACGAGATTGTTCGGCTTATGCGACTGCGGGTAAACCAGGGGCATACTATCTCGAAAGATCTGTGGCGGCACGTGTTGGATGCTGCGAGTGCCGCTTCTCACCACGAATCCACTCATTACATATGGCGACAGATGGTGGAGCTGGGATACCTGCGTCCGTCATATAGCGTCTGCCAGAATGTCCTCACGGTGGCATCCCGTACAGGCGACACGGAGCTCGTCTCGTCGGTGATACGGCTCCTAGCCGAGATCGAAATGCCTTTGAGCTCAGAGGACTACGAAAAAGTTGCCGAAGCCCATGTGGTGCAAGGCGACCTTTACTCCGGGTTCGAAGTCCTGTGCAGGATGGCCGCGGCAGGCATTGCCTTGCAACCAAGCTCCACGCGCGCCATCCTCACCTACATGATCCAGGAGAGGATGCAACCACGGGATGCTTGGGCGATTTTGAAACGACTGAAATCATCAGACTATGCGATTCCATTAAAGTGCGCCCACGTCGTCCTGGAACTTTGTGAACACGAAGCTCTCCACGACTCTTCCTACCTCGATGAAGGAGTGACGCTTTACAAAGAGCTCTACGCGCTCTGTCCAGACAAGGCCGATGTTAGTGTCTTCAACACATTGGTCGGCATGTGCCGACGGGCGAAGAACACCGACGCAGGCATGTTCATCATCAAGGAGATGGCATCGCTCCGAGTCGTGCCCAACACCACCACATTTGAACACCTGATCCTCATGTGTCTGGACGCCGGCAATTCCGAGTCCGCATACATGTATTTCCAAGATCTGCTCGCGCGGGGTTCGGGGCTCAGCGAGGACGCGCGCGTCGAGATCCGCGAGCAGTGTTCCCAGCTCGATGGGGATTTCGCCCAGCAACTACGACATCACCCCGAGATCCGGGGCAACCAGAGGGAATACCCGGAAGAATATCCACCCCTCACGCAGAGGGGGCCGTCTAATTGGACGCCAGAGTCTCCGGGGGAGTTTCAAAAACGTACTCCAAGACCGGTGGATAAAGAGGCGCGGCGCGCGGAAAGTAAAGAGCGCCGCAAGCGAAAGCGGAGACGCTTGGCTATTGCGCGGGCTCAGGATGAGGACGACTGGATGGACTATAAACCCGGGGGGCTCGTCCCTGATCCCATACCGGGGGATGAGAAATAGCCATCCAAGTGATCTTTTCCATTGCAGATAACAGCGACAAACCGGTGGCAGTATCACAGTATACTACCATCACATCATGTACATTAGCTAGCATTCTTGGAGCATATTGATAAAATGGTATTGAGCGGGTAACATGGAAGCAGAATACGGTGTAGTTACGAGATCATAACTGATAGTATCTCCAATTCCTCGATCATTGTATCATTCAGGGTTCCTGTATCATCACGTGATCGTATCCAGATATGTATGGCCGAATGGCGTCCATAACAACGAACCGCCTCACAACATTGTCAAAATGAGACAATCCGGGTATCATTGGAATTGCACTGCTGAGGCGATTTGAATGGTACCATTATTGCTTTCTTTAGATCGTTGGTGAAACAACCACCACAACGAGGTTTTCGCGGTCTCACGGGCGCGGTAAGTCATGTGACCATCACCTGATGTACCACCACGGAGATGTAACTAGAGTGGCATTATTTGAGCAAACACGGGTTTCTCCATGTCTCGTAAGATCAAAATATCGGTAGCTTCCAATTACCCAAATTTACGGAGAGACGCGACCGTCCCAACCCCCTAATGAAACGTCATGGGCAGCATGCAAACCGACCAAGCGCCAAGAAGACGACCTTTCCGCTCCTCCTGATCAACTTAGACCGTTCCACCGCAGTGTCAACTATGGTTTGCTCGCTCGGTCGTTTCCACTCCTCACCCACACCCCAGCCAAGAAATAAGCTACTGTAAATGGCCACTGCCGATGCGGAGGTTGTCTACGGTGCTATTAATACGCTATGTCTTAGATTGTGATCGTCACCGACCAGGATCAGCTCAAGCAACAAATCGTTGGACAATGCAAACAAACTACATACCGAGTGGTTTGGGGTTTGCATCATGTAATTCCACGGTCGAACGTCCCAGGGTGACACCAATGACGATGGAATGAAATGATCTCTCGGTTCTTTTCGCGGACACACTAGTCGGATTCCGAATTTTGAAGGTAACAAAGAACCATCACGGTGACGACGAGACGGATACGATGGGAGGCGAAAGAAAGGTCTCGGGAGAAAAGGAGACAGAAAGACAAGTCCTCCCTCGCACGGATTCCAGCTGATCGACGGGACACACGTCCCGATGGGGTAGGTATGTATGGGGAGATAGACACAGAGTCCATACGTCTGGCTCCACCCGGCAGTAGTTACGGGCCCGGTTGCAATCTGACTGTTCATCAGAAGTATATCATTTGAACTTAACCCACTCCGTCGCCACAGGAGGAACCGTTCGTTCGGTCGAAAGGTACAGGTTGATTGATGCCATCGATTTGTTGTCGTTTGCATTCGTCTATCCCGTGGTACTGTGGTACTGTTGATTGTCGTTAAATACTATCGATATCGGTCAGATATTTGTTATCGTGACAGGAGACCTACAACCCCTCGACCGGATCCTTCCAACTCCTTTTCCTTCCGACTATTCATTCAACCACGACTGTCTCGCCCATTCGAGAGAATAAATCTTCGCTGACCCCTCCCGTTATCAACTCTCTTCCCTCGCCCCCTTGGGATATATCGGGCGCGTATTCCAGTGTCATTCACCATACCAACCGAACCCTCCGTCTAAAACTCTCGCCCATCATGCATCTGACTTCGGCCCTCGGATTCGTGATGTCTGTCGCCAGTCTGACGTCGGCGCTGCCCGCGAAGCGCGACACGCAAACCGACCCGAGCGACAGCCGGTCCCTGACCTACCACGTGTCCGACTTCAGTACGGGGTGCTCTCCAGGCGGCTGCGTCTACAATTTCAAGGTTCACGGCCTCGAGTCCGAGAATACGCCTCCTTTCGACACGACCTGCTCGGGCAAGACCACGGAGAAGGAATACCAGCCCTGCGAAGACCCGAACATCAAGTCTCTACTGACGCCTGGGCTCTACCCCAACTGGAACATCAAGGTCCAGCACCACTGGCAGACGGCCCCGTTTGACGATCACTGGACTCGTGGCGAGAAGAACATCACGTCCATGGACAAGGACTTTGACATTCCCGTGACGAAGCCGTTTGGAGTTTCTTAAGGAGGAAGAAACTGGATGAAGAGGAAGAAGAAGAGGCGATACCACCCGCTTGATGCGACCACTCGTTTATTATTATTATTATCATCATCATCATTCTTATTCTCGGCCTCTTGACTGAGGTGACCATAATTAATGCGAGCGGATTGGCGTTCTTCAACGAATGCCCCCGCACAGAATTTCGATTCTGTCTGTTTGTCCTGTATCATAAGGTATCCCAGATTGGTCTTCATGATGGCGGACTCATAATTCTACCCTCGCAGGAGATTTTTATTTTTGTTTTCTGTTGTCTATCTTAATGACGGATTTACTATTTTACCATGCAATACTTTATACCTCTGCGATGATTTGATTGGGACTGTGTATTGCCGATTTACGATTATAATATTTGACCTTATGTTATCTATTCATTTATCTTTCTTCATCTTCATTTCTTTCCTGCCTTTTCGCTGTTGTCTTGTCTCTCGGTGGAGGATGAATGTAAAGGGGCGGTTTGTATGGGGAGTCGGACTGATTCCGCTGGTGACATCATCATCCAATGATTCCTCAAGCTGGGATTCATCGCGCCTCAACTCCGCCCCAGTGAAGTTCCTCTCTCGCTCTCTCTCTTCTCTCTCTCCCTCTCTCTCTATCTATTTTCAAATCTTTCCCCTCAATCACGGGCCAGACAGCCACAGGAACGAGGATCCATTAGCCCATTCCATCCTCTCACCACCTGTGACCGTGTCCGAACTGAGTAGTGATCGCTGGCGCCTTTTGTTGCCCGGTTTTGGGTCAACATTCCAACACCAGGACGGTCTCAACCACTCAGCAAATGACCGTGAGGGGAGATTTCTTTCCTTGGTGACCGTTAAGCCAAGGGAGAAACCGTCCTGTATCACAATTAGCGACACCTTTCGACTCTCAATGGTAGGTACCTCTCTGGTTTCCCCTCTTTATTACCCCTTGCCGTTATGCGGTTCTTCAGCCCCTGCCGAGACTGACCTGCTCCGCTTGAACCAATCCAGGCGTCGATCCTCCGGCAGATTGTCGCGGGTCCCCGACTGAGACATCCAGAGGCAGGCCTCGATCTCTGCTATGTTACGGATAATAGTGAGTTTATATTTTCTTTCCTTTGTTTTTCGTTCGAAGTTATTATCTGTTTATCTATTTGATTTTATTCACTTACTAACCACCTTCCTCAGTCATCGCAACGTCGGGTCCGTCGACCAACTATCCGCAACGCGCATATCGAACCCCCCTGGACGATCTAGTCAGCTTCCTCGACGCCAAACATGGCAAGGACTGGGCTATCTGGGAGTTCCGCGCGGAGGGTACTGGCTACCCGGACGAGGAGGTCTACGGGCGCATCCACCACTACCCATGGCCCGACCATCACCCGCCGCCGTTTGCGCTCATCCCGCCCATGATGGGCAGCATGCGCAACTGGCTCCAGGGGATCGAACCGCAGGATAAGCCACAATCCCCTCCTGGGGAGAGGGTGATGGTGGTGCACTGCAAAGCCGGCAAAGGCCGCAGCGGCACAGCCGTGTGCAGCTACCTAATCAGCCAAGAAGGGTGGAAAATCGAAGACGCCCTGCAGCGGTTCACCGAGCGACGGATGCGCGCCCGATTCGGAGCCGGCGTGAGCATCCCCAGCCAGCTGCGCTGGGTCCGCTACGTCGATCGGTGGACGAACCAGATGGGTAAGAAATACGTCGAGCGGCCCGTGGAGATTCTAGAGCTGCATGTCTGGGGCCTGCGGGACGGCGTCAAAGCCGCGGTGGAAGGGTTCGAAGACAAGGGCAAGAAGATCAAATGCTTCCATCTATTCCACCACAGCGAGCGCACAGACGTGGATTCCGGGCAGTCCACACCACAGGAGAGCAGCAGCAGTGGCGAGGACAGCAATAGCCCCAAGGAGCCCCTATCAGCCATCACCAACACCCAAACCCCATCCAACTCACTCCCCCCGCGTTCCACCACCGAAGGGGAAATCCCAACCAGCGAATCATCCGACGATACGAACCCAAAACACCTCTCAGCCTACATCTTCCGCCCCAGCGAACGCGTCATCCTCCCCACCTCAGACGTCAACATCGTCTTCGAGCGCCGCAGCAAAGCCTCCTACAAAGGCTGGGCAATGGTGACGTCTGTCGCGCACGTATGGTTCAACGCCTTCTTCGAAGGCGGCGACAAGCACGACTCGGGCGTCTTCGAAGCCGAATGGGACGCGCTCGACGGGATCAAGGGCACAACCAAGAAGGGCGTTCGCTCTCTCGAACGTCTTCAGGTCGTTTGGCGGTATCCGTCTGCATCGGAGCTCGAGGCGGGCAAATCAAGCGCTGTGCAAGAAGCTCCAGCCCAGGGCCAGGCGATCCCGGTTCCGCAGCCGGGTGAGCCTATCCAGGAGGATCAGCCTGCCGATTGGCATCTTCGTGAGACGCACAAAGAGAACGAACCGCGCGTTATCCCGCACAATCAGGAGAATCAGCCGCCTGCGGCTCAGGACGTCAGTCAGTCTGGCGATTCTCCGGCGCTTGGCCAGTTCAAGCGTGACGAGAGGGTGGATGTGAATAATAAAGAACCTGCTCGCGAGAACGCTCCTCAGGAGGAAGTCACTCAGTCGTCTGATCAGGGCAAGGAGAGCCAGAAAGTGGGCTCTTCTGTTGATCAGGCTCAAGCTGGGGCTCAGCCTCAGCCAGCTGACAAGCCGGCTGGCGACAAGAACCAGCAATAAGTAGATATATATATATATGTATGTATTATAGTAATACTACGCGTAATAGACCGCCATTCTTTTTGATATATTTGTTCCTCAGCGTGGTGTCTTTTACTTGGTCGTAGCCTGGTGTTCCGTTAATCTGTCCTGCGAGGGAGAGACCGCCGGTTCACTGGAAGGTAGGGTTCCAGATAGACTCTTTGAATTACCCATATAATATGAAAGGTTTCCATCAAATCACGTATATCGCAAAATTGAAAGCTTTTACTGTCTGCTTGTGGTGACACTGTATGAGAATGTGGGTATTTGATGGACAGTACGGTACTTTAGGTATGGTAGGTAGGTTGGTAGGTAGGCGCTGAATGAACAGGAAATAATATGCAATACCAGAGGAAACAAAGGAAGAAACCGAAAAAGGAAAACGAGAAAAGAGAGAGCGAGATACAGAGCGAGAGAGAAATGAAAGGTAGAGCGAGCGAGCGAGCAAGCAAGCAAAAAACAGACCCCATGCATCCAATAAGCCTGGATTGAAGACCAATATACAATCTAAGCAAACATCGCACTCTAATACAGCAGCAGACAAAGAAAGAGTCCCATCAAAGAGGCACGAACCCCTCCAACTTCTGCCGACACTCGGCGTCCTCGCGCCGCAAGCGGTCTGCTTTCTTGCGCTCATAAACGGCTCTCACAACGCGTTTAACCTGGTCCTCGCCGCGAGCGAAGTTCGCCTTGGCGAGCCCGATCACCGAATCAATCTGTCCCGGAGAGTAGACGAAGTTCCACGTGGAGAGGAAGTCATCGACGTCGGGGTTGATGGCGCGGGGGTGGGGGTTGAGAAGCTTGGCTTCGTCGGGGGAGAGAGGGCCAGCGGCCTTTTTGGCGGGGAGGGGTGGTTTGGTGGGTGCTTGGGGGTGCGGGAGGTCCGGGGCGTCGTCGTTGGGGAGGAGCGGGAAGTAGACGACGGCGACGCCGGCGTCGGGGCGCATGAGGTGGAAGTCAGATTCGGCGTGGTCGGTTGCGTCGGCGGGGTGGAAGAGGCGCTTTGAGGGGGGCGGTTCTTCGTCGGTGACTTTTTCTTGCGTCGTGCCAACCCAAACGTTGCAGTAGTCGAGGTCTGTTTCGTGGGGGCTTTTTGTCGCTGGGTCTGGTTTGCTGTTGTTGGATGGGTGGTCGTTGGCCTTGGCTTCTTGGATCTTCTCGTCGAGGGCTCGCTGCGTGATGTTTTGCGGTTCGCGGAGGGCTTCGGCGTTTTCCTTGGCGGTTGCGCCTGCTTGGGGCCAGCCGGCGCCCTTGGGCCAGCCTTTGATGCCGCGCTGGCGGGCGTAGCCGTCGACCGCTGAGAGCCAGTTCTCCTGCTTGATGTCTGCTGAGGCGTCGAATGCGACGATGACGTCGACGTCTCGGCCGGGGCGCAGGAGGGGGTAGATGGGCAGGTTATTGCTCATGCCTGCGTCCATAAGCCGGAGGTGTTGGCTCTGGAGGATGGATTCGGGGCACGTCGAGGGCAGTTGGTCCCGCATGCCGAGGACGTAGTTGGGAATCGTGGCGGGGTCGATCGGGTGGACGCGGACTAGATCTTTCGACTTGCCTTGGATGAGGGAGTCGATGCCGCCGAATCCTGCTATGCCTCTCACGAGGGGCCGGATCTCCTTGTAGTAGTGGGACAGGGTGGCGCAGAAGGCGCTTCCCCAGATGCCCATCAGACCGGGCACTCGGAACTCGGGGGTGGGAAGATCCTGATCGAGAGTGGTGTCTTTCCCTTGGTTGAAGTGTCGCCCAAGTGCCCATGTCGGAATCCCGGCGTTTAGTTCCTCGCAGAAGAACTCATACGGCGTGAACTCGAACCATTGAAACCATGCCTCTTGTTTGGACTTCTTGATCAGGGCTTCTGGGGTCGGTTGACGCTTTGGTGGTCCGTCGTCATCGCTAAGCATGGGGATTTCATGACGAACGGCCGTATATATCGGGAGGGGGTGCGCTCCGGTAGCGAGACCGTACCGTTGATTGGACAGTTTGAGATCGTCATCGGAGACGGCGAGCTCTCCCTTGGGAACGAACAACCGCGCACCTAGAAGTAGGCCGTAGATATCCACCAGGCCGAAATCTGCCCCAGGATCGCCTTTCAGTTTTTCGACCAGACCTCGCAGGAGATACTTATTGGTCGGAGCGGTGGTGAGAAGGTCAAGCGCTTTCGCCGGGAATGCGATATGTATATTCAGCCTGTTCTTCAAGTGGTCGACCAATTTATTGAAGTTGTGTCCTGTGATAGACGAGTGATACAGCGTCTGCAGCCAGCAACTGCCACTGACGCCGGCGGTGTATGTCACGCAGTCCCAAAGACCGGCCTCGTTGGCCGCCAGATACGACCCCGTTCCGGCGACAAGGGCGCGCAAACCACCTCCGGAGCCGCACACGGCAATGGTCGGGACATCGTCCGGGTGTATATCCTCTGCCGGGATGCCCAAGTACGACGCAAGGGCGTGCGCCGCATGCGCCCGTCTCTTCCGCCGAAACACCATCTCGTCATCGCAAAGCTTGTCACTCACGCGAACCTTGGCCTCACGCAATATCTCCGGATTGAGGTCGGGATCATGAGCCTCTTTCCAGATGTCATCCGCAAGGGACCCGGGGGCCATATCCAGCTCGCGCTGGAGTTTCTGCATCGTCGCGGGGAGGAAGTGGGTCCAGTCCGGGATGATATAGTTCTTCAAATGATCGATTTCCATCCAGTCCGCCGAGCCGACGGAGTGCTTCACTCCGTCTAATTTCTGCAGGATGCTGGTCCATATTGACGCCGAGTCTTGGGAGTTCTCGGAAGATGACGACGACGCATTGGACCCGCTCGAGCTGCCATACTTGGACCCCTGGCCACCACTATCGGCCGCGAGCAAGGATGAGGTGGAAAACCATGCCTGTTGATCTGCCTGGAGATACGCCTGTCTCTGGGACTGCGTCCGCTCCCGAGACGAGTAGAGGGCTCCACTTCCCAAGGCGATCAGAGCCACTGGGGGACCAGACCAGCGGAAGCCTAATGCCTTTGCAGCACCCATTGCCCGATGGGTACCGCCCAGGGAACGAAGATATGGAATATTGAACGAACGAGGGAAGCGTGTGGTGCAGGTTGGGAACATGCGACATGTAGGCACGGGGAGAATCTCAATCGCGAGTAATTAAGCACCTGCTAGTGGGCCAGACCACCGGCGATCGGATGCCTTTTTGGACCCTTGCGCCTTGGCAGGTTGATTGCCGATGATGTCATGTCATGTGATGTACCGTTCATTCCCGGTCTTTCTTCCTATGGATACAGCATATGATCTCAGTTTAGGGAAATGATCAGATGCGACGGAATGAATTAATATGGAGTTATGAGATACCATGATGAAACTCATGATACTGTGGGAAGAGGAGGATTCTCGTCCATATCTGGTTCTCCACAGGAGATGCACGGTGACACCATCCTTATGTATGCGAATAGATCGTCCATGCTCCATAATAATATTGTGTTTAATCGTTTCATATCTAATTAATTGTTGGACAATCCACCATTGCTAAGACCTACCTAGTTTTTTCTTCATCCAAGTATTTTTCAACAGCCCAGGCGAAGCTGTGTAGAGTAGCGTTTTAAGCCTTGCTGTCCAAAGTGTTGGGACGACAGTTTCCACCAATAAAGTGGCAGGCATGGCAGTGTCCGAGATGAGTAACATCAAACAGCAGATAGTAGCTTACCTACAAGTTCATGGTTCACAAATGTCATGATATCTTTTGTGCCCGGGTGGTAATATCCATCTTTCTGTACTCAAATACTCAGATATTTTTTATTGCCACATTCCAAGTTTCAGACTTGGGAGGAAGTAGTATGACAGTAGATTTTGCACACTATCGAGTATTTTAGAGCTCAATGGAAATGATAGGTGCTCCTCCACAAGCAAGATCTCCCTGGCAGTATTAGTTTCGTTGTATGATAATCCAGGACCAATTGGTGGTTAACATTTCGGAGGATGCATATCCTGGTGTCCCAAGACAGGATTCAATCCATCACACACTCTCTAGTAACTAATCAATGTGTAGAAATCCGGTCGTGATCTCAGTCAATATATACTGGAATGTGAGGTAGAGAAGAAACAGACCAAGATACATAGATGATATCAGGGTCTCGGGATCAAGACGGGCCGAGACAGCCTCAATCGGACTAGCGTCACCGACGTCCTCCGTAATTGCGGAGAAAGATTAATGCCTGAGGGAACCGCGTTCTCCTTCCCCCCAAACCCACCCAAGCTTCCCACTCCGTTATGTTTGCTCCATGAGGCCAGGCGCCTCATCGGCCAGTTGTTCACCTTGCATCTTTCTCTTTACAATTCGATTCAACTCAGAGACATGATTCACCTATTTGAGGGTGTGCTTTTGACTTACTCCTAATTATTTGACGTGTGGGTCCCTGCGACCAAACACCCTGATCATGGTTGGCACAAGGAATACGGCCTACGCGGAGGAGAGCGCAGAGGTCAAGGTGTTGTACGCCAACCTCGAGAAGCTCAAACTTCTTACGAAGAAGATCCAAGGCTCCATGGTTCGTTTAGAGACCGGTGGAAATGTCGTGAAACATGCCATCGGTCCCATCTACAGCAACACGCAATCTCTCCAGATCACCAACACCAACATTGATAGAGTCAATGAAGCGATCGAACGGCTCCGTCAGCCTCTCGATGCGAAGAGGGGGGAGGAAGGCATCATTCGTGCTGGGTATGTGGTGCCGTGGAATCCCCAAGGAGCGCATCTAATCAGACTCTCTCCAACAGACCTCAAAGCGCCGGCCTGCCCCAATACCTGTCAGCCCTTAGACGGGTGGAAAAGGCACTCGTGGACCTCAACTCAACTAATATGCGGTCTAACGAAAAAGCGATCTCCGATTTGACCTCGTTATTATCCATCGGTTCCACCCAACTTCAGGACTTGCTCCGTGGCAAGTTAAGCCAATACGTCGGGCCTGTCGAGCCGCTACACTATTTGACAAAAGGTACACCCTGGCTGCTTCCAGCTACAATTCATCAATGATCGCGACGCTTACGCATACCGTGCAAATTAGAACTCCCATTCCCGTCGATCCCGCAGGAAGAACTCGCCGAATTGGGGCCTATCTGCTCCACCCTCAACTCAGTGGCGGCATCAGGACCCCAGCGTGGTGAAGGTGGCAATCCGGCTGTCAGAATATACGCCGAGATCCGTGGTGGATACGTTACATCAAACTTGCAAAACCTCGCTACTGCATCCCTGAATACCGTCAAACGGAGGGCTACCGACGGTCCTTATAAACAAGGCACGAACGGAATCGGGATTTATTCGAATGCGCTGGAAAACTTCATTTACGCCGAACATGAGATCCTTTCGCGCATATTTACGGGCGAACAACGAGGCCTGGCTCTGCAGGCTACGTGTCGTTCGGCGCTGACCGAATACTCCAAAACCCTGCGGGAACTCAATCAGTACATCCGCGCCAATCTCATGACCGATTGTTTTCTGGCGTTTGAGATCATTGACATTGTAACCGCCATGTCTTATCGTGTTGACTCAAAAACGGGCGAGCTCAAAAGCTTGTTCATCGAAGCCCTCAGGCCCGTCCGTGAGACCGCCAAATCCTCGCTTTCGGAACTGATCGAAGAAACAAAGCGGAAAGCGGGGGCTATCACTATGCTGCCGCCGGATGGGGGACCAGTACCTCTGGTCCATGAAGTGATGAACTCTCTCATCACATTGACTGCATATTCAGGCCCATTGGCTTCGATTTTGACTTCGCTGGGAGACGGAAATTGGCGGTCGACGTCCAATGTAACCAACCCTACTCCCTTGGACGTCAGTCCGGACAGCGCGACACTTCTATCACACTTTATCCTGGATATGATTGAAACCATGATGGTTGCTCTTGAAGCGCGGGGGCGAACATTTCACCGCTCCAAAGCCGTCCAGGGTGTGTTCCTGTCGAACATCTTTTGCATCGTCGACCGTTCTATTCGGCAGAATCCGGAATTGGCCAAGTATTTAGGGTCCCCGGACAGCATTGCGCGAATCGACAGCTTCCGCAAGCGTGCCACCTCCACCTACCTGGATGCCTGGAAGGAGCCCTCGCATTACCTGCTGGATGTACAGTATACGTCGCGGGGGGCACGTCCCGCATCGAGCGGCGCAGTCGACTCCAGCGCCATTGTCAAGGCCCTCCACTCCAAGGATAGGGACGCAATCAAGGACAAATTCAAGGCGTTCAACGCTAGCTTCGATGACCTAGTGTCGCGCCACAAGTCACTTTACATGGAAAGAGAGGTGCGCGGAGTACTCGCCCGAGAAGTGCAGGGCGTCCTGGAGCCTCTCTATGCCCGCTTCTGGGACCGCTATCACGAGATCGATAAAGGCCGGGGCAAATATGCCAAGTACGACAAGACCAGTCTCGCTGCACAATTAGCTGCTTTGTCATAGGACTGGGCTCCGGGGTTGATGTGGGGTCAAATGACTCGATGGGATGGGATGACTACTTAGCTATATCTACCTGTCGCGATCTTGTCAAGCTCTGATAAAGTAATAATATAATAATGTCCACCACTGAAATTCAATGTTATATTAACCTCTACGGTTCGCTTCCATATCCGGGCTGATCGAAAACTCACGATGAACCCCTCCAGATAACGTGACTGATAAGCGGAGCCCCGCTAGCGTAAAGATTGTCCCGCCGCAAAATTTCCCATCGATCCTCCACACATTCAAGAGCCCCTCTCCCTTTTGTTCTCCTTTCCCGTCGCTCAATTCGTCGTGGAAGCCTCTCAATTCCAATCCGACAGGATGTCCTCCAGCAACGATGTCTACCAGACTCCCCTCAACTCGCGGTACTCGAGTAAGTCACCCCACGGGTCGATCGATTCGCCGATCCCGGTTTCGGACTAATAGGGTTCATGCGTATAGGCGATGAGATGAAGTACCTCTTTTCCGCCAGGAACCGCTTCTCTACCTGGCGACAGCTGTGGCTCTGGCTGGCCGAGTCTCAAAAGGGTATAATTGTCCAGTGACCACCGATTCCAATGCGTCGTGTGTTAACCGGTTGCGTCAGAGCTCGGTCTCCCTATCACCGATGACGCCATTTCCCAGATGAAGGCGCATACTACGATCCAGGACGAGGAGTTCAAGGTTGCCGCGGAGGAGGAGAAGCGCCGGAGACACGATGTCATGGCCCACGTCCACGCGTACGGACAGGTCGCCCCGGCTGCCGCGGGCATCATCCACTGGGGTGCCACCTCGTGCTACTGCACGGACAACGCCGATCTCATCTTCCTCCGCGACGGTCTCGACATCCTGATCCCCAAGCTGGCCGTCGTTATCGATAAGCTGTCCGCATTCGCGCAGGAGCACAAGGACCTGCCTTGTCTCGGTTTCACGCACGGACAGCCTGCCCAGCTCGTCACCGTTGGCAAGCGGGCGTGCCTGTGGATCCAGGATCTGCTCATGGATCTGAGGAACTTGGAAAGGGCCCGCGATGACCTGCGTTTCCGTGGTGTCAAGGGTACCACCGGTACTCAGGCTTCCTTCCTCCAGATCTTCGAGGGTGATCACAGTAAGGTCGAGCAGCTGGACGAGCTGGTGACCGAGAAGGCTGGTTTCAGCTCTGCTTTCATCATCTCCAGCCAGACGTACTCCCGAAAGATCGACGTTGACGTTGGCAACGCCCTGGGTTCCTTCGGCTCCACTTGCGAGCGCATTGGCATCGATATCCGCCATCTCGCGATGCTCAAGGAGCTTGAAGAGCCTTTTGAGAAGGACCAGATTGGCAGCAGCGCGATGGTACGTAACACACTGCAGGCTGTAGGGATACAATCTAACATATTATAGGCCTACAAGCGCAACCCCATGCGCTCTGAGCGTCTTTGCTCCCTGGGAAGACACCTCCAGAACCTGCCCAAGGATGCCTTGGACACCTACTCAGCGCAGTGGTTTGAGCGCTCTCTGGTGAGAACTGGTTTTCTTGAGTCTCATAGTATCAGGTGTGCTAACTGCCTCTAGGATGACAGTGCTATCCGCCGTATCAGCGTCCCGGAGCTGTATCTCACTGCCGATGCTTGTCTCATCCTGCTGAGTGAGTGTTTTCGACTGATATTGGAGGATGCGCTAACCACATCCCAGACAACGTCACCTCTGGCTTCGTCGTCTACCCCGAGGTCATCAGACGCCATGTGAACGATGAGCTTCCTTTCATGGCCACGTAAGTCATATCCAATTCTTATATACAAGATCACTACTAACATCTAATCAGTGAGAACGTAAGCTTGCGAATCCTCCCAGTCCCGTAATTAAATACTTACAACAACAGGTTATCATGGCCTGCGTCAAGAAGGGCCTTTCCCGGCAAGACGCGCATGAGGAAATTCGTACGTGTCTCCTGTCCACTATCTCACCTCCATCTCCCATCCTAACCCAATATTCACCACAGGCGTCCTCTCCCACCAAGCCGCCGACAACGTCAAGAAGCACGGCAAGAACAACGACCTGCTCGAGCGCATCCGCCGCACCGAGTTCTTCAGCCCCATCCTCGGCGAGCTCGAAACCCTCCTCGACCCGAGCACCTTCGTCGGCCGCGCCCCGCAGCAGGTTGAGAAGTTCGTCTCGACGGAGGTCAAGCAGGTCCTCAAGCCTTATGCGGCCCAGCTCGCCAAGGCGGAGACGTCCGCTCTTCATGTTTAGGTACATCACCACACTACAACATTTACATACAATATGTACACGTCTACATAACACATTTATACACGAATATAGTTCAATCTAACGGCTTGGTCACACGCGCATCCACATTATCCTACCATGTCTTATAAAACGAAGATATCTGAAAATTGAGAAGAAAAGCAAATACATCAGCCAAAACACTGACGCTAGCCCACCATCGATCCTGGTGTATCATCTATCCTATCCCTTTCCTTCAATGCAAGCCCACCGTCCAGGCTGGTTCAGCATCATCTATTGCCATAATAGCCTTTTGACATCTACACAAATCTAAGCCGGGCTGGGGCAGTCTGTATCATAATTCACTAACCTAAACAAAAGCAGACCCAATGATAGTTATTCAGTACGCACTTGTATAATTCTTCCTCCGACTATACTATACTACTTCCACAGTATCAATCTATTAGGCAACCTTCTCTGAACCAGTTTCAAGCTAGCTCAATTGATAAGCAGCAAAACAACTAAAAATTAACCAAACAAGCCACACATCCAATCCAGTACCACCTACCTTACCTTCACACGTACCACTACGTAGTACCTACCTACCAACCTACCCTGTCCTCTCCCCGCTTCACCCCCTGCCAGGGTAACGGTCTGATAAGGCCCAGCCCAGCTGACCCTGGTAGGCTCTACCCAATGCGATCTACTGCATTACATTGCCTGCACTGGGTTGGGTCCTTTACTATCTGGTAGGTAGGTAGGTAGGTAGGTAGTTGGATATGGTAAGCCATCACTTGGGGATATGTGGATTTGTAGTTATAAAGGCATTATATTAGATTCATCTTGACCCTCTCTCTCTCTCTGGATTACTACCTACCTACCTACCTACCTACCTACCTACCTACCTACCTACCTACCCCCCAAACCAGTAGCTAAACAAATAAATACTATCCAAACAACCGACCAACCGACCGACTACCTACCTAGGTAATAAACAAACCCAACACCCAACCCAAGACCATACAAAAAGCAATATCCTTCTCTGCCTTATATCTTCTTCTTTTTTTTAAAAAAAATTTTTCTCCCCACCTCGGAGAATTCCTTTTTCCCTTAAAGTTTCGCTATGTCGTACAGAATATGTACATACATAGTCTATGCTGTACAAAGATGCATATTGCGTGGGTGGTGTAACTTGGCTCTGCGTCTGGTAGGTAGGTAGGTAGGCAGGTAATTTACGGGGACTTGAGGTTATTGCTCTATCTGTGAGTGTAGCAGTTGTTTGGTTTGATTATGTATTGTATAGGTATGGATGGTGTTGTTGGAGGGAGCAAACACATGAAGTAAGAATAGAGATAACAAGTGAAAGTGCAAAAAGAGAAGAGAAGAGAAGAGAAGAAAATAAAAAAGTGAAAAGATTGTCTCTGGCAAAAGGAAGACAAAGGCAGTCTTGATCCATGATGCATCTAAAAATCTTGAGATACATTCAATTGGAATATGGTTCAATCAAACCTGATTCAGATAATAGAGCCAGGCTATATCGCGAACATTTCCTCTCCTTTACAATCGTATATATCCAAGCGCTATTCACATGATGTTTGGTATTTCCAAGAATATATCAACTGTAGAGAGGAGGAGAGAGGTAATTCAAAATATATACATATCCTATTTTCTCCAACTTTTCACATCGCACCGGGTGCAAGATTCAATTAACGAACTTCTCTATTTAAAAATATCAGACAGACCACCGCCATCCAAATGCAAATACCCAGCCAGCTGTAGCTCCGCGGAGTCCAGTCCAACCAGGCGTCAAAGACTCTATCAAAATTCTGCAAGCACTTTAGTAAATGAGTGTAACACAGATCAACACGACCGGGACAGGCGACACGGTCTGTCGACCACCAGATCATCAACCTATTTAGAACAGATACAGGCGGGAAGAACAAAACCAAATCAGAACAGGGCAGGAATTGAGCATACCTATCTGTGTAACGGACGAAACTCAGAAATATTAGCAATTCCAACCATTTCGGTGAAAGACGTCATTCATATGCGATATCAACCCCCGCGGGGGTGGGGAGACCATACCCCGGACGGAGAGGACAGACTAGAGGGCGGCCAGCCAATTGAGGATCTAGAGCGGATACTGGTTAGACTTCCCGATATGTAGTTATCATTTAGGACGGGGCATACCATCATCGCTTGCATCACAGCGACCTTCTCGCCGTAATGCACGCCATCCCAACTGTCGGCCTGCAGGGTGGCGTTGTACATGCCCAGAGACTCGACCCCCTTGCCTCGAGCGGCGTCCGAGGCATCCAGGGTGTATTGCCAACTGCGGGCGCGCACGTTGTCGCCCGGGGAGTTTTGGTGACCGGGGGAGTTGGGCCCAACCCAGAGGAACGGCATGTCGCGTCCACTCGACTGGGCTGATTCCAACCATTCGTCCATGCTGCTGCGGGCGGTCGACAACGAATGCGAGGTCGAGAGCGACAGGCTGTGGATCACCGGGACCGGTCGGCTCTTCCCGGTGGCCTGGGAGACCCGGAGACGGAACGTCTCATGGGCGTTTTTGGAAGCGGGCGAGCCGGTGATGGGCACAAAGCCGTGAGAGACCCCTGGGGACCAAGGCCGGTTAGCAGCGCAGAACGTGGCCCGCGAGAGGGCGTCCAACTAGGAAGGGAGACAAAACACTCACGAGTTGAACACCGGTACGGGCTCCGTTCCGCTGCGGGACCGTCCTGTTGATACGCCTGGTCGCTCGAGGTAATCCGCAGTGGGGCGCACACAGGGCTAGTGAATTGCGAATCGCATTTGCACTTCTCCGCCTGGTCCTTGCTGAATTCCCAATCTTTGAGGGAGCCGGATTCCAGGTTCTGGCGGAGGAGGATGTTAAATCCCGCATAGATGTCGGCCAGGGACTCGTCGCCAATGAAAACCACGCCGTCGAATTTCTGCAGGACGTCACAGACCTGGGAGACGGAAAACCAGCGATAAGAGCAGCCTGATAGGCGCATGTCGTCAGTTGCGGGCGGCAGAATCCCCGGGTCACCGGGAGGAGGCCGGAGGCCCATTCCCTCGGCTTCCGACGAGGGGGGAGAACGGGGGAGGTGACACTTCTGTGATCGACTTACCTTGAGAGGTATAGGCCGCATCAAACCCATGTCGGCCACCGTTGCTCATGGCATTGAGCAAGGAGTCGCGGGTCTGGCAGTACAGTTTGGTGTCCTGCGGCGGCTCAAAGAGTGACAGCGAGGAGAGGCCACACTGACGATGACCTGCATACTCGGCCAGAAAGCTGCGATCGGGATTGGTTAGAGCCGCTCCTTCGGTTATCCGAGGCTCACTCACTCATGGTTGGGACCCGCCAGAGTGATGGGGAAGGTCTGGGAGGGGCTGAAGGGGAGATAGAAGATATCACGGATGAGCCAGACGATGTAGAAGACGCCCAGCACCCACAAGGAGGCCATCAACTTGTAAGTGGAGGAACGCCAGGTGACTCTACGGATTAGCCTCCGGCCGTTGGGGCCCTCGATCGGACCGCGCCGCGGGGGCTGATGATTCTGCTGCATGCTGGAAAAGGGATATGCAAAGGCTTCGTTCATCGAGGAGGACGAGGCTAGCGACTCGCTATTGGATGCGCGACGACGAGACATGGTTCTTTTCAAGCTGTCTTACATCGACCCGCAGCGACTGAAGAGGTGGAAGTATAAGGAGAGATCTAAATTGGCTGACAACGGGAAATGCATCTGCCAGAGGCCTGGAGCGACTTTTTTTTCTTTCTTCTCTGATGCTTTTTTTGATTCTTTTCGTCCTCACTTCCTTTCTTTCTTGTTTTTTTTTGTCTTTTTGGTTTTCCTGTGTGATCACTTGGTTTCCTAATCGGGTCGGAGGGAACCAGGAAGCGAGGGAAAAAGAAGCCCAAAAGGGAAAATCAATAATAAGAGAGGAGGGATGAAAGAAAGGAGGAAAATATTCAAAAGAGGAAGGGGAAGTGAGATAGGCCCCCGAGAAGGAAAAAAGGAAGAAGCCGAACGAACGAAGAGCTGGGAGAGAGAGAGGAATGAGGAATTCAAATCCCCAGAGAAGACAAGAAAGAAGAAGAAGAATGACACTTCCACACTAGGCCAAGTTGTGACTGTAGTCCATAACCACGATCATTAATGGAGAATCAACAGACACTGTTGTTATTTATTATACTTATTCTATTATTCTATTGATATTTTATTGACTTAATTCTGTATTTATCTCCAGATTTGAACTGTCATGCGACCTGATCTTGTTCTTTCTTTCTCTCCAATCGATAGTCGTCCTGAGGTCGTATTTGACCGTTGAGATTGCTTCTTTCTTTCCTTCTTCCAGTTCAACTCTCTCGACCTCTTGGTTGACAACTATTAATCTAGCTTTGATTGATTTATTGTTGATCTCCAGAAAACACAAAATACACTGTCAATCCCGCCAATCTTATCCAAATCCAACCTCTACAGCCACTGCACTCAACCCCAATCGGATATCTCATCGGGGAATTCCAAAGAAAAGGGGAGAACCCGTCGGGGAACGAATCCAAGAGAGAAAAAAAAAATCAAAAAGGCAAAAAGAGGGGGAGGGGAAGACAACGGAAAAAGAACGAGAGAAGATCAAGAGGGGCAACGACTTCCCAACTGGAGCCAGCTACGGGTTCGGAATTTGGCATCAACGGCATGAGGGCCAAAAAGGCAATGGACCTGGAGCGTTTTTTTTTTTTTTGCGGATCCTCTCTAGACTGTGGTCGATTTAGCCTCCTCCCAGTATGTCTTTCCCTCTCCGTCGTTCGCTTGTCGGTTTCTCTCTCCTCTCTCACGATGTACAGGCATGGTGATTGGCGTGTCAATGTCGCGTCCCTTCGCCAGTGCGACCAATTCCATTCGACGCAGAATCTAAATCCGCAGAGAGCAAATGAAATCCATGAACCCAATCAAAATCATAATAACTGTAAATAATGCCAAGAAGGAAGAACCGTGTGGCTAGAACAAAAATACCCGACTTGGGCGATGATCGTGCAAGTCCACAATAATGCCGGTTTGCGCCATCCATTCCTGCCCGTCAAACTGACGATGACGATGCACAGCTAGTTGGATTTTCCCCGGTTAATCCCTTGGTTTCCACGGCAGGAAGACAAGCGAAGAAAAAGATGAGAAAGGAAAAGAAAAAAAGATGAAAGAAAGAACGAGAAAGAAAGAAAAGAATTACGAGTCAGGCCCACTCCAATTTTCGACAATACGTCGGTGGAACTTCAAGATCCCAACCAATGCAACGTCTGGACAATTTGAAACAGACTTCGAACAACAAGATACCGCGCTGCATGAAAAGTCCTTGATAATTTCATCATTCCGAGACTATACCATTTACCAGAAGCGAAGTGTATCAACCGCGGATTTTACACAAAACATACACCGATAAAGCTTACACATATCACTCCCTTCAGTGGGACGGTCGAGGATTCAGTTCCTCTCATGATCCCGTGGGAATATACTGAGGTTTGGACGTGTTATTGTATACTCGACTGGCTAGCGATCTTCTGGACCTTTTTGCCCCCTCCGACCCCATTTGTTGCTACCCAAAACGATCTTCGGCCCTAGACGTCCATCGACAAGGGTTATCACCGCCCAAAACCCAGATGGAACGGGAAAAGAAAAACCAAAGAAGGAAAAAAGAAAAAAGAAAAGAAAAGAAAGTCAAAAAAAAATAAAAATAAAAATAAAATAAAAAAAATTGTCGACCACGCACTGCCCGCTGCACGATGATGGTCCGGACAGGACAGCTTGGAATAAGGGCAGCCAGTCGGGTCCGCTGACGGAGAGATTCACAAATGACGATGGTTCTGGTTGGTGGGTCATCCAGGCGTCAAATGTAATGAGTCTGGCAATGAAGCTGCTCAGTTCTCCACCGCTAGAAAGATTTTCACCCGCAGGGACCAAAGTACCCTACCATGAAAGAGAAAGTTGGGGAAGATGATGATGTGATAAGGATATCATGAGGAGATGATCATTCCGTTGACAACGCTGATCCCACACTAGGTATACCAGTAGGTACTAGGTACCAACATGAGGTTTCACCGTCTAGTAGCGAACGGCATACGATTCTAAATCCGAGCCAAGAGCGCCGGCGTGGCCCCGAGACTTAGATCCTGGTAATGACTGCGCACTCTATAGCTTTGCCACAACAAGCATCATCTCGAGACGGTAACTACGGATACTACTACCTTCTATCTGCCTGGAGGGACCGGCTCCGCGTCCCTTTGAACATGCCGGCCAAGCCATGAACCATGAACTGTGGAGATCATCACTCTTGTCTTGTGCCTAGGCAGAAGCCACCTTTGTTTTGTCCCTTGTTGCTTTCTTTAGCCTGCTCGGATTCTTTGATCTTCCCCCTTTTTCTCTTAGACGAGCCCTCGTCGGTGTTGACTGGCAGCCTCGTCACAGTGGCGCTGATCGAACGGTCAATCACACGCTTCATAAGTGGATATTGACAATCCCAATCGAGTATTCCGAAGCATCACTGGAGTGAGTGTTGGATGAATGATACCTACCTACGGTAGGTACGGAGACTGCCAGTATCAATCGTCTGATTGGCTGCGGTCTCCCATGCTGGACTAGGCAGCTCGACACGAAGCTCAGCCTGGCGACACATCCAATCTCCCACGACCCTGGTTGAAACATCCCGGTACTCTGTCCTCGGCTGTTGTTTTCTTCCCTATGGTAGTTGGGACGGTAGAGGCTCGACCGCTACATGGGTAGTGTAGTGGAATGATTCGTTAGTTAACCTAGTTGACAGTGGAGATTGGTCACCACCGTCATCATCCTCGATCTGTCTCTAGTATTAGGTCATACTGGTCGTTTAAGCTCTCGTTCCCCAGATTTATAAGAGTAGATGTACGCTGTGGGGTTCAAATGGTGCTTATATATAGGATGGAGGGAAGAGACAAGCGGAGCCTTGGCATACTCCAAGACTAAGCCTTACATTCGCTATGGACATAGCAGGCATGTTCGACATGTATACCTCACCCACTCCCTGACAGCAGACGACACTTGAGCCTGGTGAATCTAATTCCACCAAGCATGACATTCACAAGTTATCGAGCACCAGAAACGATAAGCAGCCGAGTGAGAATTGTTGCGAACAAAGCCAAAAACCATGCTCAACTCAGTCTTACACCCAGATATAAATAACCCCATAGCATGATGTCCTCCATCGTATGGAGCAATTTGCAGACTACAGTACGTACGGTGTCCACGGCTCAACTTAGCGTCTCCACCAGAGAATGTCTACTATCTCCGACCGAGTCCACACAACGGCCGAGAGTTTCCCAATCGATCGCTGTCTCTCCTTCAACACGTTTTGAGTCAGACTGGTGTTACTCCGATATAACTATAGCTATGTGACAGACTCGGACACACGGCTAACCCACTTATTAAGCCTGATCTACGGGATAGGCAATGACGTTGTTGATCGGTTTGAGAACTAACCAGATTGATGTCAGTACTCAGTAGACTGCATGATAGTTTCTGAGACGAATATATAGCGATTGAGACTCCCTCGTTGGAGTCCCTCGTCAATTGTCAAAGAATCATGGAATACAGACAGTATAACTGTTCGGACGAAAGGGAAGCTTCGGCTCGCGGCCTGTCACGTTCGCATGGGCGATCCAACCAGGTCACCGATGAACAGAATCAGACCATGGTTCTCACTAGTGTGGTGCACTGATCAGGGTCCTCTTTTAGTTTTATTGATTATTCTCGAGTCTCGAGTCTCTATCGATGAGTTAGTAATGACCATAACAGACATATTCAAAGAAATTGGAATCAGATCATCTGACCGACTCCAGTGGAGAGAATAGAGACACTGTGGAGAAGACCAGATGATGAGATCGGCGAAATGACTTCACGTTGCTGGACTTCGCTGGACTTCCCTCGGCCCTGCACGGGACCACCCCCCACACGTGACTGGGCCACCCCGGGAATTCGGGTCTCCGCAGCAGCACGAGAATGAGAAGAGTCATCATACCCCATTTCTTCTCTTCGTTCATTTCCTTCTCTCTTCTTTTTTCTTCCTCTCCTCAATCTATCCTAAACCATTGACCCTTCTCTCTTCTCCTCCCTTTTTCTCATCTATCTCTCTTCATTCCTCCCTCCCTCCCTCCCTCCCTCTCTCTCACCTCATCTGCCTAGTGCTCCCCTCCGTTCCGAGCTCGTGGAAGCGGAGAGTCAACCTCGGCAGTCAATTTCACTTCCTTCTCTCCCCATCCGCCCTGTCTATTCTCCCCTCCTCCTCACCCCCCCCATTGCACCACCTATCTTCTATCTATTCTTTTTTATTCCGCTCATATCAACGATCACTTCTGCTGGATTATTCCAGTGATCAATCCGTGTGACTCCAGGCCGAGAGGCCGGAATAGCACCCATCATGTGGAAACCGTCGGAGAGACTGATGGACACCATCAGACATTATGCCAGCTTTCCTGCCACCGGCGTCTCTCTCCGGCAGATGGTCCAATTTGGCGACCGTCCATCAACAGGTACGTTTCTGGTTTGGTTCTTCCGCGACGCGAATGCAGCTCGATGGGATAGCCCTCCCCCCCCCCTTTCCAAAATGGCGGACGATCGCTAATCGCCCTCCTATCAGGCACTCTCTTCCGTGCCTCGCAGTTCCTCTCTGAAGAACTTCCCATCCGATTGGCTCATCGCGTTCAGGATCTGGGCGAGCTTCCGGATGGATTGAGTGAAATGCCCTCCATCAAGAAGGTCCAGGACTGGTATGCGCAGTCGTTTGAGGTTTGACCCACCCGCCCCCCTTCCCTTCTGCCGCCCCTCCCGACCTGTGGCGTTCTAACCGTTGCGCACAGGAAATCATCACCCTCCCGCGACCCTCCCTCACCCAGGAAGTCAAAGCCCGCCTGATGCGACCGAACCGAATCAATGGGGGCCAGTCCAAAATTCTCTCCGAAACCACCCAGAACCCCAGCGTCAAGGAGGGCCAATACCGCTCCTCCCCCAGCTCGGCGGTGCAGCACAACACCAATGGCAAGGGTGTGGCGGTGCGGAGATATTTCGTTCCGTCCGACGATCAAGGAAACTGGCCCCCCGAATTGAACGACTACAACGAACGCTTCTCCAAGACCTTGCAGCAGATCAAACGGCGACACGACGGCGTGGTGACTACCGTGGCCCAGGGCATCCTGGAATGGAAACGGAAACGCCAGCGTCTGCAAATCGACTCCACCGTTCAGTCCTTCCTAGATCGCTTCTACATGTCTCGCATTGGTATCCGCATGCTCATCGGCCAGCACATCGCTCTCACGGAACAGACCCACGTTCGCCATCCTAACTATGTCGGAATAATTTGCACCAAGACCAACGTGCGGGAGATCGCGCTCGAGGCCATTGAAAACGCTCGCTTTGTCTGTGAGGACTACTATGGTCTTTTCGAAGCGCCCAAGGTTCAGCTCGTCTGCAAGGAGGACCTGAACTTTATGTACGTTCCGGGACACCTCTCGCATATGCTATTTGAAACCTTGAAGAACTCGCTGCGCGCCGTGGTGGAGACCTACGGAGCCGACAAGGAGGCATTTCCCGTCACCAAGGTAATAATTGCCGAAGGCAAGGAGGACATCACGATCAAGGTCACCGACGAGGGCGGCGGCATTCCGCGTTCCGCCATCCCCCTGGTGTGGACGTACATGTACACCACCGTCGAGCAGACGCCCAATCTGGACCCGGACTTTGACAAGAGCGACTTCAAGGCTCCCATGGCCGGGTTTGGCTACGGACTGCCCATAAGCCGTCTGTACGCGCGCTACTTTGGTGGCGACCTGAAGCTGATCAGCATGGAAGGGTGAGTTCCCTTCTTTTTCTTGTTTCTGCTGTCATCGACTAATCATGTGAAGGTACGGAACGGATGTGTATCTGCACCTCAATCGGCTCTCCTCGAGCTCGGAACCCCTCCAGTGACAATTACCAGTCATGAGGGATGGTCGTGTTCGGTTCACCACTTCCCATAGACTCCATCCATCTTACCTGGAGCCTGACCCACCGACATCCCAAGGATTGACGCCGATGAATATCGAAGCAGCTCGCGCTCGACTGCGGACGCGGGAAGTCTCCGAGCGCAAACAGGTCGGCGATGCGGAGAGTCGTCTCAATGCTTAGGAGTTGGATTCAGCCAACACGGATGCTGGCTATTTTATCCTGTCCTATTGTTGTTATTGGCAAAGAAAGCCACACCAACCTAGTGAGCGACCGCCGCACCGCACCATTCAGTGTTATCCATTCTAGCGCTAGTCACATTGCGCCCTACACTTACACCACACTCACATCAACACACAAACACTCACGCCCGGCGGGCCCATCTTGTGAACATGAACATCATGGGCAGATATCACGGGATATTATCTCCAGCGGGCAACGCCCATGAAAGGAGACCATCTACTATAGGCAGGCACGACCCTGCAAGGTCGAAAATACGATCAAACAGTTGGAATTAGGCATATTAATTTCCGATTGAAAAATGCAACCAACAAATTAAAAAATCACTTTATAAAAAACATTGAATTGAAATACGAAAAGAAACGGATAGTAAGGAATAGCCGTTCGATATGTATGATTATTGTGCGTGATACGCTTCTTTTATTTATTTTTCCTTTGTCTTGGCTGGTTTCGATGATTTTGAAGTTATTCATTGTCTAGTAAGATAGGATAGTAGGATGGTAGGTAGGGATGGATTTAGGATGTGTTAGGGTATAGCTTTAGCTTGTAGCTTTTGACGGGAGGATAGGATGTACAGGCAGATTTCCATGAATATGATTGTTTTAATCATGACTCGACACTACTCATATAGATAGAACATGTAGATGGATGGGTATAAAGTAGAGAATGACCATCACGCAACGGCAGCAAGAATTTCTCAGGGAACAAGACGAACAGAAGAAGCAAGATACCAACGTCCAGATCAAACCTCAAGACGACGTTTCAAAAAACCCCCTCATCACCATCATAATCATCAAACCCCTCCCTCCGCCGTCTCTCCAACTCCCGCTCCCGCTGTAATCTCCGACTCGCCGAGCCAGACCCCGCCCCAGACCCAGACCCAGACCCAGACCCCGAAACAGCCCTCCCCTTCGACGGCGTCGTATTCTCCCTCCTCAACGAGCCAGAAAAAGAAGGCGCAGGCGACGCCGACCCAGACGACGTCCTTCCACCAGAGCGAGAGGCCGAACCAGGCGGAACAACCGGCTCCGGCCTCTTCCACCCATCATCATCTACGCCGTACGCGTCTACGATCTTCCGGTGGACGGTGATGGGTGTGGACCCCGATGATGCTGACGAGGTGACGAATGACTGCGGTGCGGAGGGCGACGATGGACGGTGGCGTTTTTGGGTACTGCTGCTGCTGGTGGTGGTGGTGTTGGGCTGGATGGTGAATCTGTCTGCGCGGATGGAGGCTGCGATGTCGGCGTCTTCGGGGGCCATTAGTTTGGAGAGGAAGCGGCGGCGGGCTTGGGGGAGGGTCTTTTCATTTTGTTTATTAGCATCGTGATTCGTATTTAGTTGGCGGGGAAGAGATGATTGTGTGTACATCATCGTACATTGGGATTTGACCGGATGAGTGGGTGAGGAAGGGAAGGGATCAAAGAGGGAATGGAATAAATACCTCCTGCGCAGCCAACGCCTGAATAGTAAGCAGCTCCCTATCCATCAACACACAAAGCGCAGCATGGCGCTCTTCACGCAGTCGACTGCGGACTTTCTTCTCCTGCTCGATGGAGGTATGGTACGTTCCGTGTTGATGGTGGGGGTGGGGGTGGTGGTGATGTTGGCGATGGCCACGCACGCGGGGATCAGCGGGTGAGAACTGCATTGTTGGGTCGAGACCCGCTAGATCTGATTTTTATGTATGTGTTAGTTTGTCGACACTTGGGTAAGATATATAGAACGAGATAAATAGAATAGAATGGCTAGATATGCAGGGGACATACTGTAACCGCCCGTTTCACGCGTCTGGTGCTGGGGATACTCGTCGACCTGCATAGAGTCGTTCTCGCTCCCGCTCTCATTCTCGCTCTCGTTGTCTGCGTCGGAGATTTCTTCGTCTGAGTCAATGAGGATTGGGACGGGGGTGTTGAGGCTGTGGCTTGGGCGGCGGGGGTTGGGGGCGTTGGGGTTGAACATTTTGGAGGACAGTAGTGTGGTTTGTTGGTAGTGTGTTGTAGCTGATGTGTCTGCCTGTTTGATTGAGATTTGATTGAGTTGTTGACTCGGGTGGACTTTATTGAGGGTATTTCATTGATTGGTAGGTACTCCGTAATGAGCAGCAAAATATACTCGTGTATGGGCAAGAAGTATATGCCCAGCTCAGACAGACAGTCTGACCTATCGCAGGATCCGAGAGCACGAGTCAAGCTGCGATAAATGCTCAAGACCAGTGATCTAGGTGCAAGCTATACAGCTTCCAATCTTGTCAGAAGCCCCACCTGATAGTGCCGATAACAACAACCGCAATTGAAAAGAAGTAGATGTCTTTCCAATCGACAACAACTATGTCTAGCTAATGAAGCTCCTAAAGCGGAGTTCCAATCAGGCAGACAGGCAGACAGGCAGACAAGCAGCTGACAAGTGTGGTACGGTGGAAACTACACTTATATTAGTGAGAGTATGCATATGAAAGAGAGACGAACAAACCTAATTAGAGCTATATCTCTACTCACTCAATATATTTGAAGCAGTGGGAGTGTATGTGGGGTATGAGTCTTGGAAAGATGAATGAGATGGACTGACGCTGTAGTTGTTGTATCAGTGGATGCGACTGATTGCTTAGTCACTATCCTTATGCACATGGTTATGTAGATATGCACGTCATATCTGGATACATGTATAGACATCAGTTCACACCACTACAACTCAACCTGGACACTCCATTTCATGGATGAGAAAGTAAATACTGCAAGTAATAAGCAAGCATATCTAAGACAGAGAATCCCACGAGAATCTACTCATCACTATGGTGGACACATATCCAACTCAATCAGACAAGCATAGATTATATGAATGCGCACAACGCAAGTATAGAACACGATTAGGATATCAAAGATACAAACAGAAACAGAAATGGAACAAGAATTGAAAAAACGAGAAAGGGAGAAAAAAGGTCAAGTATCACCAAACCACTCCAGCCTCAGCACGAACCACCGTATCTGAATAACAACGCCCTCCGACACCGATCACTAGAGAATGGTAAAGTTGGCTCACAGAGCCTTTTTGAAGGGAGAATAAAAAGATGAAAGAAATCGGTCTTCAAGCGCAGATTGAGCCGTCCACCTGCGCTGACAAGTGACGCAGGCTCAAGACATGCCAAAGCAGCGCTCAATGCTATGTATCCGTGACCAAGTCACAGCGTTTAAGAAAGATACTATGTAATGTGCAAAATCAACAGCCATGCATGAAAGAATTCTTCGGCCAGTCGTAGCCAGTTTCCGCCCTAGACAAGTCAGTCAGCATCGTCTCCATTAACAGAGACAAACAGGGAAAGGACGTACCAGGTCGTCTTGTTAGGGTTTTTGTAAGCCTCGGGATGCTTCTCTATGTACTCAGTCGTTTCATAGCCCGGCGGATCACAGGTGAGGCTGATATTATCCGGGTCCTGATAAATCCGGACGTAATCGAACCGCATCACGCCGGGCATATAGTTCGTGATGGAGTCGTTGATGCCGGCGAAACTCTCGGCCATACCCAAGTTCATGACCATGGCCAGAGGCTCTAAGGGTATCATCCGCTGGCCGATATTCCCGTTGGGTCCGATGGAGCGCCCGTCCAGAGTCCAGGTTTTGTTCTCGCCCACGAACCATGTCACTTCGCCGGTTGCCCCTGGGGTGTACTCGAAGGCGTACGTCTGGTACTGCTTGCCGTTGTACCAGTCGTTGTTTAAGTAGGTCAGGCCGGACATGGCTTGCTGGAGAGGGCCTCCGCGGTATGAGTTGATCGATGTGACTTTGGGATCGTATACAGCGGTGAAGTCTAGTTCGGTCAGACAGGGCCATACCAAGAATAGTCAATGAAACACTCACCATAGTCAGGCATATACCAGATATCAAACGGAGCCATCTGCAGACTCTGCGACACGTCACCGACAACAGCCCCGCCGTCATCATTGAGCGGACGGACGCTCGCTTCGATTACATCGATTTCGGGGGCACTTCGCGACTTTCCCGGAGTGGGGTGGTCGGCACCTCCACATGTACAACCCGGTAGACGCATGCCTGGCAGGTAGTTGATTCCGTCCGGGGAGCTCTGGTTGGGCGTGATCCCGGCATCGCACTTGTCGTGGTAGCTGTAGGGCCACATCCCTTCCGTAGTGGCGGCCCACCCGGGTCGTCCCAGATTGCCCATTGCCCAGAAGCCCGGCCAGAAGCCTGACACGTCACCGGATCCTGGCAGCGATACACTGGCCTCCAGACGACCGCCGCTGAAACAGAGCTTGTTCCAGCTCTGGACCATGCCGGAGCGGTATTTCAGTTCGTGGTTGGGAAAGGCGTCAAATCGAAGTTCCAAGACACCGTCCCTGGTGGTGACAGCGTCTGGATCATACCACTAAGGAATATAAGCAGCGTTCAGGGGGATAACCGCGACAGTACTGACCTCAAGATCCTGCGTCACGCCATACCATATATCCACCGCCTGATAGAACGGATCATCCCCATCGTAGAATGTTCGGCCGGGGGTGTTGAACTCGTCGGAGAACTAAAAGATGGTCAAACGCAACTCGCAACCAATGTTGTTCTGAATGTACTGACTACTAGTTTCAGCTCGGTGCCATCGGCAGCCTTCTTGGACATAGCAGACTCCGGGGTATCGGGGTCAATAAGCCCTTTCCTCATATTAGACAGCAGCGGACGCTCCCCTACGTCGAGACATAGCGTATCCCCGGGGTGACAAAGCGTTCCACCTTTTTTCATCCCCTTGACAGCTGTTCTAGAGGAAGAAGTCAGTGGCTAGAAGGGTCTAATTCTTTCTATGGCGGGCTCCATACATAACGGGGTAACCGATAAACAGCACGAGGAAGCCCACAGTCAGCAAGACCAACCCGCCGACGTTGATGAGACCCCGTCGGTTCCAGATATCACATTCTCGCTCGTAGTCATCCGGGTCCGGGTTGTGCATGGCGTCGTCCTTCTCTACATCTTCCGGGAAGAGCAGCAGCCCTTCTGTGGGCGTGATGTTGTACTTCCCGGCCACCGTCTGCGTGTTCACGTCGTTCTCGTCGCTTCCCGCGCGGGACGGCGCGCGCGAGTCCTCGAACGGGATGGAGGCATATCCGCGGGCGTCGTAGCTCGCTCCGTCGGAGGTCCAGCTTGTCCGCCGCGATAGTGGGACAGAGCGCTCTGGAGAATGCAGACTGGCGCTGTACTCGTCGCGAGGCCGGTGTGGTGGTGGGGGGATCAAGAACTCGGTGGACTCCTGTGGGATGGTCGATGCGTATACTGTCCGCACGGTGCCGGACGACGGCGAGTGTGTCATCTCGGAGGTCAGAGCCCGCCCGATTTGCGGGGATGGCGCCGACACGTACGGATCATCGACGTCCGTGAAGGGATCATGGCTTCCGGAGTTGAGGCGGATCTGCGGCGTCTGTCGGGGGCCATTGGGGTCGGCCATTGTGCAATAATCGTTGTTGTCCAGTTTCTATCCAGTGCCGCTGGGTATCTTCGACGGGTATGGGCCTGCCTTCTTGCAGATTGAAGACCTGGCGGGCCTAATGTCTGTTGTACAAGGCTCAATTCACTCTAGACATCAAGCATCCCCCAGCACATTTCCTTTCTTTCCGATGCGCAGCTATCACGGTTTCAACAACAATAACAACCAATGTTATCTCTCACGGTAACGACAGAATTCGAACCCTCTAGTCCAATGACCGAGACCGGACGCGCAATCAAAATCTCAAGCAGATGCAGCACGCGAAAACGAGCGGACAGGACAGGCGCAATCGTCCTTTACCGTGTATTGCAAGCGTCGGGGTCGCAGTCGAATAGTTGAACGAAAGACAGCGACGAAACAAACACAAATAGAATATGAAGAGGAAAATGGCCAACAGGGCGTCGAGGGGCAACAGAAAGGGAAGAAAAACAGAATGCCAAAGAGGGACGGAGAAGAATGGAAGAGAGAAACAGGGCGTCGGAATAAGGAACGAGCAGGCAGCGAAGGAAGGGATAATCCCACCTCTGTCTGTACTGACTATGCGTACTTCAAACCTCAAACCAATATGCCCATGCACCGAAGCTTTTCTTCACACGTTGCAGCTGTTACTATCTTCGTCGACTGTTTACTTTTGTTTTTCTCCTGACGCATTGCATGGAGAGGTGAAGATCTATCAATCCTCAATACTCACTCCTCAATCATTTGTCCAGGCTAATGTTTACCCATTCCAGACCACATACCATACCAGATGAGGAATCCGGTTGCCATTCACAACCTCACGCTCTAATACAATTACTCCTGGCCAGACCATGGATCAGAAAATAATAATCAATATATGGTATCCCTTGTCACGGTGCCCAAACCCACATGTACAACGCCGGAATGATGAGATATCAAGGAGCGGCCATGACGATCCCTTGAATACCCACAGAGAGAGAGAGAGAGAGACAGTGAAGACATGCTCCCCCACTACTCCGTACTCCCTCCGTCTTTGATTCCATTCCCGAACACGCGTTCTGACAGATCAGATCATATCATATCCCCTCCTCTCCTGCAGGGCGTCCATCCCATCGCACCCTCATCCCCAGAACCACAGGAGTGTCTCCTCCTTCATATACCCTAGAAACCGACCTCCCTGACAAGGTTCTAGACTCCTAGCCTACTAGAGTCCCTCGTCCATTCCAGCCCCCTCAGCAAATTACTAAGTAAGTAAGTATCTAACAATATCTCTAACCCCTTACATAGCCTCATACTTTCGCCCGCCGCTATGTGCCTCATCAGGACGATCCGCCAAGGATGCTGGGAATAAAGCATAGTATAAAATTGAGCGTTTCGGCTTTGTCCATGCTTGCTTGTGAATCGGACCCATGCAGGAAAGGCTTGACTCGGTCCCTACCTTGGGTGGTACCTTGGGTAGGTACCTACGACTGTATATTGCTGCGATTGGGTAGGTAGTTTACATATATTAAGGATTGATTTGATTTAAGAGTGGTACTTGGGTTTGCATCTCATGCAGCCATGATTCAACCAAGGGAAAGATACATATATCATCACCCGAACCAAGGACTTAATTATACACATCCATATCCATACACAAGCGACAAAGCAAACTACACCATAGTATTCATAATCAATCCCTCAATCAACTTCATCCTACCTACTCCCACCCTATAACCATTCCCCCCCACAACTAAACAATAACACCAAAAAAAACACCCCAAAACACCCCATCCCAACAACAACAATATATATCCGTGTTCACACAATGAATCAACTCTCAACAGCCTTAACCCTCAACCCGACCAACAAACTCTCCTCAATATCCAACGCCAACAACCAATACTCCACGCGCGACGGCCCCACCTCCACGCGATAAACCTTCACATCAACCGTCGACTGATGCGGTTCGCCGCCGACCTCCGAAGACGGCGCCTGCACGGCCGCCGCACGCACAGCGCGCAGGACAGTCGCGTACTGGTTGTGCGGGTCGAAGGCGGAGGGCGAGAGGGTCGAGATGGACGAGGAGAGGTCTGTTGTTGGCGAGATGAGGTTTGAGAGGTTTGCTAATATAACGATCTTATCAGCATCCATTTATATAAAACAAAAAGCCGGGTAAAGTAGTAGTCAAAGGGGAACATACTCGGATCCGGCCAAATCCCCTTCACAGCCTTCTCCCACTTCAGCGTAACAGGCTCAAACGGCTCATCTGTCTCGGAGACGTAGTACGCATCGACGGAGGTGAGCGGGGCTGGGACGCGCACGTCGATGTCGACTGCTTCGGTGCGGGCGATGGATTGTCGCTGGGCGCGCTCTGCGCGGGCGTTGTTGAGGTCTGCGTTGGCTTTGTCCAGGAAGGACATGTAGGCGTCGTCGGAGGACATTCTGGATTGGTATTGGGTTGGTGTATTGGTGTTTAGGCTGTTGATGCTGGGTTTGGTGAGAGGTGAGAAGATCCCTGCTTTTGAGCGGGTATGAGGGAGAGAAGAACGTAGAGAGAAAGAAGATGTTTGTCTCTGAGGACGGTAGGTTGGTATTATTGGGACGAGACAAGAAAATAATGAAGATGAAGATGAGAGTGGGCGTGAGATGCGATCAATGACGCAATGGGCACTTCGGGAGCGCTGCATCTGGATTGGTGGGGTTGTAGAAGGGTGCGATTCGGTCACTACTAGACTCAGCTGGAAGAGAATGGAATGGTAGTCCAGTCGGGTGGGAAAGCCGCTGGATGGTTCTACGGGAGGATTATATATTGCCCGGTTTAATATATGTTCCTACTTATTGAAAGGATTTATTTGTAATGAGTAATTGAGGTCAGATGGTGACTCTATTGCTAGATTTATCTTGTGGGATAAATCTTACTGAGTTCTTCGCTGCGTATGATCGTAGGATCAATTTCGTCAATACACTACTATCCAAGCAAGCACATACTCCGTACGTCGTTGGCAAACTACGTAGTCTACAGATATCTAGAATTACCCACACCATCGTTGAAAAATATTGTCCGCTTTTTTCATTGAAAATAAATAAGATACGTTGCACTACACCACCATAACACCCTAAGCCGAAGTGACGAGGTCCTTCTTGAGAGTACCCATGAAGGCCCGCTTCTCCTCGGCAGTCTGGAAAGCACCGTGTCCGAACTTGGACGAGGTGTCGATCCACTTGAGATCGACCTTCTCGGTGGCACGGCGGTTGGTCTGGGGGTACAGGGTCTTGCGGAGAGTCATGACACGCTTCTTCACACCGGGGATGGAGCCCTTGAGCATGACGAAGTCGTTCTTGACCTCACCGTAGTGGACGAAACCACCCATGCTAGTAGATTGTTAGTAGGCGGTTCCTAAAAAGAAATCGAGAAGGGGAACATACGGAGTGATCTGCTTCTTGGAGATATCGAACTCGGTCGAGGCGTTACCCTCGTCGGTGCCCTTGCCCACACGGAAGACCTTGTGGTTGCAAGAGGTACGGTGGTGGTAACCCATCTGACCGGCACGGGCAACAGTCCACTGGACGTGGTTAGGATGCCAGGCACCAATACAGGCGACCTTACGCAGACCCTTGTGGGTCTTACGGGGCAGCTTGGTGGTACCCCAACGGCTGGTGACACCCTGGTAACCGTGACCCTTGGTGATGGCGATGACATCGATCATCTCGTCCTTCTCGAAGATGCTGTCGATCTCGATGGGCTTCTCGAACAGGTTGCGGGCGAAGTCAACCTTGTCGGCGACGTTGCCACCGTTGACCTGGATCTCCATGAGGTGGGCCTTCTTCTGCTTGATGGGAGTCTGGCGGATCTGGGTGTGGGCGAGGACACGGACGACCGTGCAGTACTTCTTCATGCGCTCCAGCTCGCGGGTGATGGCAGAGCCGGACTCGTCGGCGTGCTTCTTGGCGTACTTGGTGAAGGCCTTCTTCTTGGACTTGTACCAGTTCTTGTAGAAGCGACGCTTGACCTCGTCGCTCAAGTGCTCAGCCCAGACGGTGGTGAGCGAGCGGAGACCACGGGGAGTCTCGATGTAGCCGACAACGCCGACGGCAACAAGCTATAATCAGTCAGCCTCTGATCCTAACCACCAGGGTTCTTTCCGTTTTCTCGGGTACATACGGGAGGAGTCTCGACAACGGTCACAGCCTCAACGATCTCCTTCTTGTGCATCTTGGCACCGGGTCTGTCAAGGTCACGGACGATGGTGGTCATACCGGCCTTGTAGCCCATGGAGGCCGTCAGGTGGACGGGCTTCTTGGCGTCATCCTTGGGGAAGCTGCAATCACACTTAGTATACTGTCGTGCGACCGAATCCAAATTTTCACTCCCAGATATACTGACCTCTTGACCTTTCCGCGGTGACGGGTGGCGCGCTTGCGCGGCAAGAACGCAAGGGAGCCTGTAAAAAGTCTGTGTTAGCTAGTCGGATACAGAGAGAGAGAGAGAGAGAGAAGAAAAATCATCTCGAGATTTTCGACTTCAATCTGGATGCGAGAGAACGAGGTGGACGAACCGTGCCGAGGCGCTTCGTACTTCCGGTGACTCCTATTCAAGAAATGCAATTAGTACGTCTGATTCTATCACTTCCAAGCGGCAATGGATAGCCATCAAACAGGAGTACTCACATCTTGACCCTGTTGTCGTTAGTCGTCGAGGTGGTAAGGAGGAGAGTCTATCTTTGAGTGCGCCGGATGTCGGTCGTATTTTGCACGCTTAACGAGTGTGGGCTGACCTAAGCGAGAGCTTGGCAATCTATTTCCCTTTTAGGATAAGCGATCGAGGGCTGCCGCCTGAGGCACCCCACGCCACCCAAAAATATCCCTCACCGCCTTGCCCCATCGGCAGTTCCTGACCTGGGTTGATTTTGCGTTTCGTTGCCTGAGGATCCCCTCCGTGGCATTCATTCGTCCTGTCGTGGTAGACTAGTCTGACAAGTGACACCTACTAACACTACCCAAGGAAGACATCCGTGGATGGCCCACAGTCTACGATAGAATTTCGTCCAGTTCTCATAACGAATTTGCCAATTTACAAGGCAGCACAGCTAATAGATAACGCAAAAACATTCAAACGGGGGTCATCGAAGGGCTAGAAAATTGAGCTTAAAACTAGATACAGACATAACTTTAGAGTGCCCCAGCTACTGTGCCAATCGAAATTGTACAATACAGCCCCAGGCGCTAAACCAACAAGTGAGGACAGAACCCTGCGAGAAGTGGTTGGGGAGGATAAAAGGATTTAAACACAATAAATAAAGTATAAAAAAAAAAAGTAAAAGTAAAGAAAACACAGTGCGGGGTGCAAACGAAGGTAGCGTGAAGGGTGGAAATGTCGCGGGCAATCGGTCGCTAGTTTAAAAACAAACCAATTCCAACGATCTGTTGTGCGAAAATGACGTAGGCAAGGTCCTCGTCCTCAAGCGGTCGACTCCGGCTTCGACTGCGAAGACTGGCTCCCACCGCTCAACACATTGTTGCTGTTGTTAGCGCCGCCCGATCCACTGCCGTGGGGGCTGCCCTTGACGGCGGCGCTGGGTCGCTTTTCATCATCACCATCGTCATCATAGTTCTCGTCAACGTCCATTTTCCGTGCGGCAGGCTCGTGCGCCGGGGGCTGTTCGCCGCGAGCCGGTTCCTCCTTGACCTGCACCTGGGTGGTAGAGGGCGGTCCCGAGGGAGGTCCATTGGACGGAGGAGGGCCGGAGCTCTCATTCATCGCGGGCAAGCTGGGCCCGGAGCCATGCGGAGGCATGTGTTGGATGGGCGGGAGGGTAGGAGGGTGGTGAGCCGCCTCAGAGGGGTGATAGTTTTCGTTGATCCGTCGCTGGTCCTCGCGGCGAGCCTCCGAAGAGCTACGGCGCTGGATTACACCCGGAGAAGGCATGCGGTTCGGCGGGGAGGCGCGACGAGTCATCTGGTCATCTAAACGGGCACGGCTCTCTTCATTGGCAATCTTCTTGACGGGGCCGGCGTCCGCCTCCCACTCCCGACCGCGCTTCATGGCCGAAGCCGGGCGATCCTCGCGTTCACGAGCAGCCGCTTCGGCCGCAGCCATCGCCGACGCGGGTGGGGGGGCGCCGCCCGCGATGCCAGTGCTGCCAGCAGTCTGGACAGGCACGCTGGGACCGTGGTGATACTGCTGGTGGGGGTAGGTAGAGCCCGGAGAGGACGGTCTTTCATCGCGGATCGGGCGGATTTCCGAGGGCGGGGTGAAGGGGCGTTGATAAGGTGGAAGAGCACCACCGGGGCTAGGGCCAGGAGGGGGCCCACGCCCGCGGGAGGACCGACCGGAGCAGGAGGAAGGGGACCGCGAGCGGTGGAGCTGAACGCACTGGCGGCGCTCGGGGCCCGCTCGTGCGACGGAGGAGGGGGAGGGTTGGCAAGTTGGGGGAGTCCGTGGGCCGGGGCGTACACACTGGGGCCGACCATCGCAGTCTTCGGGGAACGGGCCGCCGCTTGCGGGCGAACCGCTTCGGGGAACACCCGGCCGGAGTCCTGTCGCGGGCTGGGCTGCTGAAGAAGGGCCGTGGGCCGGAGCGGGTCGCGATGGTCAAATCCGTTGGCAGCCTGAGCTTGCGCCTGGGCCTGAGCCTGCGCGTGAGCCTGGGCCTGGGCTTGAGCGGCCTGGGCCTGGGCCTGAGCCTGCGAATGCAGCTCATTGATGCCACGATTCCAGTCCGCGATCTGCCTCGGGGGAGCTGGAGGCTGAGGGGGTGGGCCGCCGGTCGGGGCCGGTGCGCCCCATTGGGGAGCCGGGGGGGCTCCGACTCCGGGGGCCTGGTAGGCCTGGGGGTGAACGTCTTGAGGCTGGGGGGCAGGAGCGTTGTTCTGGTTGGTACCGGACAGCTGGCTTTGCAGCAGTTGCAAACGGGCTTTGATGTGAACGTTGGCGGGATCCAAGTCTGCCGCACGGCCATACGCATCAAGGGCGTCTGCGATTTGGTTGTTGCAAGACTCGTACTGGACTGTCGTTAGCATGCATTGACTCGTCGTATTGATGGTCTTCCTCATCACTTACCAGAGTACCCAGATCGTACCACACCTCTGAGATGTAAGGGTTCAGACGAATGGCCCGCGAGTACGCATCCAGAGCATCGCGATACTGGTTGATCTGGTAGTAGAGGACACCGATCGAGCACCAGAAAGTAGGATTGCGACCGTCGCGGTAGACGGCTTGTTGATAGGCTTCATAGGCCTTGGGATACTTGGCTTGCGACATGTAGCAACGACCCAGGAGATACCAGCTTTGCGCATCGTTGTTGTCTGTGGCAGAAACCAATTAGAATTTGCGTCGTCCGTCAGGGAATGCTCCCCTCGCAGGATCGTAAACTCACCAGCGGCCACGGATTTTTCAAGGTATTCGATAGCCTTCTCTTGGCTGGCATAGCTGTTGCTCTGCTGGTGATACAGCCATCCGAGTTGCTGCAACACCTTCGCATGGTTGGGATCACGGTCCAAAACCCGTCTGTAGGCTTGTTGCGCCGAATCGAACTAGACCGGTGTCAGCGCGGGTTGCAGGTTACACAGAAATCCCGGGGCCACTCACGTCTTTCTGCTGCTCGTGGACATGGCCAATTTGGAACCAGATGTCCTCCTCGGTCAAGGGACGAGGAGGGTCCGAGACGATGTACTTAAAGCACTCCAGACTCTGGTTAAACTTCTGCTGCTGCTTGTAGATAATGCCGAGTCGGAAATAGATTTCGTTGGCCTTCTCGAAATCAGGGGCCATGCGCATGACCTGGGAGAAGGCCTCTTCGGCGTGGTCAAGGGATCCATAACGGTCGTAGAGGATACCAATGCCGTACCACAGTTTGGGTTCCTGCAAAACGCGGTCGCGGATTAGTTACTGGCCAATGGCAATGGGGAATTATGTTCACGAACCTTGGGGTCACGCAGATGATAGAGAGCCTGCTGGTACGAGGTGTAGGCCTCCTGCAGATTGTCCATCATCAGATGGCAATGACCTGAGACCGATCAGTTTTGTGACAAGAGATGGAAGACGGCGGAAGAACAAACCTAGGCTACCCCATGTCTCCCCACTGCCCGAGTCCAACTTCAGGATATTTTGGAGGTACTCCACCGCCTTGGGGAATTGCTCCTTGGTGCGCAAGATACACGAGATGGCGTTCATCGCGGGGATGGACCATTGGTTGTGGCGCAGAGCCTGTTCGTACGCATTCATGGCGCCCTCCAGGTCACCCATCAACTCCGTCAGACTTCCTATAGAGCGGACTGGTCAGTATCCGTAGAGACTCCAAGGCATCCCGCGAGGGTTAGTGACATACCAATTTGAAGCCAAACCTGCTCGTTAAGGGCAGCGATCTTCTGGGCGGTATTCAGGGGAGGGGCCTTTTGGCCTGAGGCCTGCAGCGCAATATGACCGTTGACCTGGGGGTGGGCGGCGAGGTGACCATGGTGAGGGGTAACACCTCCCGTGGGCGAGGGCTGAGTATGGGCCATGGTGGCTGTGGCTTGCGGAATTCTATCGCAATGCTACCAATCTCCGACGAAGTTGCAAGTCTGGCACCCGCGAACTTTGCGACACGATGATGCAATCCGCGTCCGTGCCACCGAAAAGTCGCACAAACGCGATATAGGAAGTATTCGCGCGATCTAGCGGACTAACGAGGTTCGGGACGCAACGCGCGACAACTTTCGGGAGGGTGCGGTTTTTTTAAGAGTACGTGTCGCCGAACGGAGGGCGCGAGGCAAATCCGTCACAGGGGAAGAGTGACGGTAACAACGCTGCAACGCTGGGGAAATTCGCCCTGGGGTCTTCTTGGCGATGACGCACCAGCCGATGACGGTAGGGCAATTGAGATATAGTCCAACCAAATCGCTGGAGAGCGCGAGGAAAATACGAGAGCGAGAAGCTGCGCGGTGGGAGATCGGAAATGAATGGGAGGCGATATAGCGTCGGAAAGGGAGAGGGTAACAAAAAGGGTTGTGAAACGAGGAGAGCGGAACCCCCGAAGAAGATTCAAAATAAAATAAAAATAAAATAAAATCAAATAAGACAGACACACACAAAACCAAAGAAGAGAAGAATTGGAATACAAATTGGAGATGAAGCGGGAGTGGACACGGGGGGAATAGGTGGAAGGGGAGGAGGGAAGTAAGGAAGAAGGTGAAGTGAGAGAAGCGAAGCCAGGAAAGGAGAAGGGCAGAGTAAGAGAAGAGAAGAGAAGAAGAGAAGAAGAAGGGAAAAAGGTCGAGGGGCTGGTGGTAAGAGGGTGATTCTTGCCAAGAGACACTAGTGGTTGTGCAGCTCTTCGAGCCGTAAAGTGAGCGTCCAGGAAGGCACGGAAAGGCTGAGATGGCGGTCGTCCGGCGCCAAGGCCCAAAGTCCCCCCCAAGACAGCCAGCGTTGTCACCAGGAACGGACTAGTCTCGGTGGGGCCAAATCTGGAGTCGTGTCCAGCGGGTATTTACAGTCAATATTTTCCGGCCGGACACCGGAAGTGAGGGAGTCAACCAAACACCGCGGACAGCCTGATTTTTTTTCTATAAAGTAGTTTACCTATAACTGTGGTTTATTCCTTATTAATCTTCTTTCACTCATGGTGATTTTGCCCCCAGTTCCTTGATCTTGTTGATATTTATACTGATCGCTCTCATCATTCGGCTCATGTCCGAGTGACAGTGGACACTGAACAAGAGTAGAAGTTGAGAATTAAGGATTTCAATCATACATTCAATCCATCGTGACATATATCAGATTATAGCTTCAGTACTAAGGGACCACACATCGCGTGTTTTGCCCTTTATTTTATTTTTATTTTCATTCTTGTTGGAAGAATGAAAATAAAATAATGATAGATAATAAAATTGGGGAAGAGAAAAAAAATAAATCAGATAGAATAAATAAAAGAATATTTCCATCCAATCAATTCCACCAAGTGAGGACAGTGGAATGTGATTCTAGGCTAGAGGAGGCTGATGGCAGACGGGGACCAATGTGATAGCAGTGTGTCCACTGCCGGCAATAGCACCAATGCTGGTTGACTGTTGATGGTGATGGAAAAAAGAGGATCCAAGCGGAGTAGGGGTTAGGCAAGTAGCATCATGGGAAGTGGGTAAAATAACGAGAATTTTTAGTTCGTATGGAGTTGGACCGCCCCGAAACAGGGCCGTGTCTGACGAGGATGCAAGCGCCGGAGTCAGAAATGCAGCTTCAGGGATGACGGGATGGGGAAGTCCAGCACGAACCCCCGGCTGTGACTCGCCGAAAGGCTGCAGGTGGACCATGGAACCCCGACCCACCAGTCCTTTCTTCCCCGTGGCATCCTATTTTTATTATATTAATATTAATATTATTAATATTATTATTATTATTATTATCATTATTATCATAAGAAATACAACAGTAATGTAATAATTCAGAAAGAAAGAGAAACTCAACTCGGTAGGCTTGATATTATTAATAATAAATATATAAATAAAAATGACAAAATATAAATATATATATATATATATTTATATTTATTCGATAATCCTGTCTGCCAGTGGGGACGCCACTCGGCAGACACCGTACATGACTGGCGTTACTGGCGTATGGCCATAAGCTCAACCACCTAAGCTCCCGGCAGCCTAGTTAGGCATGAGGCGCCCCTCTCCACTTGGACCATCTGCAAAATGCAAAATGTTGCAGTCGCCGTCTTTCCTGTGCGTCTCCACTCGGCCTGGGCCCCCACTCCCCCTCCCACTACCCTCCTCTTCCCCCCCTTACCCCTACCATGAGGAATTACATCCCAAATCCTGAATCCACCCGGGTCTATCCTGATTCCGAACTAACCCTTCTCCATCTTAGTCGGTTGTCGGACAAGACATGCACTTGCGTACATATGGAGTAGGACCCTCTGCGGCCCCTTCCCCCCCATCTCTCTCCTCTCTCGCCCCCAATTCTCAATCTCATGCTCCGAAGCTAAGGGCCGAGTAAAACTCCCATCGCTTGTCGGGTCTCATCGCCTTTATTTACGCCAACTGCCCCCTCTCCCTCTCCCCTGTCCCACCAAGGGGTTTTAGTAGCCTTGTTTTCCACACACTAGAATGCGAGAATAGCCGTTTATTATACTGTAGCACCTAACAATATATCAACCAGGGCTGCGTGTGCCCGACTGCTGAGACATTCCGTGTGCTGTCAATGACAAGCTTTATCACACTGGAACTGATTGATTTTCTCTTGTCTATGGACTATTTCCATATTGTTTCTCTTATCGTCTTTCGTTCTTTCTTTCTCCTTTACTTTATTTTATTTTATTATATTATGATTTTATTTTTACGGACCGCTTTGCCCCTTCCGTCATCCATTCTCAGCGGCTCCTTATTATTCAGTACCTACAGCCGCAATGCTAAAAAGACGGCTTACATAAAATGTTAGTCACCCCATACAGCACCAGCCACCACTACCACTCCCTTCCGCCACAGAATTCCTAACGGATTCCTTTGACAATGTGGAGCCTTTCCCGATGCTGATCCGTCGGGTTTTGCTGTTATGTCGATGATCTTGATACATCATCTGTGGGCCGATCAAATTTCTTTTCCGTCCTTTCCTTTTTTTCCCTTTTTTTTTTTTTTTTTCTCTCCTTGTCCAAGTCAACCCACAAAGCCCGAGGGACAGGTAGGAATCCCTGGCCTCGCGATGGATAATCCACGCAATAAACAATGCACTCACCAAGCCTCCTATCCCGCTCGCGATGAGTAGATTAAATCACATCTCATCATTGGCTGCTCTCCCCGGCCTCATTTACCGTATTCTCATTTCTTCTTCTCCCCGAGAGTCCAAAAATAATACCTAAAATAATAAATCAAAAACTGGAATCACCAATCCACCCTCTGAACCTAGTCTAAGACCGACCACACATTTTAACTTTCCCACAACAATAAACACTCCTAGCCTCCTGGCTCCTAGCTCCTGGCTCCTTCCTCCTGCACTCCATATTATAGTACAGTAAAGCTAGGGGGGAATGGCGGACGGGCGGCCCCTAGATGAATCTCCTCCAAATGGCCTAGCATAAAACTAGTAGCTGTTAGTCAACCCTTGTATGGAGTCATCCATTCTCCGCGTCGGACCCGAGTCTCAGCCTTAAAAGTTGGGAGGATCCTTGCTGGTTGTCATTCGAACTGTTATGATTTGGACCATGCTTCGAAAAGAAAATTAGAGTATATATATTATATATTACCGTTGTCAATAAATCAACACAACTAATCAAAGTAATAAAAGTATAAAAGAATAGAAAGAATTATATCTGCATTCCTCACCCACGGGCACAGACACAGACACAGACAGACCCAAGAACTCGGTGCCTGTCATGGACTTATGTACTCACGCCTACAAAAGAACAAACATTCCACCGCATCATCCGTAAACCCCACACCCCCATTCTTCATAGCTTCATGGGATGTGCATGCCCATACCGATGCTAGATATGTGCTGCGGAGTCTGTCTGCGTCAGACGCTCTTCGGCATCCTGTCTTGCGCAGGGTGATCCCAATTCCCGCAATTTGTGAGACCGCATCAACATGTTGACCTGTAGACCTTTCCTCCTGGCACTCTCATATGGAGTTATGTAATTGCTTACTGGGGTAGAAGTATTCAAAGAGGAATTGGAAGAGCTGTCAGCTAACAATTGGAACCATAGTTACACCATCTGCCCAGCTATTAATGAACGCCTCGACGGCCAATTGCCTTGACCGGCTTTTTGCAGTTTTCCGAGATCAGAGGCGGACTAACCCTGCAATAGTATGCAGTATCTTTATACACTTCAAACTAAGAATATTTCTCATCTCTACCTTTATTCTATATAACAGTGTTGATAATATTGGCGAGTACGTGGATGACAGAATTTGCTCAACGCAGCTGAAAATAGGGAGCTCACCTCCCGTACAGCTGAGCACTACTGTCTGTGCCATGCAAGTGTGTCATAGTGGGGATGGCCAAAGCTTTATTTTTTTTCTTTAATGGAAAATAATTTCAGAAGTAAGGATTTATTTATATCTATATTTATTTATTCTTGATCCTTTCTTATTTATTTTCTTTTTCTTTCTCCACATACAACACAATGAATATCTACCATGTATATAGCCCAGGCCAGCAGGTACAAAAAGATACATGTGGCCCTCCCACGCTCTCTATCTGTTTCTCTTCTTCGAGTGGCTTCATACCATGCACTACATAACTAGAGGAAGGGCCTTCCTCTGCAATGCCGACGCTCTCTTAGTGGGACTGGGACTAAGATGGATGGGATCCAGTCTGATTGCCGTCTTGCATGCATGCAAGCACACGGGACTAGGCTTAGGAACTGGAAATGATGGACTTGATTGAATTCAGAAAGTAAATAGAAAAATTAAATGAAAAAAATATATATACAAAAGGCAACCCCTCTTGTCATTTACGTTCAAGTAGGCAACTTCTCCCGTCCAATCAATCTCAACTTTAAAAAAAAGGGAAAATAAACACA